CAAGCTATATAGGTTAGCAAGCTACTTTTGCTAAGCTTCTACTAAAACTACTCTATCTATATAATACCTTAATAATAGTACTAGATAGACGCTTCTAAGTAAATATAAGATATAGACTACTCTCTAAGCTCTTAAATAAGACGTAATACTCTCTATGCAATGCGCTATAGCTATCTATAACGTATTTTAAGTAACTCTAGGTTATTAACGCGCTAGACGACCTTCTTAGGCAGATTATTAGCCTAAATTAACAAATCTAACTCTAACTAAGAAGGACGTAGTTATTAAGTATATACTTAAGCTAGTTACGCATAAATTTTCTTTTAAGCTTATAGCTATAGCTAATATAGCTAATTCTCTGCGCGCTAAGCGCAGTCTAAGCTAAGTTAGCTTAAACTAGCCTAGTATATTTATTAAACGCTGCTCTAAGCTCTAAACAAAGTTTAATTGCAAATATAACTATAAGAGAGCTCTCTATAAGAATTCTAAAGTTATATAAGACTAGTTCTAGCTTATAGAGAATATAAAGGCAAAGCACAGTATCCTTAATAATAATATATATAACTTTAATAAGTCTAGCTTTATAATAGGCTAGATCTTAACTAGAGCAGTTATTATAGCTTTAGAGTAATAAAGATAGCTAAAGATAGTATAATAGAGTAATTAAGAGTAAATAATAGTTATCTAGGGCGTTAACGTAATAGAGTAGGCTATTCTATTCTTTATTATCTTTAAGAGCTGCTACTATCTCTTAGCTTAGTATAAGAAGAAGAATCTACCTTATAATTAAGTTATTGCAGTTTCTAAAAATAGCTAGATAATAAATAAGCTTAGTCTATAGTAGTTAAAGCACTTTAATAAGTATATAAAGAAAAGAGTTATAGGCGCTTATTAGCTACTTATTATTAATAGCTATAAGAGCTATAACTTGCTTAAATTCTAGTAATACTATAAGAATAATAAGATTATTATTATCTATATGCTTTCTTACTTATTACACCTTCTATAGCTTCTTAATATAGATTATTTTGCCTCTTTAAAGAAGGCGTATAGATGCTAAGCTAAAGAGCTTATATATAACTAAATTACATATATTATAAAACTTAAGTTTCTACTATGCTTTAAGCGCGCCTTTAACGCAGCAATTACTTCTAGTAATATCTAAGAAGAGTTTTAAGGCGCTAGATTAGTCTTATTTAACTTAGAGTAGGTTATATTAACTCTTAATATCTATATCTATATTCTACTATTACTTACTATTAAAGACTATCTCTAGCAGTTATAAACTCTAAGTAATACTCTTAAATTAGGATTATAATTAACGCTTATAAAGGCAAGAATTTAGAGGTATATAGATAGCTTACTAATATCTATAATAGAGGCCTTTAAGAAGATCTTAAAGAAGGTAGTACATTATTGCGCATAAGCTAGTATTAGCGCAGAAGAAGATTACTAAGCTTTAAGTAGCTAATAAGCCTATTATATAATATAAATTATATAAAAGAAAGCGTATATAGAAAGAAAGAACCTTAATAGTTAAGGATAGTCTTTAATAGATAACTCTAAAGAAGTTTAGTGCGTATAGTAATAAGAAGAAAGCAAAGAAGTAGATATGCGCTAAAGTAAGTAAGCTCTCTTAAAGGTAGTATAGATAGTATAATAAGACTAAATATAATGCGCATACGTATAAGAAAGTAGTAGAAGTAGACTCTAAATAATATTGCATCTTGCTTTATACTATATAGGGCTAAAGTAGGCTATTTTGCGCTAGAATAGAGTAGTTTTAGTAGAGGCTTAGCAAAAGTAGCTCGCTAACTCGTGTAGCTCGCTAACTCATAAGGTACATTATAGCTTTTATACTTCTTATATAAATAAATAAGAAATAGAGAGAGTATCTAAGGCCTTTAATTCTAAATATATAATACAGTAGCAAATAGAAGTTTATAGAGTTTAGCATTAGAGCTATTATACTGCCTACTCTATTGGCCCTGCTGTAGAAACATCAGGGACTCCCATACCTTCGACTACCTTTGCGCCGACAACTTCATACACAGGCAGCTCAGCTAATCTTGAAATTATATGATGCAGCGTTGGCAATTCCTCCCAGTTCAAGGGATCGATCTTGAAGCTAGCCTTGCCCGCTTTGTAGATCTTTTGTGGTTTCGGCGTTGTTGTCGCTGCAGCAAACCGATCCCAAACGGCATGTTCCTCGGCAGCCATGCCCTTGTTCCGGAAACCAGTTTTCGGAATATATTTGTATGCCAAAATGCCGGCATCTGCCTCGCCACTGATGGCGCCTTTCTCGGACAAAGGGTCTACCTCTGCAAGGTCTTCGAGATGAAAGTCGCCCCAGAGGGCACCTTCCCATCCAGTGCGAATGCGGTATGAATTGGAGCGGCGATAGATATCGACCGAGGTATAGAGCTTAGGCATACCGAGCTCCTCCCGTCCTGAGACAATGGGATCTGTCAAGGATTCAAAAAGAATAGGCAGATAGGAACCGTCAACAGTACTGCCATCCTTCTTTTCGTATTCTACTCCATGGATGTAGAGGCCAATGTGGTTGTACCCCGAACCGCCGAGCCACTCCATTTTGTTCAGAGTGGTCTGAGAGAATGATGCATATGCAACGGTACCGGGGTTCTTGAAGCGCCAGCCCCGCCGACCAGGTGGGAACAGATTTTGGAGAAGTGTCCGCGAAGTCTTAAATTTGATGGAAGCAGTTGTGAATGTTGAATCGTTACCATTTCGGGGCACACCAAGATGTGTTTGACGAGGGCCAGGCATGGGACCGAAGGCAATTGGCATCCGCCAATATGGGTTTGGCATAAGCTTCCACTGCCATTCACGGAACCGTTGCGTTGCGTTGTCGTATTCGTCATGGCCAAAGTTGTAGTTTGTGAAGCCGTACACTAGGTGCGTTAGTCGAAACATGAAGTTCGCTCGAGGAGGCTGCAAGCTTACTGTCGACATTTACCTGACTCTCCAAGTCTCTGCCAGCAAGGCGTGAATATTCCTGGATCTTATTAGCCCTTTCCATTCTGATGTCTTGGTATAGCTTCAATCTTTCTGCAACTTCCTCTGGCTTTGTACCCATGGGAAGAACCACTGCTAGTGCCGCGGCATCTTCGATGGCAACCCCAGCGCCTTGGCCTTGGTGCGGTAAGAATGGATGAGCGGAGTCGCCCAGGAGTGCCAAACGTTTGTTTGTCCAACTCGGAATGACATCCATGTCTAGAAGCTTCCAAACCTTGATACTTCCAGGCTCTGCCTTGCCCAGCAACTTCAGAACCGCTGGATAGAAGGTTGAATAGACTTTAAGCAGCAAATCAAGGTCGCCGGCCTGGTCCCAATTCTCGCCTGATTGCTCCTCAGTCTCTGCCTCCGGGTGGACGCAGACGAAATTTAGAACGGTGTTATTGGAAGTCGGATACATGATGATAAGACGATCATTCGCGTACCAGATAAGAAGCTCTCCGTTATTCTGGACGAACTGCTGTGTCACGAGGTCTTGTTCCGCAAGCTTACGAGGAACGAGGAAGCGGAAAGCGCTCTTCCCACTGCCGAACGGCCTAACGTCACTTCCTGGGATAGATTTCCTGGCCACCGAGTGCACTCCGTCTGCTCCGATAACAAGATCGCCTTTGAATTGGGCTCCATTTTCGAGAGTGACAGTGGCTGATGCAGGATCCACGTTCGCAATTTTGCTGGATGTGTAAAGTTGGACTGACCCTCTTCCGTGGGGATCTGTTGCTGCAAGTTTTAAATTGTTATGCAGGTCAATGCTATGAGCAAGATGCCAGGGCTGTAATACAATGTAAGTAATACATTTGCGCGGATTGTTCACTACACAGAGGATCAACCTACGTGCTGCCACTGCTTGTTGGGTTCCTGCAGGTCGATGGAGCGTTGCTTCTCTCCTGTTGAGGTATACTCGGTCAACTGAAACTGAAAGTAAGTCTCGAGTATTCCGTGCGATGGTCTTTATATGACGCACCCTGGCCATGCAATTTGCTCCAAAGGACTCTGCGAATATTCCAAGGCGCCGAAGCACGCCATTTGCGTTTGGTGCCAGGTGTATGGCAGCACCAGCCTCACGCGCAAAATCTGATTGCTCGAGTATCTACTTCTCCTTTAGTATACGCATTCTAAGAGCCAGGGAGGTTCAGACATACCTGTACATCGTGTCCCTCTTTTCGAAGCGCGATTGCTGCCGTCAACCCGCCGATTCCAGCACCTACTACCAACACCTTCAATGCTGTGTTCGGCGGTGCGCCGTTGTGTCCACCAGTCATACCGTTTGCTTCGTTCAAGGTCGTCACCTTGCTTCAGGCGAATGCTAGATAATCGTGTGATGTCAAACCAGGCTTCTCGGTAGAGGCGTCCGAGTTAGCAGACGGCAGCTCTCAATCAAAAGTGTCTTTGAGACTCAATTTAGAGCCTATCGTACCACAAATCTATTGCGCGGTAATTGACCTGCGGTAGATGATTCGCTTCTTCGCCATACCACGGGTCACTACCCGGGGATAAGCGGGTGGAGGGATTGCGGGAAAAGAGGCAGGGTAAGTGGGGGCAAGAATCGGGACCACATTAGCTCCACCTTAAGTTGGACTTCCGCCACCCTGACTCACGGAAGGGTGGCCCATTTTCAGAAAGCAGTTTAGTCCAGATCTAAAGGATTGAATGATGGATCTCTGTCTTGGCGCTGGACTGGTTGAGTCAGCAGTGTGTAGAGATGGTTGCTGTGCACCTACAAATGACTTGATGCGTGAACCTCATAAGCGATCATATAACGAAGACCATATATGTTCATGAAATTGACGCTCTTGGAGGTTTCTGCTTCACCGTCCACACCAAGGGGTTGGGTTAAGTTTCATGTGGAGCTTTAGCACTTGTTTCAAAAGAATATTATAGGAAGAAATATTATACTTCTATAACGAGACGAAAGTAAATCGTAGGATGTGATACACTATGAATTCCATACAAATGTTCATCTCTTCCTAGATCATCGCCCTTTTTGTCACCGAAGGTCCTCCGGCTTTTCTGATCCAGCTATACTCATCCTTCAAGTACTTTTGCGCTCTTAGATCTCCCGAACGGGCATGGCCTTCGAAGTTCTCTGCCCTGGCCGCCCTTCCGCAAAGACGACCCAACTCTCCGCTGGCCTCCGAGTTCTTGACTTCCTGGTAGGTGCAAGTTCGCAAGAACTTGCCGACCCATAGTCCACCAGTATACTTTGCCGCTTTCCTTGTAGGGAGAACATGATTTGTTCCAATGCACTAAAACCAAGATATTAGGAAAAAGCTTTGGTAGATCAAATAAAGACATACCTTATCACCATAGGACACACAGGTGTTCTCACCCAAGAACAGAGCGCCATATGCAGACATTTTTTCCAATGCATCCCTTGGGTTCCTGGTGAAGACCTGAACATGCTCGCTCGCAATCTCGTCGGCCACTTTCCATGCTTCGTCTATTGAGTCCACCACGATTACTTCTCCATATGCTTTCCATGATGTTCCTGCTAGCGGCGCGGTCGGTAACTCTTTCAGCAGTTCGTCAATGAACGCTATTGCCTTTCGTCCTACTTCCTCAGAAGTTGTGAGAATGATTCCCGGCGAGTCCGGGCCGTGTTCTGCCTGGGAAAGGATATCAGTTGCAACGGTAAAGGGATCGGCTGTTTCGTCGGTGATGATGAGAATCTCAGTTGGTCCAGCAAACAGGTCGATACCGATCTCTCCAAATAGCTGTCTTTTACCTTCTGCTACGAAAGCATTGCCAGGACCGGCGATGAAGTCAACCTTGCGAATCGTCTCTGTTCCAATGGCCATAGCTGCGACGGCTTGAATACCACCAAGAATGAATATTTCGTCAGCCCCAGCCATATGCATTGCAGCCACAGTAGAATTTGGTATTTGGCCGGCGATGGGTGGAGTGGCACCTATAACATGCGGGACACCGGCGACCTTTGCGGTAAGGATGGTCATGTGTGCCGATGCCAAAAGGGGGTATCGACCACCAGGGATATATCTACTGCCAGTCAATCACCCGCTGGGCAAAACCACGAACACATAACTTACGCTCCAACAACTGCAATAGGAACATTTTTTTGACCTAAAAACACGCCCTACGATATGTCAAATGGTGTGAGTAGGGTGCCCAGGTAATTCCTGCTTACCGGTTGTGTCTCGAGCTCGAAATCGCGAATAGAATCTCTCTGAGCTTGAGCGAATTGCCTGACATTTGCCTGCACCTGCCTGATATCTTCTATCGTGTGCTTTGGAACTGCAGTTATCGCAGCGTCGATCTGTTCCTTGGACAGCTTGAACGATTGCCGCGACCACTTGTCGAACTTTTCCGAGTATTTTCGAACAGCATCATCGCCATTCTGCCGAATGTCGTCGATGACTTCTTTGACAATGGAACCCACTTCAAGAGAGAGGGTATTGGTAGAGTTTTCGGCTGCTGACCCTTTCTTTAGATATCTAGGAGGCATGATAAGCAGTTCAGTAGTTTAGAATACAAAGTTCCGGGGATTTAGATATGCGCACGCAAAGGACAATTTCCAAGTTAACGAAGGCTTTATAGTCTATGAATTTGCTCCTATTTCTATGACCACCATTCTGATTGTGTACTCGCATGGTGCTCAGGAGGGCATTCTTTGCCAATTGCCGCTGGCTCGGCTCCACCCCCAATCTAGCAAGCTCCGGAGCATATAGACTAGACTCGCATTCATAGTCTAGAACAATCAAGCTGCAAAGGATGATTAATTTCGTTCCGGTGGAGGCGCCATCTGCTAGCCATCTGAGGCCGCTGCAGCTGACGGGGTGATCGACTCGGGAATGACACCGGCAGCGGGACCACCGGCGGAATTGATGCCAACGATAGACACTGGTATTGACAGCGCATTATAACTGAGAAGGGTACAATAGGAGACATTGAAGTGTTATACATGGATTCGAAAGAGACGAAGTCATCATTGTGGGCCCAAATATTGACGACGTTAAACATGGTAGAGAACGTTCTTAAGATATAGTTGTTGATCTATATCTTGATAAAACTGAGGAACTTAGGCGTCATTGAGTCAAAGTCAAATCTCTCACGAACGATTTGTCGATCGCTGGTGAAATATTCATAGTATTCTCAATGCATGATTTTCTCTTCCAGACCCGTCACGTAGCTGTGCGCAGTCCTGCCAATTTCTTAGATGCCTTAACATCGTCCATTCCATCGCCGTAATCCTCGTCCAGAAGCTTGCCATTAAACAGCAGCGGCTGGGACTCTTGAAGTGCATACAACATGCGCGCCCATTTCGTATCAATAGGGTTTCTCCAAGCGTGTTATCGCGAGAGAGCGACGTTCGGCTGCAACCGTACTGAATTGCAATTTTGCGATAGCTGAATTGTTGTCCTGGTTCAAGCGACTTGATTGCTTCGATCGCAGCCTTAATCGGGCTCATAGTGGTGGACTTATTGATCGTAAAAGTTGGTGATCGATTTCGGTGGGTGGCCTAAAAGGCCGTCGGGCCCACACGGACATCAGCCTCGGTATGTTTGATGTGGGCCCGATGCCCCATCCATCGGTATGACCGGAGAATAGCTTAGCACTGCCAACCTACGCAATGCATCAGTTATTACCTATGATGATGAGACGGACAGAGCAATGGTATTCCTAACCTCAGCCTTCGATTCAGTATTGTATCCAGCACAACATCTACCATGGCGGCCGCAGTAACAAAGGTTGCACTCGTCACGGCAGGGTCTAATGGCCTCGGCGCTGCGATTGCAAGATGCCTCGCATTAGAAGGGGAAATGTCCGTTGTCATCAACTTCCATTCAGATTCATCCCGAGCCGATGCCCTCGTCCAACAGCTTACACAGATGCGCAAGCGAGTGAATGGCTCCGCCGCGCCGCAGTTTGCCGCGATAAAAGCAGATATGGGCCAGCGAAATGAGATTCGCCGACTGGTCACTGAGACGGTTCAACAGATGGGACACCTAGATGTAGTCATTTCAAATGCAGGTTGGACGCGAGTGACAGACTTTTCGGATCTCCAGCAGGCCGACGATGAGGCGGACTGGGATCGCTGCTTCAACATGAACGTCAAAAGTCACTTCTTCCTTTTTCAAGCCTGCAGAGAGCATCTTGAGAAGAGCGAGGGTGCATTCATTGCTACTGCAAGCGTAGCAGGAGTTACTCCAAGCGGGAGTTCGCTAGTAAGTTAGGCGCGAACACTCCAACAGAGTTAACATATTGGAATGATTCTAACTTAGCTGTCTAGCCATATTCTGTAACCAAGGCTGCGCTAATACATCTCTCACGGAGCCTCGCGGTTATCGCAGCACCCAAGATTAGGGTGAGCTCAGTGGCACCGGGAGTTCTTCTGACAGTATGTGTTTGTATTGAAGCATTGGTATGTTCTGATAACGGCAGGATTGGGGCCGCCAGTTTTCGGAAGAGAAGCTCAACTCGGTGCAAGAGAGGAACGCGTTGAAACGGTTCGCTACAATTGAGGTATATCTGTGTCGATCTCGTCTTGCGGTTCTTACCACTAATCGATAACAGGATGTTGCTCAGCAAGTAAAATACCTTGCTTTGGCCAAATCAGTCACTGGCCAAATTGCTGTTATCGATGCGGGATTCTCGTTGTGAAGTAACTGAAACTCGCGTCTGCTACCACAATGAAGCTGGTATAGATTAGATAAAAAGACGAGGCGCGATTTCTACAAGGGTGCAACTGGTGCACATGATGAGATCATTGGATGGCCCCTTTCGGGAAAAGTGTTGTTAAAGCCGATGCTCTAGCACAACACTATGAGAAGATGTAAATCAAGTATCATCAGCTAATAGATATGTCTCGCTGAGACCCAGAGGATAGGGAACTATCAATAAATGCTAATGTGAAGAAACCATTCCGCTTGATTGTACTGTTTATCATTGTCTAAGGATGTTGCTGCTTAGATGCTGTGGTTTAAAGACTAACCGTACAACGACCCCGAAACAACAATCAGAGCATTTGCCGAATCCATGAGGGAGACATCAGCTCATTGTGTGTCCAAGACAATGCCACCATGAGCACAAGATATAGCTATAAGACGGAAACCGTGCCGCTCATCATCTATGGGAAGGAAATTCAGGCTTCTGAGCATTTCCACGTCATCTCGCCGAACACATCCGAAGCAATATGCAGGAGCTCTTTAACTTCTCAGAAAGATGCAGTCGCTGCAGTCGAAGTCGCATCGTGTGCCTTTCTTACCCGATAAAGCGCTTCAAGTCTACAAAGAACTCTTCAATAGGGTCGAGGTCCGGCGAGGAAGGCGGCAGGAACACTAGCTTCACGCCTGCGCGGAGGCACAGCTCTTGAACGCCATCGCTGTGGTGGAATGAGGCATTGTCCATGACTAGCACTGACTTTGGCTCCGGCCAGCGCCTGCAGTGCTGAAGAAGTTTTGCTTGATGTTTCAACATCTCCTTTTACATCCAGTTGCTACATCGCTACGCTGCTCCCTGGAGTCGCCGTATCCCTCAATCGTCCCATAACATTTAGTAGATTCTCCACAAGTGGCGAATTGGGCATTGAAGAATCGCAATCACCCTTCGCCATTATTCCCATAATGGTAGACATAACAACCGCCAGATCGTCTAATTGCGTAAGCGGCATGTTGGGCCGGTTACCGTGCAGAGCAGGTATCCCCCTACCCAAAGAAATATAGCGATATGTCGCGGTCGTTTCTTCGTCATCAAGACAGATCACTTGTTGTGGTGCTTGTGGGGGGTTCATATCCGTACTCATGCTCCCAGCTTCTGGATACAAACCTCGACCCTGGACAAACATGCGCGATGCCAGCCCGTACGCCCAAAATGTCAAACTCGCATGAAAGAGCGAGATAGCGTAGAAGTCGCGGAGATGCATATGGGGAAGTGCCCTTGCAGCGCGAACAAGTTGGCCAGCGTGCCAGACTGCTAACCGAGATGTCTTACTGCTCGCCCACTCTTTGACCGAGGCATGTATATGTGATGTCTCTTTTTGATCTTCTAGTCCGCAGAAAAGTTGGATCTCTTCGAGAGACATGTGTAGATGCATGAGAATCAGCTCAAGCAGCAGCGTGCTCTCATTCACGTAGCTGATCCGGTAATAGTCGAATACTTTGAGGAGTTCCTGATACCGCGTCATCATCGCTAATCGACTATCCCACAAATCGGAGTTGGTTGGTCTTGCATAGAACAGCCGAGCCAGCTTTCGATACTCCCATACCATACCCCACATAGCGTACAAGAAAGAGGAGCATGAGAGCTGGAGATCAATAACCGTCTTGCTATCTTGCAGGAGATCTGGAGTAGCGATGCATCCTGTCAAAGACGGGATTTCTGTCGTGCAATTTTCGAATTTCGTCCGGTATATCGACTTCCATTCTGCTGCCGAAGCCGCCAACCACAGCTCTTGTGATTCTGGCAAAGGAAGGTCGAGCTCGGAGTAAGATATCGAAGGGTTGATAAGCAGCGAAATTGAAGCCTGCGTATTATGGCTCAAAAAGTGATATACCAGCCTCTTAAACGACTCCTGTTCAACCCAAGAGCGCCACTTCCTCTCAAGCACAAGACCCTCATCCTCAGCCTCAAACACCAGAATCGGATAATTAGACTTTCTAAAGCGGCTCCCACGTCTCAGCATCGATAACGGCGGCTGCTGAAAGCTTTCGGAGATTTCAGTTTTCCGGCTGCTGCCGCTCCAGAGCCCAATCTCCAGCTCTAGCATGAAGGCTTGTGACATTTCGAGGTCGCGAACTAGGGTGTTGTCAGATTCGAAGACCGTGGGTATGTGATTGCGCACTACTTCTTGGATGGCAAATCCAAGTTTCCGCAGGGATCGGTCGGGTGTGAGGACTGCACCAGCAGCTGCCATGGCAAGGAGCAGCTCTGGTCGAGCTTTCTTTGGTCTGAAACTGGCTGTATGGATCCATGAGCTAGCTGTGGGAATGGGGCCAGCCAGGAAAAACTGTATCAACTTGTCCAGCAGCATGACTGACGGAAAAGCAGATAAGGCCGGGAGAATATGTGATTTGACCTGACTGAGGAGTATGGCGAGAATTTTGTCCCGGGTTACAGAGTCCAGTTCCTCGGTTGTTGCTCGTCTGCTCACGTCTGCGAAGCTCTCCGGGGTTCTGACAATCCGGTCTTGCGCGGGTAAGGAGAGATCGGCCTGCTCCGAATATGCATGCACTCCGGGTACTGGAACAAAGTGCCAAATGAACTGCTGAAGAGATCCACTTGAGGAATTGGTATCCATATCTTTGCCCTGTCTTGAGGGGCCCTGACTAGTTGCATTGGCGTTTGGTGGTGGTATATGACCGACTGGGTTCTCAATTTCAAAGGGCACTCGTGTGTTGTAGGTGTTGAGAAAGCTGAGGTCAATCGCACTGAAATCAAGGTCAGCTTCGCCACCCCAGCCTACCATCCCACTAGGCGTAAGCGTGCCACTTGGCAGATCGGTAGAGAATAGTCCGACTGAGAGGTAGTCCATAACTGCAGGCATATCACCTGACCTATGTTGTGACTGTGGCTTGTTCACATTGGTTCGATCTTGCTCGCCTCGATAAGGAGGAAGGAAAGTAAGGGGAGGTGGTGGAGGTGGTGGAGGTTGTACTTGGTTCCCCGTCATGTCCGCCAACACTGAGTCAAAAACATTGCTTTCATCATCTGAGGGCAGACCTGGAGTAATAGACCCTTCGTTGATTGTTGCCGGCGGATCCCGCTGACCCTGCGGACCTGTATTGGACTCCGTTTGTAGCTGCAGTTCTACGGATGAAGCAGCCAGTTCTCTAGATTCATTCACAAACGATCTGGGAGCTATGACACAAGCAATGTCTTTACTCAAACATCGTCTGCAGGGTTTTTCATCTTCACATTTGAGATGCTGCTCGGCACACGCCTCGCAAGCCTTGGAAACACGAAGAGGTGCAGACGAGGTGGTACCTGTCCGGCGGCGCTTGTTCGGCACGTCGTTTTTGGCGGTAGTGTGCAGCAGAGCATGTCTTGTCAACAAATCGCTATCTCTTCAATAAGCAGGAGTAGTAGCAATGATAGCGGATGGAAAGTGCCCACACTCTGCTGAACTGCTTGTCGCATGTGTTGCAACGATACGGTTTCTCCTGCGTGTCTGCGATGCTACGTTAGCGCGGTGATCGCACACAACGTGAAATCTGACCAGATTCACATACGCGAGCGAACGTGACGCGCCAGGTGGTCAAGTCGAGAGTACGACTGGGAGCACGTTCCACACTGAAACAGGCCAGCCTGTGAACGACTAGTCTGGGCCGGAAAGGAAGACATGGCAACGAAGGGTGTGGGTAAACGAGAAAGTGGACGTGGACGCTTCCGACACGAAGGTGGGGGAGAAATCGCTATTTGGCTCAAGTTCGGCAAGACCTGAGATTGTGGGGAGGGGCGTCGGATGAGAACCCGTGGGATTGCCGAGCAGCCCTGGAGTTTCCTACCCGTCCCCACCAGCCCAAGCGAAGCTTAGTCCTCAAAGGTGGCTGGATTATGCATTCAGCTACTAGGAGCATGCGATAGTTTAGAGATATATACTAGTCCTAAAGCGCATATATACTAGTCCTAAAGCGCGTAAATTAAAGAGGTAAGACAACACTAGACTACAACAGGAGAGAATTAGCACATAGTTTGCGTTGCATCCACGCGTTTTTAGGGCAGAGTGCACGATTACCTGACTAGGAAGAATCAGGAGCTAATACCACAGTGCACACCTTACTCTCTTAACAGCATCGGATACTTCTCAACCCCGGGTTCATCAAACGTCTCAATCAATGCCGCAACAGCTGGATGCATACCCGCCTCTACTACTGTCTTTGTCCATTCGTCCATGGTCAAGACATTGTACCTTTTTCCAATCCTGTCCAGCCCCACGTCTGCCATTGAAGCCATAGGAATGACGACGTCCCCTACATTATTCACATACGTGATCCTCTCCTTCGTGGCGCGCGTCAACTTCCTGGCTACATCACTGCAACAAGTGTCCACGCTCACAAGGTCGAAGGCGCCAGCATTGTGGTCAACCCTTGGTACCGTTTGTGTTTGATGCGCAAAGTGTAGGAGCGAATTGACCCAATCGAAGCCGGCGCGTTCAACAGCTGCGTCCTCGCCAGACCGAATGATGGTAGATGGGCGTTGAATCACAATAGGAAGGTGGTACTGCTCGTAGACCCGCTCGAGCATCTTCTCGCAAACCCATTTGCCACACATGTATCCATGAGATCCATCAGCGGGTGGAGTCTTGCCCGTCGTGGTACATGAAACTGGAGGGAATGCGTCGCGTTCCGCAAACAAGGCAACACCTGCAGAGGAGACGTAGTGGAATGGTATCATGCGCTGGAGGCACGTTGAAACTAATTGTTTAGTCGAATCGACGTTTGCGAGCTTGAGCGCAGAATAGTATTTCAGATGCGAAGTGTCGGAGCCATTATGAATGACGGCGTCGGCTTGCTTGAAAATGGAGATCCAAGTTGAGGTTGAGAGGCCGAGTTGTGGTGCGGTGAGGTCGCCAGCGTGGTACTCAATCTTGTCGCCCGGAAGTGGAAGCTCGCCGCTTGACAGGCGCGAGGGGAGGCTGCGCACAGCGAGACAAATGATCTTGCGAATGGAAGGTTGGGCGATCAAGGTACTCAAGAGATGGTGACCCAGGAGACCCGAGCAGCCCGTCAGTACGACGACCTTAGGGTCCGATCGAGGCGCAGGGGCGGAAGTGAGCTCGGAAAAGGTAGATATTGAGGGTGGAGTGGTTTCGAAATACCAGTCTACAGAGTTGAACGTGTCGACTGGCGAAATGTCCTTCTCGGGAACGGGTGTTGATGTGCCAGGACTAGCAGACTCGGGGGATGTGGGTAGGGTACTTGCGGTCTCATCGTCGCTGCTGGTATTTGATGAAGCATCCTGCCTACCGGCCTGCTGCTGCTGCTGCTGGACATGAGGTATCAATTCTGCAGGAATACTCTCTGCTGCCAAGTCCACCAAGGTCGACATGCGCACATCGTTGGCCATGATCTTGAGAACTGGAATACTCACGCGGAAGTTCTTGAGGAACCACGAGCGCACATCGACGGAAAGCAACGAGTCGAACCCTAGATCGACTCCACGCATCATCATCAAATCCTCGTCTGCTGTAGAAACCTGCAGGATACGACGGAGCTGGGCGCAATACGCCTGTTGGACAACCTTGGTAATGTCCGCTTGACTGCGACATGCCAACAAAAGCTCTTGCGTCGAAGCCGAGTTGGCCACCTCGGCCTTGCCAGCTCCAGCAGCAGCTTGATGGACTTGGAAGCGCTTGAACTTTGGATCAGAATACCACGGTGGGATGTCAATGGTATCGGGCGTAATTTCCAGTAAGCCTGTTGAAATTTCTGGACCGCTGTCGTTGTCCAAATGTCCAGCCTCCATACATTCGGCGAAAATCTGGTGGAAATCCTGCTCGGATAAATGCATCATGGCTGTTTTGGCGACCGTAACGTCAAGTTGTCGATCAGATTGTGTGATGTAACCAACACCAATGATGGCGCCGACGTTTACGACGGAAGAGCGGAGACCACGTTTACGGCGGTGGCCAGCCACACCTATCATGCCCATGTTTGCAGCGGCATAGTTTGCTTGTCCGACGTTCCCAATGACGCAGTTGATGGAGGACAAGAGAACAAAGAAATCGAGATCTATGTCGTGGAAGATGCGGTCCAAGTGGATGCTCCCGAGAACTTTTGGTCTGATAACATCGGTGACTTGTGCGTACTCCATATTGCGCACTGAAACGTCTCGCAGGACCATGGCACCGTTGAGTAAACCAGCGATGGGCGGAAGCGTGCGGACAATGGTCTGGTGGACGTCTTTGATGGCAGCCTCGTCAGTCACATCACTGTAAAACTCGTGTTAGCGATAGGGACTAAATATGATAGGTTGTCTTTTACATACCAGAGCAGAATCTTGATCATAACACCATGCTTTTCATGGTTCTCGATCCATCGCTCATCGATCTTGGGGTTCCGACTTGTCAGAACCAGATATTTAACACCTCGTTCAATCATCCAATCGCAGAGAGAGATTCCTAATGCGCCGGACAGTCCGACTAGCCAATAGGTCTTGTCAGCCTTGAAGAGTTGGGTCATCTCGAAGCGCGTTATGCGAACAGAAAGCGAGGTGCTTGGTGGTGTCCAGTCAATGACTGCGAGCGGATCCGCGGGGTGTTTTCCACTAGCAAGTGCTTCCAAGTCAATTTTGGTTGTATCAGTCGACGTACCCCGTCCTTTTCTTGAGCTAATGGCGCGGCTGAGTACATGCTGTGCCGTGGCCCCAAGAGCGCCAGTGTCGACGCCGTGAGTTGAGAAGAGAGTGCTCGTGTTCATCTTTTGACAATAGAATGGAAGCAGGGACTTCATAGCATCCTCGCTGTCAGCCTTATTCAAGGCAGAGAAGCTGACAAAACAAGCCAGATTCGTGGGTAGAATGAACGACATATCGGATCGCGAAGGATATAATGGCAAATGGGACTGCACTGCAACGTCCTTGGGAACAAATTCGCCACCCGCATCTACTATAAAGGTTGTTTCAACACCCTTGGCCGTGGCGTAGCTAGCGATGGCCTGGATGATGAGTTTAGAAGCATTGAGGATAGCCAGCTTTTGACCAGTAAACAGCGGGTCAACGATCGTCATGGCGATGATCTCTGCGGCAAGGAGCGTGAGGTAGCTGGGTTCTGACATATCGTAGAGCTCACACAAAATCGTCGATTTCAGAGGGACGCAAAGTACAGAGGTGAGCGAGTTGACCAAAGCGACGCGCCGAGCACCGGATTCGTCGAAACCCATGATGAGATACTGATAGCCAGCCGGACATCTTAGCGCAGATATAACAGAATAAGCAACGCGCAATTTGATCGTGGTGTCATGTGACGGTTCAAGCTTTGCAGAGACCTCGTATCGCGATAGCTTTCTAAAGCTCGGCTCCTCTTTGGCATACCGTAGCTCCACCACACTCTGACTTGTATCCACGTCCTCATAAATAGGTCGTGTAACTGAGTTGAGACGGTTGTTTGCGGCCTGTATCGTGAACAAGCGCGGAACTAGCTCTCTGCCATTTGCGTCGATGATGACTTCCGGCTCCTTGGTGTAGAGAATGTCAGACTTGTCCAGTTCAGAAGAGGTGAATCGCAAAAGGTACTGCATAACCATAACTGCGTTGAGCTGGCTAACATCCGCCACATCCAGGTATTGTACGCGAAGGGTCTCTTCCTCGTGCATTGCAGAACGGCCGAACCCTACTGTCATGTTGGAGTAGGGTTCGTCTTCAAGACGGCCGCTAGTTAGCCAGAGAATTTCCCTCTTTGTCTCAAAGAGTAGGCGGAATTTGTACCATCTCTCCGATGTAATGTCCTTGAATACTGGAGCCTCCAGGTCTACGAGGCTGATAATAACCGTCTCATCGTCCAGGACGTTTTCTTGCAGATCTTCGAGGGATGTGCACAACAGAACTTGGATGGCCAAAGGCGTCAAGACCGTTTGTATTTCTTCGGCCAGCTTTGCAATCGTAGATGTGATCCCACCAATAACAACAACCTTGTTATACACTGCGCGGGAAGCCTTTGCTCGGGGATTGCGTACAAATTCGATGCGCTCATCCACAGCAGTTGAGACGAAGAGTGTGATGCCAAAGGCATCAAAGAGCTCAGGTGGCGACATGGTGTCAATGCCCGAGAAGCCGGCGTCTCTGAGAATGACCTGCCATTCTGACGCGCTCACCAAGGGCGACAATGTGCGACCCTCATCAACACCGCGCCACCAGCCCGGGAGGGTACCGAATATGAACCCTGCGCCAGCTTGCATTGCGCCATCGCTAGCACCTTCTCCAAGAACCAATAGACCGCCAGGCTTCAGGAGCTTTCGGAGATTGGCCACAGCCTCGTCAAGCTTTGCGCAAGCATGAATGACCATGAAGGCAATGACAACATCATATGTACCTGCTTCGAAGCCCTGCTCAACAGGATCATTCTCAGCATTACACACCTTAAAAACCATGCGACTTCCATAGTCTGAAAAAGTCTCAGCCGCATTCTCGAAGAAGCTAGATGAGATGTCGGTAAAGGTATAACTTGCAAAGTCGTGGCCAACGGACTTCAGAATCGTCTTGGTCGCACTACCAGTACCAGCTCCAATCTCCAACAGGTTAAGATGTGGATTGCAGTCCGCCAATTGCTTCAGGACGCCGGCAACCCACAGAGTGCACTGCTTGGTCCCGAAACCGTTAGAGTAGTACTCGTCGAGCAATCCAGACGTGCGGAAATGCTCCAGCATTGTCGTCTCACGCCTGAACACACGTGGCATGGTGCTCCCAACCAGAAGCATAATCCTAACATCAGAGTTATCCTGGAAGCCTTTAGAAGCAATGTCGTCAAAGACGTCCTGCTCTGTATCTTGAAGCCACTCCTTGTACGCCCATTTATGCTCTCCCGCCCTCAACAGGCCCATCATGTGTCGAGCATAGCGCATGTAATGGCAAAGAGGGCTTTCCAATCTTGCAGGATCATCTTCGGCGATCATTTCGTCAAATTTCCGCAGGTAGTAGGCGGCAATGCGACTCAGGACAAACATAAGCTTGCGATCGCGCTCAGTTATGGGAACACTAGCTGCAGCTAGTAGTCCGTCAGGTTTACTAGGTACCCAATGCATCTTATAGAAGACATTCCGGTCATCCTTCGCATCGGATCCAACAGGCTTGAATTTGACTTGTTCCACCTGAATGGCTGCGTGGTCGAAACCGGCCGCATACATGTTGACACTGCCCGAAAAGCCATTGCCAGGCTCAGCGCGGTCTGCTGTGGTGCAAGTAGAATCAAGAATTGTCGTGTCGTTTTCAACATACTTTTGAGAAGAAAGGGCCGCAGGATTTACACGTAGTCTTTCAATACTGGTGGGCAAATGCAACAAGCGTAATTGATCATCGCCAGGGTAGCTGTATGCCAGCATAACAGACTGAAAAGCGGCGTCGAGGTCAACAGGATGAACAAGGAGATCATCTGCATCCGGTACAGATTTCCTCGCTTTTTTCGCAAGGCATGTTGCAGTACCGAGCTTTCTCTCCAGTTTGGCGAGGGACTGGAATGGTCCGGAGAAGTCATATTCCAACCCCTTCATGAAATCATACAAACGGCTTGGCTGCACGGGAATCATGTGCGGCGGTGGCTCTTGGCGTTCTGGGAAAAGCGCAAGAGACGGATCATCGTCCACGAGCAGAATGTTGAGCTCACCATTGGCGGCAAGGGCAAGGTCGTTTGTCTCATCTCCCAGTCCAGCGGTGTAGGTGAACGTAGCGTTGACATGATTTTCTTTGACGTTAATGCGAGACAGTTCAACCAAAACTTCAACTCCCACGTCATTCTGGTCGAAAGTAATGGCATTGTGGATGCAAAAGTTACTCAGCTCGATGAGCTGAATGTTCTTGCCTTGGGCCAGCGACCGCGCAGCCTCAATAGCCGTACAGATGTAGGTTGCGGCCGGCAGCACTACTTGATTCTGCACCTGATGTCCCTCCAGCCAAGTCATCTCCTTCGGTTTCAGCACATTCTTCCATCGGAGTATGTGCGGTGCGCTGTCTGGAGATACGTTGCCGAGCAGCTGATGAAAAGGCCCCTCGCGTAGTCGCATGCGGCGCGACCTCCTAGATTCTGCCCAGTACACAGTCTCGTGCTTCCATTGATAAGTCGGCAAATCAGCGAGCACAGTATACTGCTGAACGCCGCCAGACGAGGACAATGCCGCTTCACAGCTACCCAGGTCCAACGAAGCGGCGTCAAGGCGCTCCCACAAGAATCCGAGGCACGTCGCAAAAGCCTTCGTTGCGTTTTCGCCGCGAACTAGAGATCCATGATATGGAATTTCCTTTTGTGCAACTTCTTGAATAGTTTGCTTTGCTGGTCCAGCGAGAGCAGCATGTGGACCAACCTCGAGTGCTGCTGCAAAGGGTTCGCCACCCCGAACTGGTGCAACGGCTGCTTGTACAGCCTGGGAGAACAAAACAGGCTTGGTCATGTTTTGTGCCCAGTAAACATCCGCCAACTCATCGGTTGCGGGATTGATCGCCCTGCCTTCATGGACACTTGAGATCCAAGTGCATTGATCATTGCCAGGCAGCACCGTAATTCCAACGCGTCGGAGAGATGCGACGTATGGTTCGAAACACGGCAGCATGTGCTTTGAGTGGTACGCCGTATCCACTTTGAGTCGGCGATTGAACTTCTTCTCGTCGTCAAAGACTGTTGCGAGCTCATCAATAGCATCCTCGTCTCCGGAGATAGTGACACTTGAAGATGAATTGCTTGCCGCGACATTGATTCGACCTGAAAACTCCTCATCCTCGCATAGCTCGGTTGCATCTTCCAACGAGGTTCCGGCAGCGAGCATAGCGCCCTTTACATTTCCGTTAGGGCTTGCGGCAAGCTTGCAATGCAACCCTCTGTAGTAAGCAACAAGGAGTGCATCGCGTGCACTGAGGTATCCCGCCGCGTATGCAGCTGCTATCTCTCCACTAGAGTGACCGATAACAGTGTCGAATCTAACTTTTGCCGAGCAGAGGAGTTTCACTAAGATGATTTGAACTGCCGTACACAGCGGTTGTGAGATTGCTGCTTCACCCACACGGGAGACTGAGGGGTCGGCAAGCAGTTCACTCTGAAGCGACCAGCTCGGACGATCTTCTTCTGGAAGTTCGGCAAGATAACCCTCGAGCTCTTCAAGCGTTTTCCGAGCCATGTTGGTCTGGGCAAGCAGTTCTGTACCCATACGCGCGTATTGCGCTCCCTGGCCGGTGAAGATTCCAAGGAGCTTAGAACTCCCTCCATTATTTGCTGCCCATGTGCGTACTCCAAGACCTTCTCCATCTGACTCCGAGAGGCGGGCTGCGATACTGAGTTTCAGATCCTTGGTGTTCGATTCCGGAAAGGCTATACGAAATGGAAGCACTGATCGTCGTTCGCGTAATGTGTATGCAAGGTCTCGCGTGCTAATTTGTGGATGGGCATCCAAGTGAAGAGCATACGCGGCGAGGTTTGCGCGCAATGACTCCTTCGACGCAGCTGAGAAGACAAAGGGTGTCGATACCGTAGCATCGACATGGTGGAAGCTGGGAGGCGGAATCTCTTCCTTTGGCTCATAGCCTTCGACAATTGCATGAGCATTCGTTCCACCAAAACCAAAGTTGTTGATGCTAGCACGTTTCCGCCTCCTCTTTTCTGTAGCAGGCCATGTGACTGGTTGGGTGGGTATCTGAATATTGCCATAAAATGGCTCTAACTTGTGGTTCAGTTGTTGGAACCATAGGTTTGGCGGTACTGTGGCATTCTGAATCGCCTTGGTAACTTTAAGAAGCGCTGCGATGCCGGCTGAACCCTCAGTATGTCCCAGCACAGTCTTGATGGATCCTGTATAAATCGGATTATCTGATGGCGCTGTGGTGGCAAAAAATGCGCTACAGAGTGCTTCAGCCTCAATGGGATCTGCCGAATTTACAACATTAGAAAAGGACAATCCAGCGCACACGTACAGAATTCATCATTTCAAAGCTTACCTCCTGCTGGTGTACCAGTACCATGAGATTCGATGTACTGGGGCCGATCATTGGGGCTCTCTGGATCAAGACCGGCTTTCCTGTACACGCTGTGGATTAATGCCCGCTGTGCACTAGCACTAGGCATTGTGATGCCGGGCGTTGCTCCATCTTGATTGACGCCCGTTTCTCTTATCACGGCTTCAATTCTGTCGTTGTCTGCCAACGCCTGGCTCAGCGTCTTGAGCACGACAGCTGTCACGCCTTCTCCGCGTGCATAACCATTCGCGTCCTTATCCCACATGCGACTGAGCCCATCTGGGGACAGCATCTTCAATTTGCTTTCTATGACGTACATTTCCGGGCCTAGGATGAGGTTTGAGCCACACGCAATCGCTGCGTGGCTGTCTCCTGACCGCAGTGCCTGGACCGCGTGATGAACGGCGACGAGACTAGATGAGCATGCGGTGTCGATAGTAATGGAGGGCCCATGCCAGTCAAAGAAATATGATACTCGATTTGAGAGGATTGCTCGCGATGTCCCAATAGCAAAATGTGTTGGCGCTTGATCCAAATCCCGAAGCATCATGGCCTCGTAATCGCCGCACATAAGGCCAGCAAAGACTGCCGTATCGCTTCCTCGCATTCTCTCCATACTCAGGCCTGCTGATTCGATTGCTTCGTAGACGACTTCAAGCAGTAGACGTTGTTGTGGATCCATCGCTTTGGCCTCGACGGGATTGACACCGAAGAATTCGGCATCAAACAGTCGTGTGTCTTCCCCTATGAGATACGACTGTAGCACGTTCATGTGTCCATGATGTGTACCGTCCTTGTGATAGTACCCCTGGCTGTTGAAGCGGCTCGTGACATCACTGCGTAAATCTTTCGGGTTGCGGAGCAGGTCCCATAGTTTCGAAGGTGAGTTTGCTCCTCCTGCAAAGCGACATCCGCTACCTATGATAACGATGGGCTCGTTGACGGGTTTGTTGTGTGACATGGCGGGTAAACAGCCAAGAGGCAGGAAGAGCGGACTTTGATAGATAGGATTGCGCAACGTTTCGAGGTGCGGATAGATTCAGGGTAAAGTTGCCAACCGCGACAGATATGCTTTCCGGTCTTAACAGTAACGTTAGCCGATACGGTGTAAATATCAAGGAGACTACTCGGAGCGTGCTTAGGTATAGCACTGTCTGGGCGTTCGATCTCACCAACTTCCCTTTTCGGAGTTATTTACATGCTGGGTTAGGCCAGTCTGCCGAAGGTTAAGCTGCACATGGCTACTCCTTAGCTTCTCTCTGTACTACTAAAGGCAATAGCCACCGAGAGCTGCGCGTCCTCTCGGTGGTGCATTTTCACTCCTTCAGAATCGAGCCACACGTGCGCCATGTTTGGCTCGCCGAATACTTGGATCCAAGTTGTAAATACATCGGACCTTTTATTTGCGAGATTCGGTTTGGAATGCGTGCTCGGGCAGGCGTCTCTTTCCCATTCTGGAAAGTGACAGCGAACTTTGTGATTGCCATCAGCAACCGTCGTCATGCGGGGTTCATCGACTCCACCGTTACTGTATTGCATCACCACCGAACAAGCATGATGCGAAGTGCGTGCGGAAAAAAGATCGGAACTGGACGGTACTCCGTGAACGCCGCAGATATGGGCATCGCACGATGCCTTTCCAACGTAATTTAACATTGGCAAACGTATTCCGTCTTTTTCAGAGTAGCACTGTCTTCGACAATTTTCTCAAGTCTTGTGCTGAATCAATCGCGTGCAGCATTCACCTGCTCATTTCACCATGGGTCTCCAATTCCTTGCGCCAGGGGAAAAGGTCTTTCCAAGCTTGCATCGCATCATCATCTCCACCTTCGCTTTAGTACGCGTTCCATCACTTGAATTCCTCTCATTTACCTGACCGCCCCAGATTGCAGCCTACATCTTCATCGTCCGCCCCTTGCGAAACATCCTATTTCATCCGCTCAAAAAGTACCCTGGCCCCAAGCTCTTCGGTGCATCCTCCATTCCGTATGGCTTTTACTACATGACGGGAAAATGGCACCTCAAGATCCGCAATCTACATGCCACCTACGGCCCCATAGTGCGCATAGGCCCCGATGAGCTCTCATATGCATGCCCAGAAGCCTGGGAAGACATTTATGGGCGCTATGTCCCTACTAAACGCAGAGAGAATCCGAAACCGGTATGGTACTGCAGTCCAGATGCGCACGACATGGTCGGTGCTAGTCTAGGAGACCACGGTCGTATGCGTCGCGTCATGGCACCGGGTTTTACGTACAGCGCCATGTGCAAGCAAGAGCCGCTCATCAAGGGCCATGTGGACATGTTTCTGTCCAAGTTGTGCAGTTTGTGCGGAGATGGACGGGCGGAAGTGAACATTCTAGACTGGCTCACTTACTGCACATTCGATCTGATTGGTGACCTGTCGTTCGGAGAGCCGTTTGGCTGCATGGAAAATAACATGCTGCACCCATGGCTACAGCTGGTTTTCGCAAACATCTACATTACGCACATCATTCTGCTGTGCCAGCGCATCCCATTCTTCTATCTATTTTTGCCGATCAAGACGACATACCAATTGTGGCGCGATTTCAGAAGGCATGTCGTCCTTTTGCGAGAGGTTGTGGAGCGTCGACTGTCGCTATCCACACCGAGGGACGATTTTTTGGATGTCATGACGACTAAGCAGACCAGTACTCTGTACATGACCAAGGAAGAAATCTTTAAAAATGCGATTCTGTTGACGGGCGGTGGCGCGGAGACGACGAGTAGTAGTTTGTCAGGAATGATGTACATGCTAACGATGAGACCGGACGTCAAGGAGAAGATCTTAGAAGAGTTGCGCGACACTTTTCCAAGCGAAGATGACATCAACATGAGAAGTGTCGCGCAGCTGACATACACAGGAGCATTCATCGAGGAATCGATGAGGTATTATCCTCCGGGTCCAAACACAATGTGGCGTATAACACCGCCTGCTGGAAACACGATCTTGGGCGATTACATTCCTGGAAATGTGAGTTGGCTTATTCATCGGGCTGACATTCCAAGCCATTGTAATCTGGCTGACATGAAGCAGACTATAGTCGGCATCCCGCACCGGGTCCTCTACCGCAGCGAAGCTTATTGGAAGGATGCTGACGGATTCCGCCCCGAACGTTGGCTTCCTGATAGCCAGCGCCCAGCCGAGTTTGATGAGGATAAAAGAGAAGGCTTTCATCCTTTTTCTTACGGTCCTCGTGCTTGCATCGCGATGAATCTAGCTTACGCAGAAATGCGGTATATCCTGGCAAGGTTCTTGTGGCATTTTGACATCGAGGCTACCAAGGAGAGCAAGAAGTGGATGGATGATCAAAAAGCGTATTTGGTTTGGGATAAACCAGGTTTGTTCGTGCATCTGAAACCAAGGGCTGGGGTCAAGGTTGCTGCATAGTTTAAGGTCTGTTCCAAGACGTGAAGCAAATGTGAATGTAACCTTGGATACCACGTGCCGCAAACTTCTTGACTGCTCTGTTTAAACCTGCGACCTCCTAGGAGAATATCTAGTGACTTGTATACTAGCCTGTGTAGCTTTAAAGGCTTATTAGACCGTGATGAATCTTGAACCTAAACCCTTGAAAATAGACAGTCTTCAGTTTCTTTACGACATACTGTTCACTGTAGTGTGTCAAAACAGGCACGAATTGTTGCGCTGCCTAGTGTAGAGATCGAGGATCTGATGTCACTACTGCGCAGCAGCAAACCTTGAAAGGATCTGGAGTGACTCTAAGTTTAAACCTTTGGAAGAATAGCATTCTAACAATGCGGCACAATAACAGGAGCTTGAACAACTGTCAAACATACGATCGTATATGCCCCAATTTATGTTCAGAAGATCCATTACAGAAGGACTGAGACGCTGATGGGTCGATCAGGTATTCCTAAGCTCTCGTCCATAACTTGAACGTCCCACTCTTGAAATTTGAGTTGATATTGTTTGCTATATAAGCACTCTGGCTTCGATATCGCTAATCCATTACGACTAGTCTATGACTGCGCGTTCAAATTACGCTCGTTTCTTCACAGGCACGTCTCACAGGTAACTCAAAGTATTTGACGTTTCGCGCGTGTTCACAGATCAAGAAGCGATAAGCATAAATTTCGAAAGATTCGTACGAACAACTTCATCCATTACTTTGAGTAAGCTATTCGGATAGCCAACTTCTTGCCTTTGACGTCTCCTCTCTGCAGCATCTCCAGAGCCTTGATGACGCCTTCGAAGCTACCTCCGATCTCCTGCATAGGCTGTGTCTTAATCTGCCCGTCGTTCAACAGCAACTGCAACTCGCGTGCCCACTCGCCAGCAACAGCATGCAAAGCAGGATTGGCCTTGCGTGTGTACACAGGATGACCAAGATCGACATCGACGTTCTGTCCTTCAAAACCCATGACGACCTTGACAGCTATCGCGCGGCGGGTCAACCAGGCATCGGGGAATGCCTCGAGACAGGCGTAGCGGCCTCCTGTGCGAGAGAGAGAAGCAAGGCAGATGGCCATCGACTCGACGTCTGTAATGCAGTCGAGAGCATGCTTGATTTTAGATCCCTTGGCGATGGCCTTGATGTCTTCGGCACACGTCACCGAAGTGTAAGAAGCGGTACCGATTGCACCGAGACTCATACATAGAGGCGCCGAACTCTCTGAGCAAACGGCGATGGGGCTATAGCCTGAGCTGTTTGAGCCAAGAATTAGCTGCGTTCCAGATGAAGATGGGGGCAAGTGGCGATCTCATATATAAAAGGGCCTTACTCACAGCTTTAGCATTTGGATCGCCATGATACCAGTCGCCGTTGCACCGCCATAGACTAAGACAGGGAGGCCTCTAGAATCCGGCCGCGAGGGTAAGCCGGGGAGGTCCAAGGCTGCGGGGTCAGAGATGGCCAGGGCTGCGGTGCCCCATCCAATAGCGCCTATTCCTGCGGCCTGCAGGTCGGAGACGCCGTCCGGGATGCGCAGGAGATGACGTGAGTCAGCTGTTGCGTACTCAGCAAAGGCGCCGTTGTAAGGATTGCTAGGGCGATATGGGAAATCGGCTCCGCATACTCGAAGGCCAAGACCAAGGACCGACTGCGGGCCTGCTTCTTCAACGATGCCGCAAAAGTCGCAACCAGCGGTATTATCTTGCATGAAGAAATGCGTCACCATTTTGTAGTCGGTCGGATTGAGGCCGACGGCTAAGACGCGGACTCGCACATGGTATGGCGTGGGTAAGGGCGGTAAAGGTCGGCCATGAGCGACTACGAGTGGTAGACCATGGGATGATGTTTTGGATTGGATAACAGCAGTCTGGCCATTCGCTGGGAGCATAATGGACTAATACTAATACCGCATGCACTGTAGCCGCTGGGATACAGTCGGAATGAACATTCTATGGATCACAATGGTGTTGTGTATTAAAGTACCGATCAGTACGTACTCACGGCGGCTTGTTCCATGTCAGAGCCCATCTAGGAAACCGAAGGCGAAGGTTTATTAAAGCGGCTCGGACAGATCGTGTGGCGGTGAGATACCTATAACAATGGTGGATGATGCAGCGCTCCCGACACACCATCTTCAATTGTCATCCTAATTGATACCCATCATTCTTGCCATGCGGTTGGCACACGGTGGAACAGCGGTCGTGGCAGGCATCACTGCGCACCTGGTCTATTTTCACCGAGGGGAACACTTTGGAAATGGGGCACGTTATCTATCTGCTTTCGGTTTCGGGGTTACCATCTTGGCAGGTGTGCGATATACGGGAGAGAATGCAGGGGGATACTTTGAGTGTCTGGCGTGGGCGTTGACCATGGCCGCGTACTTCTTACTGGGCCTCTACGGGAGCACCCTGGTCTATCGCCTTATCTTTCACCCGCTGAATCGCTTTCCCGGTCCTTTGGCGGCGCGCATCTCCGATCTGTGGTTGTGCACACAGCTTGGCGGCCATGACATGCACCATCTCAGCGAGCGTCTTAGTAAGCGCTACGGCGAGTTTGTGCGCATCGGCTCGTCGACGCTCATGCTCACCCACCCCAAGGCTGTCGCCGCCATCTACGGGCCTGGCAGCCCGTGTCGCAAGGGAACCTTCTACGACTTGGAGCAGCCCAATCGCGGCATAGCAACACGTGATGAGTCGCTGCATGCTGGGCGACGTCGTGTATGGAGTCGAGGATTTGGTGACAAGGCTCTACGCACTTACGAGCCTCGCGTCGCCGCATACGTGCACATGCTGCTTGGAAGGCTTGCTGATGCTCGAGGCAAACCCGTCGACATGGCGCGCCTGGCAGAGGCATTTGCCTTTGATACCATGGGTGATCTTGGGCTTGGGGCCGACTTTGGCATGCTGCGACAAGCTCGCACGCACGAAGCCGTCGAGCAGCTTGTCCAAGGAATGACCATTATGGGCAGGAGGCTGCCCATGTGGTTGATGCGCCTGCTCATCGATGTCGCGCAGGCCCTCGTGCCCACCGCGGCCACAACGGGCTTCCTAGGCTTCTGTCACCACCACCTCGATCGCTTCATGGCCGACCCTCGGCGCAGCGAGCGGCCGAGTCTCATGGCACCGTTGCTCAGTCACTACGAAAAGCAGAATATCGCTGACCGTGACCTCTCAATCCTCCGTAACGATTGTCGATTTATCATCATTGCTGGTAGCGATACTGTGGCGGCAACCCTGACTTTTGCGTTTTTCTATCTCGCCAAGCATCCTGGGCACGTGACCCGTCTGCGCGAGGAGCTGTTTCCGCTCCGCGCTGCTGATGGCACATTTTCGCATCAGCGAATCTTTGACGCTCCCCATCTCAACGCCGTCATCAATGAGACGCTTCGTTTGCATCCGCCTGCCTCTACCATTCCCCGTGTCACTCCACCTCAGGGACTCGTAGTCGCCGACACCTTCATTCCCGGTGACATGACCGTCTTCTCATCGCAATACGCCCTGGGTCGCTCTGAGGCCATTTATTCCAAAGCGTCTGACTTCATACCGGAGCGCTGGTGCTCTCGCCCTGATCTCATCAAAGATGGCTCAGCTTACGCACCATTTTCTATTGGCCATCACAGCTGCCTTGGCCGCCCTCTTGCATTAATGGAAATGCGTCTTGTTCTCGCAGAGACTTTGTCACGTTTTGACATTGCATTTGCCCCGGGCTTTGATGCCAATCATTTTCTGCAGCATGTTCATGATTGCATGTCGTGGCACATTGGCAAGTTAGGTTTGACATTCACCGCAATTGAATAAAATGATGTATTTAGAATGTCTTCCAATCAAATGGTACATCGAATAAATGGTATGCTGCATCCAAAGTTCTCACAAAAAGACCTTGACTTGCTCTTCGCTCCAGTTCCAAAATGCTCTTGCATGACCGTTGCCTCCTTCGCCCTCCGTCTTGGTCGCGTCGCTCAAATCACTCCGGATGGGATATAGTCTGCCCCATGGTACAACTACAAGCCAAGAGCGTTAGCAATCTGGGAAGTAGACCATCTCTACGTACTTACTCCATGCTCCAGAGTCCTTCAGAGTCAACGTAGGAGATAGTGCAGCAAACAGCTCGACATAAGCTCCGTATGTGGGCGGGTACAACACAGGCTTCAACGCAAACTTGAACAGCGCGCCGCCCTCCCGATACAGGTCGGACTTCAAGTGGCCCGGATTAATCGGAAAACTTGCAATCCCATCGGCAGCATAGCGTCGCGCGAATTCCACACCATGTAGCCAGTTGCCGGCCTTGCTCAAGCCATAGCGCTCCAGCGGAGACATGAGTGGCCAGTAATCCACATAGTCGGGAGACAATCCACGTCGCTTTTCTCCAATGGTCTCGGTGCCCATGGACGACACCCATACAACACGCACAGTACCAGGTGGTTCCTGACGCGCCGTTGCAGTCAACACTCCAGTAAGCAAGCGGGTGAACAAGAATGGGGCAAGGACATTAACACCCATGTGGATCTCATGGCCTTGCGCTGTTCGAGCGTCGCCGTCTGTATCTTTTAGTGCCTGCACGGCCGCGTTGTTGATGAGACCGTGCAGCTTGGTTTCTAGCGAGGTGAACTTTTCCACTGCCTTCTTCACTACTGCCAGGTCTGCCAGATCAAGCTCTAGGGGAATTAGAGCGCCCCCTGACTTGGGGACTGCTTCTTGTACGGAATTGATGGCAGCGGGCAATTTTGGTCCCGGCCGCGCCGCCATGTAGACCTTTGCATTTTTCGCATACAACATCCGCGCTGCTTCTTTACCTACGCCTGAGCTGGAACCGGTTACTATGAATATCTGTTGACGATGTCAGCATGTGTTGCTTCATTTGTTCACGACTACTCGAGGTCTTTGGCGCACCTTGCCAGTCAAATCGGGAACTTGCTCCTCAGTGTACGTTGGCTTTGGTGGAAACATTTGTGTCCAAAAGCTTCCCATGGACTGTTTACCGGCTTCCGGCCTCTGCACATTGCCTGTTGTTTCTGCTGGAGCCATTATGCCAGTTCGTGAGGCTGATGATGGGAAGCGTGATGAGAGCTTCGCCGTGAAGATTGATCTTGATTGCGAAATGCACCCAGCTTTCATGGGTAGTCGTCTTTTGCAACAAAGCCTCAAGTGTTGAGAGAACAATGACGAGAGTTGATACACAGCATGTTATGCTGTACATTGTGCTCTGCTTACTCCCGCTCTCGCGAGGGGTACACGCCCGTGAGTTACCTTCTCGGTATTACTCAGAGTCGGTTTCCCATTTAAGCAATTGACGCCGAGACAGTGGGTCAGCACATTCGGACATACTCTAAACTAGCAGTTGATGGCGAACTCGATCTGATGAGCGCGATTTCTCGGCGGCTTTTCGTGAATCATAGACTTGTAGGGGCGCAATCAGCTGCGACCGGAAAGAGTGAGCGGGCGCCAGTAAGCACACCTTGAATGAAACCAAGGGGACGGGGAAGAAAGAGAAAAGGGGTATTCATTGACAGTGAAGCAAAACTGGCTACTTCCAGGCCCAGCAGTGTTCACCTCCATTCCGACTGTTCCACTCACCAAAATGGTTTGCCTCGCAACCTTGCTGCTGCTGGCGCCCGGAGTGTATGCAGCTGCACTCTTCGACCGACAGGAAGCAGCAGACAAACCTGGCTGTAAAGTCGTCCCAGGCGATAGCGCTTGGCCATCACAGCAAACATGGAGTCAATTGAACCAAACAATTGGCGGGCGGCTCATTCAAACAATCCCACAGGCAGCTGTGTGCCGCCCAGGAGGCTATGCAGGCCTTGAGCACAAATGAAACAGCATGCACCGCGCTGAAAAAAGATTGGGACTTTCCAAGAGCATAGTAAGTCTTCGCGTGCCCAAACCCTGGTTGTAAGACGAAAGCTAACACGAACTGTGGGATAGCCTAACCAAGGCGCCCGAAATGATGAATCCCTTCTTCCAAAACACATCCTGCAGCCCGTACTATCGCACCGATCAGCCCTGCTCGCTAGGCAACTACGTCAGCTACGCGATCCCTGTGGCCGGCGTAGCCGATATCGTTGCCGCGATCAACTTCACGCAGACGCACAATGTGCGGCTCGTCATCAAGAACACGGGACATGACTACATGGGCAAGTCAACCGGTAGGGGTGCTCTCTCGCTCTGGACACACAACCTCAAGTCTAGGCAACTCGTAAACTATTCGAGCGCGCATTACACAGGCCCCGCTATCAAGGTCGGAGCCGGTGTTACGGGCGGCGAGGCGCTTGTTCACGCAAGTGCTTCGGGATACAGGATCGTCTCTGGAGATTGTCCTACAGTGGGGTACTCGGGAGGGTATTCGTCTGGCGGTGGACACAGCATTCTCAACAGCGTGCATGGTCTTGCTGCAGACAATGTCCTCGAGTGGGAAGTTGTTACTGCAGATGGACGACACGTCGTTGCCAGCCCAGATCAAAACTCTGATCTCTACTGGGCCATGTCCGGTGGTGGCGGAGGGACTTTTGCTGTTGCGCTGAGCATGACATCTAGAGTACACGCTGACAGCATCATCGGTGCGGCGAGTTTGAGTTTCAACGCCACTTCGGCTCCGAGCAACGATTCCTTCGTCTCCGCACTCAATGCGTGGTGGGCATTTCTGCCTTCTCTCGTGGACGTGGGCGCGACGCCTTCTTGGAATATCTTCGCTGGTAACTTTCTTGTCCCCAACACAACTGCACCTGGAAGGACTGCTGCAGACATGGATACGCTTTACTCACCCTTTTTGTCCGAATTAAAGCGGCTTGGTATACCTTATGCGTTCGAGTCATTCTCTGCTCCCAATTACCTCCAACACTACAACGACACGGACGGCCCACTGCCTGATGGTCCGTATGCAGCGTCCCCGCTCTTCAACAGCCGTCTCATCCCCCGCACAATTTCCAAAAATTCGTCCGAGCTTACCGCCACAATGCTGTCACTTAACTCATTCGACCAAGCTGCAAATTGGCAGTTTGGCTGCTTGGGCATAAACGCCCCGTCCTCGTCCATTCCCAATGCGATAACTCCACACTGGCGTTCGGCAATCGCTATCTGTCTCGAGTTTAGCATCTACAATTGGAGCGTACCGGAAGAAGTCATGGTGAAGCGCAGAATGGATTTAGCGAATGTGGTACATCCGGCGATCGAAAGGGTGACGGTCGGAGGTGGCGCGTACCTGAATGAGGCGGACCCCCTGGTGTATTCACAAGGAGATCATAAAAAGTGGCAGGAAGCGTTCTACGGGGGAAATTATGCACGATTGAGAGAGGTAAAGAAGAAGTGGGATCCAAAGGGTGTGTTTTATGCTCACACTGCGGTCGGAAGCGAGGATTGGGTTACAGACATTGAAGGAAGATTGTGTAGGGTGTAGTGGGTGGGGGTCTGGCTTACGTCGTCAGGCAGAAGGCCTGAAGTTTAGTAGATTGTACATGGTTGTGTGCATGGCTTTAGGACCGTACATAACGTCCTGATCTCGATGCGCACATCCCTTGACGAGGCCACCAAGACCTTGGTCACGACGCACTGTCAGCATCTGAGGAAGCTAGTAAATCTTGAGATGTTAGATCTTCCGTGAGGACATGGTGCCCGGCCTCATGGCGGCCCAGGGGCTGGATAGACTGCTTTAATCAGCCTGCTTGTACCCGCAGTCTGCTTGATCTCGGCGTAACCAGGTACACTAATACCGGGCATGAACACTTCACCTCCGCAGTACACTCACTACCTACCAAGAGATGCCGAACGTGGCTGCCTGCAAGGTCCAGATGTGGAGGCTGCATGTCAATGATATACGCGAAAGCGTTTGAAAGCCCACATTACAGTGTGCTGCACTGTGGGGACGCCTCGAGCTGAATGCTCAAATCGCTCGTCTTGGTTGTGGTGTTACTCATCTGGGCAGCACCGAGAACACGTGGTCGGACCGCGCTTCAGTCTGCTGCTGCTCGCAATAACGTCTATGCACTCTGCATGTTATCTCTTGACAAAGTTTGATCTGCACGATGTTACAGTAATGTGCTTTTATTATTCATCCTCTTGATTAGCCTTCCCATACCTACTAGGCAACCGTCGATTCAGGTTCACGACGTTACATGAATAGCATTTGTGCATCTCCAGGGATGCCAGCCCTGAGAAGGCGAGAATACTAACTGTGATCAAGGGTCGCGGATGCAGCTACGGCACAATTCTTTCGTGGGGAACTTTCCGACGGGGTTTATCACCCAGACAGGTGCGCAAAATGTTCGCAGACAGGAGGGCCGGGTTTAGCCTTGCGGCACCCAGTCCGCTTAGCCTCGTTACAGCATGGCTAGAACGCCGACGCAAGACCGTTCATATACCAAGAACTAAATTGGAAAAGCACTTACGCATGCAAGCGATTCAAGGTATCTGGTACAGATGTAAAAGCTTCATCGATCACGATTGTGCTCTGCATTGAGGTATTCTGTCTTTCATACTAAACAGGGAATAACGCTCGAGTACACACACCACTTGTTTCATTCACACCTGCACCTTTGACACATTAAAAAAAAATCTCCTAGCTCATCATGTCAACAATCTCTTTTTTTGCAACATCAAAACGAACTTCATGCGATCGCTGCAGAAAGCAAAAGCTACGTTGTCCCCCAGACAAGGACGACATGGGAACCTGCGGGAGGTGTCTGAGGGCGGGCGTGGCCTGTGCAACAAGTTACACAAAGCCGAGGGGCCGGTCCCAAAAACACGGCATCTCGACGGACGGCACATCGCATGTGTCTGGTCTGGATATGCAGGAACCCGCGTTACCTACACCGGAGAGCGTCCTGTCAGCAGGCCTAACAAGCTCAGTTCAAGTGGCAGAAGATGGGAGTCAGCTTTGGTCTCCGCTGGAAGAATACAATCACTTGCCTTCATTATCTAACTTCGAATCTGGAGCTCTCTCGCAGAGCCAGGATGAAGACTTTGCAGGTCTTTGGTGGTCACCGCTGCACGAGGACCTCGATTTGGATGTACATATGGACCCATCTGGTGCCTGTCAAAATGGATATTCTGCTGAGATTTCATCGTTCTCCCGGACTGATTGTAGTCGTCAATCTAATGATTGCAGTCCAGAGACGCTGCAGCATGTCGAATGCGACATGCGGCTGTCCCAGCTCAATCTCGAACTCTGCCGGCAATCAAAGGCGTACCACCACTGGCCCAACACTACATCCGACGGTTCGGTGCGAAGACCGCATTTCGCCATAGCCAGCGCTCTCCGTGACTTACTACAGAACACAGAGGCCTTCATTCATATTCTACATTGTTTAAGGAATGGAACTGAGTTGAATCTGGATGGCAGATACCAGGAACCCATCAGTACCCATGACACCGGCGTTTCTCCGCCAAGCCTGGCTTTTCCCTCTATACTCAACCTCACATCATGCTTTTTCCGGATTGTAGATCTCTTCAACGTGCTCCTCTCCAGTCTCGCACTTGAATTAGCTACGCACTCACCTCTGCAACGGCGATCATCTTCTTCCAGCGTCACATCCGCTCTTCAAATTCTGCCCGATCTCAAACTCGCTGGGCTCGCAGTTCAAGAAGTCTCTTTGCAAACCAAAATCTTGGTGCTGACCATTACTCATCATTTTGAGACGATGGAGCGATTGCTGGGATTGCCGGCCGACCTAAGGGTCTCGGAGTGCAAAGACGATAATGGATATGGCCTGTTGGGTGCAAGTTGGACGAGCGTGCTGAGCTCCGGCAGGAGGGAAAAATTTGAGCTCGGGTGGCGCAGAACGGGAAATTGGGTGACTAGTATAGAGTCACTGAAAGCGAACATGGGGACACTGACGAAGGGATCTTGCTGACGGTAGCGTGGCAAGGCGTTGGGAGTACGTGACAGGACAGTGCGGGTCAAGTTAATACCAATTTTCATCCTGAACACCACACCTGCCACACCATGCGCAGCCTCCTCGACAGAAGTAACAAAACCGTCTTCAAGCCTTACGCTGTCGTGACTCATATTAGTGCAGCCCAAAGACCCTGTGTCACGTCATGGGAAGCTCCCCAAGGCTTCCTCGGCCGACGTGCGCTGATAGGTATCAGGCAGTCAAGCATGTTAGCCAAGGTAATGTTGTGCGAGCACTCTCACCTTGCTGTGAACGAGCCTCAAGTCTTTGATGCGTCACGTCATGGATGCTTGCGTGCGGGTGCGCACTGAGGTTGAGACATTTCAGTCGTTCATGTACCAACTACAACTAATTGACACCTTCAAGCTTCGTATCGACTGGGGGTTTCGACCGATGTAGCGACACTTCCTCCGCCACTCTTATCACTCTGGCGCATATGTACCAATTCTACTTCGTCGTCGTCTTTAGCTTCGGAGTCGTTGTGAGTCGTAAAGATCGTCGTGCAATTGGTCGCGTTGCTTTCGCCTGGCTTTCTTGAGCCACTGTAAATCCCGAGAGCCCGCTTCTTCTTGAACTTTCTCCGTACTGGTTGGCCCCATGGGATCGATCGTGCGATGAGCCAAACACGCTTGGCAATAGGCGAATAAGGAAAAAGCGCATGGACGGGATGCAAGAGCAGACGATGCCTACGGTAATCTCAAGATTAGACCACTTGATAGGATCCCAAAAGTCCCAGGTAGGATTATTCTTTTCATCGATGATAAGGAGGAATCGAAGCCTTATGATCGATACGACTGTTGCGCTAGGATACATCAGCAAAGAGAGGGAAAACACACTTTACAACAACTTACAGTGTACCTAGGCAAAACATGAGTGCTACGCCCGTCTTCTTCACCCACGCCATTTTGAGGCCATAGAGCTGTGACAAAGGTATGGTAATCATCCAAACATCGAGAACAATGCTGATTATAGAGTTGGCAGATGCTACCCAGACTCTGTTGGTGCAATGCCCTGAGCGCTCATCATCCCAGAAGAGCCAAAAATATGATATTGGCCAGCACTGGAATATTGCACTGACCAAAGATGCTGTGCCCCATAGAACATCTACGATGATCGTTATCCGGATGAGGAGTTGAACCCTACGGCCAGGAAATATCCTTTGGTAGAAGAAGAGGAATGATAGTTTGAGTAGTGCTGATGCGATGAAATAGAAGAGCTCGCCCACCCAAAAGTACTTCCCAAATTCGGAAATGGTGCCAAATGATAGAGTCCAAACGTCTCGTCCCATGCCGCTGGGTATGAGACTCGCAACGACGATAATTGCGCTTGGTTGAAACACAATCATCGTGGTGAATAAAAAAATGTCGTCCAGCCCGAATCGGTTCTCGGAAGGTCCCAAAAGCTTCTGGATAATCCGCAATAGGACCATGCAAGCAGAAAGGACCGCCAAGACGATGACGACTGCTCGGTTTTCAGCGCTTCTGTCGCGCAGTGGGTCGTCACACATCATGGCGGTGACATTTCTTGTAATGATACTTTCTTTGATCGTGCATGAAGACAAGAGGCATTTCTTCACGTCCGACTCCAGTTGCGTGTTTCCACACACGCAACTTGGGTCTGTCACGGGACAATCCGTTGCCGCGCCCACAATACATTTCAACTGCAAAAGCCGTCAGTACCTTTGATTCTGAAAACGACAATTAAGGCTTACCGCGCAAGGGGATAAGCTTGCGATAGCCTCGAGTACTTTGGCGTCTTGAGCCACTGCGCATGTGGCCTGCACAGACAGTAGCGCGGCAACAAGATGAGAGGGCTTCATGTCATGGAGGATGTCCGCGCCGCGATCGAAATTTGTCTTTTGAGCAGCAATGAAGAGAACAAGTACATACAGAGGAGTTGAGGATCTTGCAAATCCGCGAATCAATGATGCATGACGCTAGACGATCGAGAGCTACCTAGGTACGAGACCGGCTGTTTTAGCTCGAGTCTAAACGACAAAAGGCTAAAATAGGCCGCCAATGTCAGGTCAATGAAACTTTCGCGTTGCGTCAAACCTTGGCGTGCGCGGGGAAGAGCGACTTGTGCCCGGACTGGTACTGAATTAATGTCTCGATACGAGGAAAAGGCCGACGGATCTGCCATCACCTGCAGGCACGTGGCGGCCACCAAACTCTCTCATGCAGTTGCCGTATGATCTAACGTTGAAGATTTACAGGCTAGCATGAGCGGTCCTATCACATCAGCTCCTCAGACCCTGAAGGCGTCCCCGGCAACGTTTCGGGTTTGGGAATCGCAGTTAGTCGAATACCTAACAGCTCACTACACCTAGCCTTGGTCCAAAAGTCTTTACGGTCGGATGTTGCGGTAGGACGATGCACACGTTGGACCTGTATACGTGCTAGTTGGTAACGGCGCATGTCAGTACCAACATTGATCGCCCCGTCCCGGCCATCGACCCTGGCGCATATGTCCGACTAACGAACCCTGGGCTGGGCACGGTACACAAAGTCTCCAGGCACCAGGCCAAATGGAAATCATTTCGCAATGGCAAGCCACAATACCTCGCGTACCACCGTTAACTCGCTGCTAGTACATGCTCAACATGTTCAATCGGATCCGGAGTTCAATGAGCCGTGAGGGGGACCAAGCTTGACGGGATCGTCAAACAACTAGCCAATACACGACGGTGTCAACCCCATCACAAGCAGATCCCAAGACTCTTTGACGATCACCATCATTTAATGGATGTCAGTATTTATCTCAATCACGTGCTTTTTTCGCCTCTGTTGCAAAATCACATAGAACCACCGGAATGGACAGCAAAACTTTTGCAATGCCGTCTTGCGCATGACTCATGTACATGTTCGACAATGGAGGGTCTAGAAGCCCATCCACGTGCAAGCCAACAAGTCTACTCATCAAGATTGACAAACTTCTCGGCGTTATGCCTCATGGGGTCTTCTTCATGATGTCCTGCTCCATTTCCTCCCTTTCCACTGCTTCCCTTGTTATCATTACTGTTCTGTCCGTCGTTGCCACTTGCATTTCCACTGCCGCTCTTTGCTCTAGATCCGCCGCTCTGCTTGCTCTTGTCATCTGCATCCAGAGAGGCCTTCCCATGCAATAACTCAATGTCCTCCTTTGGGCCCACATCCTTTGGTGCGCGCTGGCTCGATCGCTCAGCATCGTTCTTGCTGTTGGGTGTGCCAGCATGTTGTACGTCTTCTTCATTCATGTTCACGTATCGCTTGGCCTTCTCGCGGCTGACATCTTCGAGTTCGTGCTTGCCCTTCTTCTCGTGCGAGCTGTGGGTGTCTTGACCGGACTTGCTAGTACTGCTGCTGGAGGTGGTCTTTCCGCTTGCAGATTGCTGGCTGACGCTTGCGTTCTTGCTAACACTCGACGATGAGGAGGCTCTGGCTTTGGCGTTGTTGGTTGTAGACGCAGAGGTATCGTCGTCACCGAATTGCTCATTCCGTGGCGCGTTGGTGCCGAACTCTTCAGCTGCATTGTTCAGGGGTGCTGCAGCCCCTCCACTTGCGTTCATTCCTGGAAGGGCTTCATACGACTCGTTAGCAAGCATGCAGCAGTAGAAAAGAGCAATATCCACCTTCGCCTTCTTCAACCTCTGGCATTGGTGCAACATGCTTGGTGTGTTGGAGTGTGATCTGGAGAAGGTCAATACACCATTCACTTCTCGTGTGTGGCAACATTTACATCTCCGCTGGTACCGTGGAGGATCTCGTGGCCATCAATGGGGCCATTGTCGCTAGATCCATCTCCGTTGCGAGGCATAATGTTAGAGTATTGAATGTACGTTTGTTATGGAAAAACTGAGTAGGGTGGAGTAAGAAAAGCTGTCAAGCATTGAAGCACTTATACATCCAACTGACAGACAAGAGCTTCTTATAGCCCATGACGTATAGCCTTTTCACAGCAACACTCGATTCCTTGCGGCACAGAATCCTGTTCTCGTTGATTAGCGACACTTTAATAGCTGGGAAACGCGGCTCTTCGAGCACAAGACAACGACGTCATGATGCTTGTGGTGGCACTTAGCGTTCCATTCGGTCGCGACGGAGTGTCTCCGCAACCAAGACCAGTGGACGGAGTGGTCGTTCCGTGCCGGATCGTGGCGCAGGCATCCATGCTTTCGTTGCCCTGAAAGTTGGAGTGATCTCATGCGTGAAGAGCTCGCATCTGGGCGACTACAGTGTCATGAAAAATCTGGTATTGACTGGCTGACTCGAGTGTAGTCTTCTAGACACATTATCAAGCCTGGAAACAACATCAGACTGCGGACTGCGCCTCATGTTTCAGCCTCCAGACCCCGCGCCAAATCCAGCCCATAGGCGCGATACCCACAGTGCGAGCATAAGCTCCCTCCAAACCTGGCCGAGGTCCTTGCTCAATTCAATGGTCGGCAACATCTTCCCGCCTTCAAGTTTCAGTACTTCAGTCGCAAGAACACGTCCGTGGACGTCTTTTCCAGACACTTGGGACCAACTCATTTCTCCGTTCAGATATCCTCCTCTTCAACGAACCCGCTTTCCCACATGTCAACAATGCTTGAGGCGTCATTCCTTGCTGCATGACCTGTCTTACATGCCAGCTTCGGAAGCCAAATTGTAATTGCAACACGCCTCCGGCCAACCACTGTGGGTTTTGCTTTGTATGTAGTATTCATTCTGGAGGAACGGTGGGTCGTGCGCTTCGTACAATGTTGACGCAATGTCAAAGGGCACATTTCGTGATCGACCAGCTTCTATCAAGGCAATGTCTTCGGCTCGTAACCGGCGAATTCGTAGTTTTGCAATGTGCGCATCGAGGAGGGACGAGAGATGGTAGGCTGGTCCGTTTGGGGTATGGATAAACGTGCCATAGATCATAAATGTGGTCTGGTTCGAGTCGATGGGTGTATAGTCTGGTAACTCTTCTGGTAGAGGTGCAACTTGTGGTACGATCGCTGGAATGGCCGGTGGCGCGAGACCTATTGCGGCCTCGTAAGAAGGAATGGGAGCCGACGCTGGATTGGTGGTTTCATCGGGAGTTTCTGGTTCCTGAGCGGCGCCCGGCGCTCTCACGCCGTCATCATCCACGCGATCGGTTGCTGCATTCATCCTCGCCAAAAATGTGCGCAAGACGATGCGTATCAGCCATGTTGATCGGAAGGCGCGGAGTGACGTACTCTTGTCATGGCTTGGAGATCTTGGGGTCCTCGATCCGCGTCTCGCTTCGTGCTTGGCGAAGATCATCAAAGACCAGGAAACGCTATCGACACCAACAACCAGGTCCACAAAGTCCACAACTTAAAATTTGGTCAAGCGTAAGGTACCTGCGAACATGATTGGCATTGGAATTGTTTCTCCGTGCCCATCTAAAACTACTCAGCTGATGTTTCTGATGGGATGATGATTAGACAAAACAGAGAACAATAGTAGAGACGCAATATGACTTCCAAAACTGTTGTCATAGGTTCTAAAATGAGTAGGTAAAAGCCACGACTTTGTCTACATGGGCCAGTTGTACAGTAACAGATGCGATGACTGTGTCAAGACGATTCATTCTGCGATTCGGTTAATTGGTCATGGTGAGATGTAATTGTATCTCGATTCTTATGCAAAGCACACTAAGAATGACTTGTTCAAGCATAGGCCAATCTTGCTTCCGTCCAGCCAGGCCTGAGATACTCCGAATCGAACCGTGAGCTCCAACTGCTCTCGACCGCATACTCCTGGACCATCTGCACATCTATCTTCGCACCCTCTTCAGACTGTGCCCATACGCTAAGTCCAATGACGTTATCGCCTCCATAGTTCAAAACTCCTGGCGGAACAGGGAACTTCTTCTCGTTACCGACGTGCGGATTGAACCTCGCATACTGGTAGCCATTGACAAAAAGCTGCACTCTCACATGCTGCGAGCCCGATGCGTTGAGAACAAAGGCAAAAGCCGCATCAAGTTCGGCGGGGACATTGAGCGGTATGACTGTGCGGTAAAAGTAGATACCAGCCTCTTCAAAGCCAGTAGAAGGTGAGCTTGAGTTCCAAGCAGAGTCGTCGAAGCCTGGAAGATGCCATCCGAGGCGCTCAGCGGTAAGCCCTCCTTCGCTTAAGGTGCCACGTACAGGGTCAAGCTGAACATTTTCTCCGCCAGCCTCTCCCGCGATTTTCCATTGCGAAAAGCTGCCGCCATCAAGCATGGCTCCGAGGATACCGCGAGGCTTGACTGCATCAGCTCTAAGATCGTGGCCCGTGTTGTCTTGCGCAACAAGCAACACATTGGTTCCGTTTGTATTCACCGTCGCATTAACAAAGGATAGCGTCATGTTTCCTGTACCTACCGAAGAGTTTCCAAGGTACGATCCAAGGTAATCGCCATTTAGCCATGCACTCCATCCAAAAGCTTGGCCACCTTGGACGGCTAGCTTGACGCCAGACGCTGAGCCATCAAAGTACCCACGGAAGAGATGAAAGCTGTTGTGAAAGCCATACTCGTCAACGTACAACACCGGGAGAGTGTCGGGCGTGGTTGGGTTTGGTGTTGTTAAGTGATCCGCGACAACCCAGGCCGCCCCACTGTCATTGTAGCCAGGCAGCTTCTCGGGCAGGGTGTCGTGCACTTTCCAGTCGTCCAGTGGAGGAATCTCAATAGTGCCATTGTATGCTGCTACTGTTGCCTTGAGACTGCCATGGGTTGTACGAGAGGTTTGTAGCTTGTTGCCATTCCAAGAAAGCGTCTCTGCACTTGCGCACGCAAAGACTTCAACCGTTGTGGTGTTCAAAATGTCGCCCTTGAGTGCCAGTATTCCATCGCTGTAGCTGACACTTCTGACAAGATATGGACCGGAAACGAGTACAGACTGGTCGACAGGTGCAAAAGGGTCATTGGATAGGTTTGGCGCCCAGAACAGGTATGCTGTCGGCTTGTCTGCGACAATAACCTTGACGCCATTGTCAAACTGGTAGACGCTCATACCGGACACGCTTCTGATGTTGGTCGTAGTTCCGCCGGCCTCGTTATAGAACGTTGCGTTTACATTCGATCCAGTGCTGATAATAGAACCCTTTTTAGCGCCCTTGATGTGGAACTCTACCGATTCCCCTGTGCCTGCGGATAGCACCATTACAGGTCTTGTATCGATTACAGCATATGTCAACACTTCTGCGGTGGAATAAACTAGTGTCTGACTGCCCATGGCAAAGTCGGTCACTAGAATCTTTGACTGATGCCCGTTCAAAACGATGGAACCGCCGTGTTGAGGAATGGTCAAATTGCCGACCGAGGTGCTGACATGTAGCTTGAACGATTCCACTGTCGCAGAAGAAGACTGCGAGTGGATTGTGACATAAAAGGCCGCTTTCGTTTCGGGATTGCGCAGCTCGCTGGCTTCAACGGCTGGATTGGTGGTATAGCCAGTGTTGTTGCCGAGTCGATCGGTCACGGTCAAATCGTGAGCCACACGTGTAAACATGGCCAAATTCTTGGTCTCGTAGAATTTGCTGTCAATCTTGCGGTTCTCACTAATCGGACTGCTGTAGTCGTATGATGTAGCTACAACAGGAGCTGCAAATGCACCCCAGTTGGTCCCTCCGTACATCATATAGAGACTGACAGCGGTAACCCTTTGTGCGATGAGGTTTCGATAGAAGCTGGGAATGGTCAGCTGCGTTATTAAACCCATCGCATCTGCTTACAGGTTTGCAAAGTCTGCGCCAATATCAGCGGGGCAGCCACCTGGAGTTTGTTAGTAAAACGTCCATGTCGGGTCGGAACGCGACAGGTGAATGTATGCTCCAGCCGTGAGCATGATAGAAATTTTACGACTTCAGAGATAGTTGCGTACCTTCCGGACCACCCCAAGGATTGTATGATCCACCTTGGAACTCGGGGAAGAAGCTTGGTTGAGTGGGTGCTACTTCTACAAAATGATCATAATAATCAATGACCTGGTATGCACTGATGCAAGTAAGCATATGAGATGCTTCCATCAATATACACCACTTACACATATTTGCCATTGGTACCTGTGCACTCATCGAGATTGCAAGACCAGCATGATGGGTAGCTGTCAAGTCCAGCCACGTCGACATTCCCGTAGCAGCGCCTGGGGCATAATCTTTCGACCAAGACCTTGTGTTCATGTTGGGGTCGTTGTGGATCAGGGGAGTATCGATGCCATTCGCACGCGCCGAATCCTCTAGAGCAGCCATGTACTGTCCAGCTGCCGTGTTGGGGATCTTTTCGGCCCTATCCTTCCATTGCTCACCGTATTCGTTCTCAATCTGATAGACCAAAGCATTTCCGCCTTTGGTCACTTGATGCTCGCTCGTGAGCGATGTGAATCTGGAAAAATATGGATCAAGCGCATCAAGGTAGCGACTGTCGTTATTTCTCAAGGATCCGTATGCGCCAGTAGTAAGCCAGAGTGGAAATCCACCAGCGTTGGCCTCTGCATTGACGTACGGCCCGGGTCTAGTAATGACATATAAGCCGACCCGCTGAGCAATCTCAAAGAGTTTTGTAAAGTCGTGAGCTCCAGTCTCAAAGTCTGTTGTGCGGTTGTTTGCGCTGTGGTAACCCCAGTTCCCTTCAATTAAGCGTGCACGGTTAGCACGAGTCCATGATACAACCAACAATTGTTTCCACTAACCATAGAATGCAAAGGCTGTAAAGCCTGCAGCTTTGATCTTCTCGAGCAAGTCTTCCCAAACTTCAGGGACCGGAATTCTCCAATAGTGTATCTCTCCGGAGAATACAAAAAGCCTTTTACCATTGACCTTGAAGCTGTAGTGATCCCATTGAACGACCTGGTTCAGGCCATTGTCGTGAAGCGGCCATTGCCCAATGGTACCATTCTGAGCATTGACAGTAACGCTGTCGGGGACGGTCGCCAGTATTGACAGGGCTGAAAGCCACGAGAAGCCTTGAAATGTCCTCATACTTTCGATGATCTGGAAGGTCGTTGTAGACGCCAATGAGCGTTGCGACCGTTGAACCGGATGTTAAGTAGTCAGACGCAGGAACAGCTACCCCAGATTTGAACATTGCAACAATGAGATTTTTACCGAAAAGGAAACGTTCGGTCACTTTGGCGGGTCATTGTAAAGCATGTAGGCTCTTGAATGGTGGAAATTGGGATTCCCTGACCCCAAACCCAGAACCGGCAAAAGTCGACAGGGACACTCTGCCGGAAAAGCTACCCTTTGTCGTTAGTTATGCGCCGTGCGGGGTTCAGATGGCGTAATTGACACAGCTGATCCGGAGCATAAGTCTTGATTGTGGAAAAGAGCGAGAGGACGTGCAGGCATGTTGTGGAAAAGTCGAGTTGGGTGTCGTGGTTCGGAGGAATGAGAAGCGAGCCACCTTGGTTGCTGACTAGGCGTGCCAAGGGCTTTTCCTTCGTGTATACTACAATAACTTGACACACACTGCCACGCCTTGGGACCATGTTGTTTGTTCTACATTGATACATCTTTGAAGCCACCACTGCTTCATGTTTGAGCTACTACTAGCTCAGGTATCAATATCACAGAAGCAAGGTGACAGTGTAGACCCCTGGAAATTGTGCGCAAGATTCCAAAACTTTTCTAACGCCATGTCAATCTCAGAATAAAAAAAATTGAATAACTGCCCTCTCTCCAACAGAGCCGCAAATCACAGGCTCGTTGCCTTCTTCATCTCAAAGTGACATAACAGCATTTCCCTTTTGGCGCAACCAAAAACCGGTTGTCCATCTCCATTATATCATCATTCATACAATCACTCAACCTAGCACCGCGACAGTGTCGAAAGAAGAGTGCCGCGCCGATGCGAATTTCCATCCAAGCCAAGTGGATGCCAATACAGACTCTTGAACCACCTCCGAACGGCATGTACGCGGCCTTTTGCTGGACCGTCATTGGTGTGTTCAAAAAGCGCAGGCCATCAAAGCTACAGATATTCGTTAAAAGGAGGTCATGTTGCGATTTGGTTAAGCTTACTGGAGAGGGTTCGGCCAGACGGAGGGATCGCGATGAGTCGTGTAGGCTTGCGTGCTCACTTCAAAGCCAGCGGGAATATGATATCCGCTTACCACCATGCCTTGACTGGGCACATCTCGCGGCAGAGAGCCCGGTGCAGCGCTGTAGAGCCGCAAGGTCTCCAAGATTATACTGTTCAGAATAGGAGCGGTCTCGAGCTCTGTCAGATCCAGTTCATCGCCAAGTTTCGCCAGCTCTTCTTCCAATTTGTGCTGTACCTCGGGATTCTTCAATACTGCCCATATCAAATAAGTGAGCGTCACAGCGGTAGTATCAGACCCTGCGACGATGAAATTCTTGGCTTCTTCCCTGACATCATCGCCTGTAAGCAATGACTTCTCTGAATTATCGCTGGCTTCAATCATTTGGCCAAAAACATTCATGGTGTTACCGTCATCGCCACGCATATGCTTCAGGGCAATAGATCCATGCTCAAAAATAACTTCGTCTGCCTTGGAGATTTCTTGAGCGCGTTTGATGGGCATGTATCGAAGGACCTTGTGTACCAAGGGCGCCCCAGAACGGAGTACTGCACCAAATGTTGCCATCTGAATGGCCTTAATGTACGGAGTTGCCTGCCACCTTATCAGCTTTTTGGACGCACGTTTGAGAGACTTCAACATCTAGGCCTTACCGTTCCCGTTTCAATCACATGAAAGCTCTCCCCAAAGCTGATGTGAGCAATCACGTCCGTAGCCATGAGCGTCCACCACTTGAAAATATCTGCGCCGTTTTGCGCGCGAATAGCTTCTTCCTTCATTCTTGTCACAGCCAGCTCTGCTTTTCGCACGACCTGAGCACCCCATTGTTGTTTGATGCTAGAGTTGCTAAAAGGTCGAGCGAAGAATTTTCGACGGACACCATGGCCATGTGGATCTCGCATAGCAAAGAGACCCAGAGATTGGGAGCCAGTAACAGTAGGATTGAACATGTCGTAGAAGGAGGATTTCGTGAAGCCAGATCCAATCTTGTGAATTTGCGTTACACCAGTCATGTCTGCAATGGCAACCTCTCTCGGAGTGATGCGTACTACTCCGCCATATTTGCGGTGCAAGTCGTCAATGTAGTACATTCGACGGCCCGTCACGATGTGGTAGCCCAGGACAATTTTTGTAAACCTCGAATACCATGGTCCTGGTAGTTTAGAGATGGGAGAGGAGTAACTATTCCATATGGTCTGATGTTTGTTAGCAAAAGTCTAAATGCTCATTTGCGACACTGGCTTACTTTGACCAAGTAGACAAATAGTGCTAGAACTAGTGCTCCAAAAACTTGGAACGATGCCATTTTGACTGTCTGGCAAAATGTAAGGGAACAGACCTGCTACTTAAACCCTCAAGGCGGGAAAGCCCCGATCCGAAAGGTCTACATTGAGATGAGGTTTCCATAGTTGGCACGCGCACGATTCCAAGGCCGCACAAAGTGACGATGCCCATGCACGAGTGCACAGCGATCGGGCTACTGCGACCTTGAACGAATGTAAGGTGAGAAAACTTGAGAAACCAAAGCAACCTGAGACGGCGAACTCCACTTCACGATGTACAAGTGGAGCCGAAAGGGAGTAGCCGTTGTACGCACATGTACGCATTCCCCGCACGCGTGACTGTTTGACATGCTCCATGACAAGAACGGCAGCGGCGTCGGAAGCCACTGGCATTGGCGCGTCCTGATTAGGTTAATCCTTATCTTGGCCCACGAAGCACAGCGACCACGAAATACAGTGAATCCCCCAGCTCGGGAGCGTAGATCACTCCTTTGCAACGTTCAACTTTTCTTCTTGTGAACAACATTATTCAGACTCAAACCGGCAACACTACTCTCACAAGCTAGACTGTTCGCTGATTGCAAATCAAGAAGGGTAACGCATCAAAAGCAATCGCATCAAGGCCCTACACCCGCAGAGTGAGCGATTATGGACAGGGTCACTACGCAGCGGCAATATCCGTGCCCGTTCTGCACCTACACGGCACAAGCCAATAGTCTTGAGAGGTTTACTCATCATAAACCTAGAGGAGCCTGACTATACACGCAGCTCTAAGATACTCTACTATATTCTATTACATATCCTTGAATATGTACAGGCCTCCTTTTTATCTCTTCTTGTTAGCAAATATTAGGAAAAGGCGGACAGGGATCTTGCCGACGCCTGGTGGAGTGAACACGATTGACTGTAGACGAAACACGATTCGGTGTGGCGTGACTGACAGTATCGCAAAGCATAATTCGATGCATATAGAACAAGATTATATTCAGCCTGCTACCATATATACTCATCGGAACGTACAGCATACCTGTCCCTTGAGCAAGACGTTGCTCACATCCATGTGGTCGCCAACCTCGTCGCCAAACTTTTCCAGGCAAGGAAAGACGCAAAACAAGAACCGGGCTTCATTGACTGCATCGCCATCATCGCCAATCATTTTGTCAAGATCATTCAAGGGTTCCATTCTCCGATCATCAAAAGCACACGGCTGCCTGCCCTCTTGGTTGCGGAAGAAGAGCACCTGGTACCGCGCCTTTTGAAGCGCCATTGTGCGCTGCAATTCAGCTGCCGTGTGCAGTATGCTCCTCAAGCCAGACTGCGCGGCAGGGGCGAGACTGACAGACGTCAAGGTAAAAAGCACATGCGCAATTTCTCCTGCAATCTTGTGAAGCGCCTCGGACTTGCCTTGCTCGAGGGAGATTGTCATTTCACTCTTTTCGATCACGCGAATCGTTGCTCGTCTCCATTCACAATACTCTGCGCTGTCATTTCGAATGCCTTCAGCGAAGGCTCGGATTGCGCTCAATGGCCCCACACGTCCAAGACCGACCATCAGAGGTTCTTCCAACACTGGCATCATAGCGTCTACAACGAGAGCCTGTAATAGCGCAAGCCTATCTGTCTTTTCAATGGTTTCAAAAGCTGGCGTCAATATTCTCAGAGCCTTTAAAGTCTCCACTGGAAGACTCCCAACGTCCATTTTAGTCCTTCTGAAATTGGAAATCACCCATTCTCTAATGCGATTAAACATTTGCTTCAAGGCGTCTGTCATGTCACTATCTGTGACTTGCGATTCTACGCGCGTGAGCGACGCTACACTGGACTTTAGTGATAGCAGTTGTTGGAGCCTCTCCTGTGATTCCCTTTCGGTCTCGTGCAGCCGTATTCGAAGCTCATTCAATTCGTCGCTCCCGGCCGATACTGGGTGGCCCAGGATGTCATGATGGCTGGCATCTCGCGATGCGACTTGTAGCTGGGGTTGGGCGAGCCTGTAGCGTGAATCGTAAATTCGCGGGATATCGTCGTGTGGGCTCGGAGATTGTCTGAGAGGCTCCATGTCGCCATTGGCACCTGAGAGGTTCTCTCCAATATTTGCGGCATTCCCACGCTCATTTGCAACGGCTTCTGGGGAGTCTGGTTTATGTTGACGTGGCTTGTCATGCATGTGTTGATCCTCGTATGAAATCCGCCTGGCCTTGAGTAACTCTCTTTGTAATGCCTTGCGCTCTTCTGTTGCAGAAGCTAGAGACCTTTCCAGCTCCGCAACTCGATCCACCATGCTCTCGTCTACAGCAGTTTGTCCGCTCGGCTGGACTGCGGATTTTGACTCGGCATCTTGACCAACTGACGACTTTGCTGTATCCAATGTTGGCTCATCTCCGCTCCGTCGCCTGAGTATATCGTTGAGAGGATTGCGACGGCGATGGACCTCGTCTCTGTTCGCGTTGGGGGCAGCTATGGCGGCTTTTGGTGGAGAGCTGATTGCGCTCGAGCTGGGCTTGGACGTCTTCGACAGGAGCTTCTTTCCGGTTTTCGCATGGAGTCGGCCGGTATGATCTAGGAGTGTTGGTCGGGTACTCTCAAACGTCGCGATCATGTGCGGTGAAGCGTACCTGCAGTTTTCTTCTCTCCGGCCATGGCCGTGACTTTAGCGTTCCGAAGACGTCAGGGGCGGATCGGAAAGAACGCCCATCGCATGAGAGCTCAAGGTCGAAATGACCAACAACAACTTTTCCATCGTGCTGCAATAACCTCTACGCTTCACCAGCATGGCATCGGCATATGCAAGAGTGCAGTAGCCCCGCATGCCGACAGCCACGCGAGGCTGACTGACGATCGTCACAGCCGCAGCTAGCTGCACGCCCGTCAGGCTTCAGCATCGCGTCGCACTCGTTTCGCAGGTGCCTAAGCCTTCCAATGCCTCCCAGGCAGACGTATTCATGACCTCAGGGTTTCGCTCGCTCAGTTGTCATCGCCTCCTCATGAATTGGTTGTGCGCTTTGCCAGTTGCCGCCCCGCATCTCACCCCACGAGCCGCCACAGACCAGGGCTTCAGTCTGCCACATGAGCGCCAGCTCAGTGCAACAGATTGATCTACGCATAATGAATGGTACGCAGGATGTACGAGGGAGCAATGTCCCTTTTGCCTTCAATCCAGGGGGAAACACCAGTGTTGCTGTGGGCGCGCGGCCATCTTCAACCATACCTCAGGACCGGTTGATTGTGGGAGTCGATTTTGGTACCACTTATAGCGGTGGGTTACACAACTGGAAGGATATTTCAGGATCAAAGACTAAAGCAGCGTAGGCGTGGCAGCAGTGTACTCGGCCAGCCCCGAGGACATTGACATAATCAAGACATGGCCAGGAGGCAATGGTATGCAACATCGCAGCCAGGCAGCAACATACCTCATGGAGCTCATAGACGTTAGGAATCACATCTGACAAAGTGCCGACTGAAATTGGGTACAGCGAAGCCACCACGCAAAGCGGTTCTACATCATCGCTCGAAACTTTTACCAGGCCAGCGCAGACTATTAAATGGGGCTTCCAGTTCAAACCAGAAGAGACGCGCCTCCGGTGCGTCAAGCTCTTCTTGGACCGTAATCAAAAACTCCCTTGTTTTGTGTCGCCCCTCGAGACAGCTGCGCAATTGAGGAAATACGAAAAGACAGTCATGGAAGCCGTCTCGGACTATCTGGCGCAAATATACAAGCATACAATGGAAACTTTGACGCGGCGATATGGCCAGGCTTTTATGGGCATGACCATGGTTCAATTCGTTTTGACCGTGCCGGCCGTCTGGTCAGATTCGGCAAAGGATGCGACCTTGAAGGCAGCAGAGAAGGCTGGCATGGGCAAGCGACATGAGTTGCAACTCATCTCGGAGCCTGAAGCTGCAGCGGTATATACGTTAAAGGCGATACAACCGAACTATTTGAAGATTGGTGACAACTTTATTGTTTGCGATGCGGGTAAGTCTCTACCCTGAGCAATACATAAAAGGGTGCAAACATTGACACTGAGTAGGTGGCGGTACCGTCGACTTGATAGCGTACAAGATTCTCCAGCTCAATCCTCTCCGTGTCGAAGAAAGTGCAGTCGGAACGGGCGGTCTTTGTGGCTCAGCTTTCCTAAACTACCGATTCGAAGACCACGTCAAGCTGCGAATTGGCACTGAACGATACAACTGGATGCGCGAGAAGAAGCAAAAGACGTGGGACATGGGCCTAAAGTACTTTGAAGAATTCGTCAAGCGCAACTTCAACGAAGAGGAACATGCCGAGGTGAACATACCGCTACCTGGCCTGCCAGATGACGAAGAAGCAGGCTTAGACTCTGGCTTCTTGATCATGAGCGCAGAGCAGGTCAAGGAGATATTTGATCCCGTTGTTGAACAAGTCATCAGCCTTGTAGAAGGTCAGGTTGAAAGCATACGGCAAAAAGGAGGTCTTGTATGTGGCATAGTGCTGGTAGGTGGCTTCGGGCAGAGCAATTACCTGTACGGCCGGCTCAAGTCGCACTTCAATACGGCGTCCTCCTCCGCCTTATACCGAGAGGCCGACGCACGCTGCTGCTCTAAGCGCCCCACAATCAGTCGAAATCTACCATCCGATACATGCCTGGACTGCAGTTGTTAGGGGCGCAGTGCTAAGGGGTCTCGAGGGCAGCATGGTGGTCAGTCGTCGAAGCCGATGGCATTACGGGACTAGTTACGCCACAGTATTCGACGAAGCAAAGCATCCAATATCAGACAGGTATTGGAGTCCACTTTGGGAGCGGTGGATGGTCAGTGATCGTATGCAGTGGCATATCGCAAAGGTGCGCAACAATTCACTTACCATCTACACACCACTAACTCTCTAACAGGGCGCACAAGTATCCGAAACCACGCCAATATCATTCCACTACACGCGCAACTTCCGACCTGGTCAATCACTCATCGTCGAAGACGATCTCATTGCATGTGACGCAGAAGTTGCGCCAGATTCGTTCCGAAAAGGACTGACCAACGTTTGCACACTCACGACTGATTTGAACACGGTGCCAAAGAGCTTGTTCACGCGACTGACGACGACCAAGGGAGTGGAGTTTGACAATTTGGATTTTACACTGGATATGCGGATAGCGAGCGCTGGCTTGGTGTTTGAGCTCAAGGTCGACGGAGTGAGATATGGGAGCGTGGAGGCAAAGTTCCATTGAGAGCGGGGATGAGATCAAGTTGACATGAGGGATGGTCGGACCCATAGAGAGGATATACCCTGCTGATGAATACATGAGACCGAGCTGCAAGATGTAGGATACACCACAACACAAATGCTATGACTTTTGACTTGGAAACTTGATATGTATCTGCTAATATATACAAAGAAGATGACAAACCCCTCCTTCAATAACTAAAACTCTCCGTATGCAAATAAATCCCCTGCGCCCCTGTCCCCTTATGCACAGCCCGTTCATCGCTCAGCGCCCACACATCTCTCTTGACATCTGCGACGAGGCTGGTGGGCCCGCATACAACCACAGCAGACTCGCCGAGCGCGGACTCGAGAGAGCGTCGAATTATGTCTCGGGTCTGCGGGCGACCTGTGTGTAGGGTTATTGAGGGGTGGATGGTTATTGATGAAGGCGAGGGGGAAGTCGACTCAGGGCGAGAGTTTTGTCTACAGCAGCACAGCGCGGTGGTTTGTTGTGTGTTTGCTCCCTTCTCGATGATAGCACTTCTGCAATTGCAAGGTGTGATTGAGGTAGTTGATGAAGTGGAGTCGCGGACGTTTGTTGAGAGCATAGCTTTTTCGTCCGAAGGGATGGATTTGTGGCGGAGGGTTGGTGTGCTGGTTTTCTTCTGTGGTGCGGTGATGTTGGATAATAAGGTATTGTGCTCGTTCGTAAACCTTTCGTCGCATGTGATATACACTCCCATCTCCAACTTCACATCCCTCAGTCTATCCTGCAAGATCTCAAAGTCCGCCGCGATGGACGACAGGTGTGCGCCGAACCAGCTCAGTTGCCCGCGGCTCTTGACGACCCAGACGAATCGGACGTGCCGCGCGACGGCGCCGGTTTGGCGAGAGAAGAATGATCGGGAGCTGGAGTTTGAAGTGGACGTTTCGCGCCAGCCGTGGAGAATGTCACGGAGGAGGGGGAGGGTGAATGTTGCGCCTGTGCTGCCGGCGAGGAGGACTACGCTGTCGAATTGGCGGAGAGGGCGGAGGGCGCCGTAGGGGCCTTCGATTGTGACTGTTTTGGTTCTGGGTTCGTTAGCTGTCTGTAACATTATAACAGGGTATATGGATGCTGGCTTACTTTGAGGTTCCATCCGACAGGCCACTTGACTTCTCGGCATGTTTGAAGAAGCGCTTCGTACCGCCTCTTTTTGACTTTATCAAAAACTCCATTACGCCATCTTCGGGTATCGAAGCTACCGTGAACGGATGGCTTTGCAGTGGCACCACAGAATGGCAGGATAGGAAAACGTGTTGTCCTGGTGTCCAGCTAATCGGCGGGTTCTCAATGACGACTCTTGTCGTATTATGTGGCAATGGAGTGAATTCGGCTTTGCAAGCCAAAAGTCCCTGTCCTCGCTGCTTTGGGTGAAAAAGCGATATATTCGCATAAAGCACGCGAGTGGCTCGTACCCCGCGGTCGAAGAGAAACAGCGCAACAGGAACCCACACATAGCCCTTTGTATCCTTGGGAATGTGGATGTACACGAAGCCAAGAAACACTCCAAACGACACGAGATGCTGCACCACGAATAGCTCGTAATTCCATCCTCGGATGGGCGTCATGGAACTGAGTACAATCCATACCAACACAGACCACGCTGCTAGTCCTTTCCATGCAAGTTCGTCGTTTTTGAGCTTGTATGGAATGTACTTGTACTGGTCCCACGACGCGAAGAAATACCCCATGTGAATCGTCGCCGTGAGAAGCATAGTCCTCGCACACCATCGATGAAGCCAATTCAGGCGCTCGTAGCTCACGCCACTGAGATATCCGACGATATTATTCTTGCCCGCAAGGAGAAATATCAACGGGACCTGCCCGAGCGTCACGACGCCGCAGCGAAACGCTACATCCTCCTTGGTAAATCGGCCGGTCAGATCGAGGCCGTATAAACACAGCACAATCAGAGTCACCGCGTTGGCAAGCACCAAGCTCGCTCGCCCGACGGATGGAAAGCGAAATACGCGCTTCTTGAACGGTATGTAGAGAGAGTAATTTGACGCCTCGCGTGTCAAAGCATATACTGTCGCGACACCGAGTGTCAGCCACGAGCTTGGCTTCGCGGGTGTTCGGGTCCCGGATTTCGCCGCGGAAAGGCGCTGTCTGCATAGTATGTGGTTGTAGAGGTTGACGAGTGTGGCGACGCCGATTGCGCTGCCCACCACGGCCCAGTAGATTTTGGGAAAGTCGTAGAGTTTGGGGAGGGCGGCGGAGCCCATGCCCATGGACATGTGGTGGTGGCTCATACTGGAGGCTTGTGGGCCTTGTTGGCCTCTGTTTCGCTTGTGCTTCTTCTACTTGTTCTTTTGCGTTCATTCAGTGCTGTTCGTGAGGCACGACGTGTAGGGGTAACGCTGGGGTTGTTGGACTATCGCATGATCGTCGTTGGAATGACACGGACTGTGGCCGTGTAGTGCTGACTATCGAATATCACAATGTCGGTGTTAATCGTAACCTTTGAGGTTGTGAGATGTCAAATTCAAATGCGATGCGCGTGTACATGTAAGATGCACCAACGGATGCGCACTGCGTCCGACAGCGTGGTACTGCACAAGCGTCGGACGGTTCTTGCGATGCTTCCCCAAAGTATGTAAGGTGGGGCCGATCTTGACGTTGCAGGGTACACTAGTGGCCCCAGATGTAACAAGCATTGTTAGCGCAGCCCGAAGCGGCTAAATCTGCTCAAAGTCGCTCCTTCTTTACGGCTCTTTGGACGTCGCTGCGCATGATCCATGCCCAGAAGGAACTCTCACAGGCCGCCCCTGGTTTCGTCCAGGTGAGCAATTTCTGAGATCTGTCACAGGAGATATGTTTACACGGCCCTACGCCGCATGCTTCAGCCCAGTCTTGAGAGTGCTTGACTGTCGCATAATCGCACGCATTCGCGCTCAGGTGTCTACGAATCCCTCTCGGCGTCAGGCATCCTCTGCTCATGCATTAATGCGCGATCGTCTTTGCATCAACGCATCCGGCCAAATCATACTCGTCTCGCCCGACGCCGTGGTTGTATAAGCGGCCGCGCCCCCGTCGCCCTTTGACTGGCAGTCTGGAACTCATAAACCCACAGTCGAAGTCGATCACCCCGCTACCATAGTCTGCAGTTGTCACTGGCATAATCTGATCCAACTTACACCAACTTATCGCAAACCCCCAACTTCACAATGGTTGCCCACGGAGACGAACACATGGAGGGAATGGACGGCATGGCCATGGGCTCGACAACAAACTCGCACACGGGAATGACCATGGCCTTTTTCACATCGACCAGCACGCCTCTGTACTCGATGTCATGGACGCCAAACTCAGCCGGCACATATGCCGCGACATGTATTTTCCTCATCTTCCTCGCCATTACACTGCGCGCCATATTCACCGCAAAGTCGTTTCTGGAGATGAAGGCCCTCGAGGGCGCACTGAAGCGGAGATATGTTGTTGTGGCAGGCGAGAAGATGGTTAGCGAACGGGCTTCCAATGACGGCGACTCGGTGACGGGTATCCTCACCACAAATGGAGTCCAGGAGGATGTCCGGATAGTCTCTGCGCCTGTCAAACACGTCCAGCCATGGAGATTCGGCGTCGATCTGCCACGAGCACTGATTATGACGGTAGCGACTGCTGTCGGCTATCTTCTGTAAGTCGCACCGGTACCGTACCACCATTTGAGCACTTGCTAACTATGGCACAGTATGCTCGCTGTAATGACTTTCAACGTTGGGTACTTCCTATCCGTCCTTGCAGGCGCGTTTATTGGCGAATTGGCGTTTGGTCGATTTAATAATGCAGGCATGAGCATGTAAAGCACAATTAGGTGCATTCGATAGGAATTGGTAGTAGCTGTACCTTTGAATTACTGTAATATCTGGTTCACGGTTTTAACAATTTAATCCCGTGCCTCGAATCTGGCGGCACATGATCCATAACCGCCTCTGTGCGACTGTCTGCTCAACGGCCTCGACCTTGGCATCTGCCAGCTGCGTGACTAAAAAGCTTGAAAGACAATCTGTAGCCCAACTCTATTCAAGACATTGCGTCCTGTCCATTCCCGTGCTCACAACCTTTGTTCTGGAACACCATAATACCGAGGCCATCCCCAGCACAGGATAGTCCCAACTTTGAAAGCACTCATCCTTGTCGACGCTAGGGGCAGCCACCTCTAGCCTAACCACCGCAGAAACGTGCTCACCTGCATGCCACCCGCTTTCCGGAGGCTCTGCACTCTGGCAAAACCAACCAGTGCTCCATAATCCTGCTCACCTACTGATTGCGTGTTAGACGCTGTTTTCGCGCCCGCTAGTTGGGTAAACGCGCTCGCCACGCGACTTGGGAATGCACGGCGCAGCGGGGGAGGTGCGCCGTGATTGCAATAAATAGTAAGCTTCAGTCGCGCCGAGTACATAGTTTGGCTGCTTGTTTGTGCATTTTCTCCTGTGCCTACATTCATCTTTTAAGACCCTGTTAACCTGCATCTTATTTCCCCATACTTTTCACCGTCACCATGCTTTCCAACACTCTCCTTGCTCTTGCGCTCATCCCCGCCTCTCTCGCCCACTTCACGCTCGACTGGCCCAAGGCCCGTGGCTTCGACGACGACAAGGAGCCCGACTTCCCTTGCGGCGGCTTCAACGATGTCTCGTCGCAGCGCGCAGACTTCCCCATCAGCGGCGGCCCAATCCAGCTGAACATGGGCCACGAGCAGACCAACGTCGCCGTGTACCTGGCAATTGGCGACAACCCCGGCAACGCATTCAACGTCGTGATGCGCCAGCAATTCGTCGTCACCGGGCTGGGTGATTTCTGCATGGGCCAGCTCAGCGTGCCCGCTGGTGTGAATGTCACCGATGGAACCAAGGCGACCATCCAGGTTGTGTCGAATGCGCACGGAGAGGGTGGATTGTACCAGGTACGATTTTCGTATGAAGAATGCGTGCACAATGTGTGACTAATTGTGTATTCAGTGCTCCGACGTCACTTTCCGCTCCAACTCTCTCTCCCAGTCCGACTACGACAGCCACTGCAAGAACAACACTGGCATCGCCGTCTCCCAGCAAGGCATGTCCGGCAACCCCAACGGCACATCGAGCGGCACACCCAGCTCTTCTGGCAGCGCGGCTGCTTCATCTCCTACGGGTGCTGCATCGCACGTCAAGGCTGCTTCGTGGCTCATGGGCGCAGTCGGTGCGGCTGGTCTCGCCCTGTTGTAGATATGTTCAATTCGAAATAGCGACAAAAAGGCTTTACCTTTGATAGGAGCAATTGTAATCACATCCATTTCTTCTTCGAAATACTGCCACATGACAAGTCTCGTGATCAACGTTGCAAGATCTCCACCAAATCGAATTGACGTTCAATCGCAGATCTGAACCCTGCGCGCCTCCTTTCAAACCCTGTCAAGTTTTCCCCGGATCAGCACCGTCTGCTGGGATACACAGTCAGCCTCATCAAACTCAATGATCCAACATCAGTTCGTTCTCAGATGGGAAAGTATTGCTGTGTCTTGTGCCTGTCGATCAGTGGTGTAACTCGTGTACATTTTGTTGTCGGCGTTTAATGTGCCGACATATGGTCGGCGAAAGAAAGTGTGGCGTGGCTGGGGGTGAAGGATGGACTCTTGGTGTTTGCCGATCCATTGAATATTCACAAGGCTTCGGCTAGTAAGGAGGCTTTTCGTTGGTGGAAGTGATGCTGTGGACAAATTCCCGTTATCATGATATCTGACTGAAAGTGCTCCGATGCGTCCAGGTACATGTCTTGTCCTTCTATCGTCAGCTTATACCTTTACCGCTACAGCGATTCTATATATTCCCACGCAATGCTTTCTGCACACGAGTTTCCCATCGTTTTTGTTCCAACCAGGCTGGCCCACCATGTCGACCAACGATGACAGTCTTATCCAACCACGGGAACCAGACAATGTATGCCCCCGTCTCCAACCCTCCCATCTACCCTTTCTCAAAAAGTGGTCAAATCCACCCGCCCTCTACCACCACTGATCCATGATGTTCCACATCCCTCTCAGACACCCAAGACAACCAGCCAACTCACCAAAACACAGCACCCACACTCCCCAACCTCGCCTACAAAAGTAAGCTCTCCATCCCATGCCCTACCCCCCAAAACTACCAAAACCATGCAAACACCACGTGCATACGTCCTTCCATCCCACTTCACAGAACACATCCACTCGAACACGTCTAATCCACACCCAGGACGACACAGCTAAACCCCACCCGCACGATACGCAAGTGCCTTCGCCTGAGCAAGAGACCCGCTCTTCTCCGCGCACGAGTTTCGACGCCTTTGTGCCCACGGAGAAACTGAGTACGTGGGCGAGGGAGGACGAGAAGGTGGCGGAGCAGAAGAGAACGGGTAGTTTGCGGACGAGGGCGAGGGAGAAGGTGTTGGGGTTGGTGGGGAAGAAGAGGGCGTATGGAAAGGGAGGAGGAGGGGGCTGAGCGTCTTAGTAATCGAGCTCAGTGAAGACGTTGTCTAGTCTTTTGATGCTGTTGCTCCAAGCATTTTCAGCATCATGCCAATGGAGGTTGGGAAGCACTTGCAAATCTAAAATATGCATTTGAACTTTCGAACCGAGTTTCTACTTTCAATCCTCCACACCCTCCAATTCTTCATCACTTTGCGCCTAGTTCACACCCTGCCGCACATTTATGCATGTCTCGTCGTGCTGATTGTCGTAGGAATGCTCGCATTCTCGACCGGGTGGGCGCAACTCATCAACTTGCTACGTGGAATGCATTTTCTGTCCATTCTTTCACTTCATCCTCATCTACCAATCATCCTTATCCGACTCATCATCTGCACAAAAATTAGCAAATTCCCAATTCCCTCAAAGGATTTCAGATACTCACCACTGTGACTAACTTTCGCCTTTCTTGCAGCAAGCGCACTCGCCAGCGCACCAGCCAAACCAGCCTCTCCTCCAGGTGTAGCAGGACCACTTCCACCAGCGGCACCAGCAGGAGGCTCTGACCCGGGCACTGCCGCTTGACTGCGATCTCTCTTTTCTGCATCCGAAACCTTCTTCAATCTCGCACCTCCACGGATATCCGCAAGCAAGCCGTCTCGTCCAGCCGCCGGCTTCGGTAGGGGAGGAGCGCCTCCTGGGGGCGGGGGTGGGCCGGCATCTCTCGGCGGCATTGGGGGAGGTGGAGGAGGTCCAGAGCCCGGGGGCATTGGGGGCGGAGGAGGTGGTGCACCACTGTTTGGCATTGGCGGAGGCGGAGGGACTGCGTTCCCGGGCATTGGTGGTGGGGGCGGTACTGATTTGTTCGGCATTGGGGGCGGCGGAGGGATCGCGGACGTCGGTGGTAGGGGTGGTGGAGGAGGAGCTCCACCTGATGGAGGCGGCGGGATGGGGCGAGAAGACGAGGGTGGCAAAGGAGGAGGTGCGGCGTGCACGGGAGCTGGAGGAGGTGGAGGCGGAGGCGGAGGCGGAGGGCTGGGCGCTGCCGACGTTTTTGGTGGTAATGGCGGAGGTGCTGAAGGTGTGTCTCGCGCTGGTGGAGGAGGGGGGACGGGTCCTCGACTTGGAGGCGGCGGTGGAGCTCCTGAAGGCACCCTATTGCCAGTAAAGGGAGGTGGCACACCGAATCTTGACCCTGCTGGCTTCTCGTCGTCGTTTGCGGGTGTCTTTGGCGGTCGTGGGGGAGGTGGAGGTCCTGGATTTGTGACGTTTGAAGAAGCTCGCGATCTGTTCGGTGGTGCTGGTGGCAGATTTGCAAACTTGCCAGCTTCTGCAATGGGCGGAGGTGCTCTGAAGACTGGTTTTGGCGGTCCAGGAGGCGGCGACGGCTCTCGGGGTGGAGATGGCGGTGCTGGGCTTGCAGACGAATTGCGGTTGATGCCAGGCGCCTCGGTCTTTGTCCGTCGGGCTGGCGGCGGTGCAGGCGGCGGCCCTCGTTTGGAAGCAGTCGTGCTGCCCGTGTGCTGGGGGCTAATGGCTCCTCGTACTGGGGCACTCGGCGGAGGTGGTGGTGGCGCCCGTGATCTCTTCTCGTTTTGTTCCGCCTTGAGACTCTCCTCCGTCTTCCTCTGCTCAATGTACAGCTTGATAAAGTCGGCATTTTCCTCAATCTGGTCTTCGGTAATACCCATGGCCAACAATTCCTTTAGCAGCGGCTGCCATGAGGGGTCGGTCGTGTCGATTGCAGAGCTTCTAGAGCTCGGCGCGGGCGAAAAGGTGCTTTGCGACGGCGATGTGATGTTCGACGACGGGGGTATTATCGAGTGCGCAGGCGGCTGCGCAGAGGCCGACGAGTTACGGTGGCCAAAGAGGCCTCCCAAAAGCCCGTGTCCAGAGCTCTTGCCGTTGGTGGCAGGCCCTCTGCTGGTGCCAGCGGCTGCACCAAAGGGCTTGTTCTTGGTGTTCTTGTGCGCATTCTTCTCGCGGTCGTCGAGCTTCTTCTTGAACGTCTTGGCCTCCTTCTCGTCGGCAAACGACAGTGCCGCCAAGCAGTCCTCGAGCTCAAACGTGTGGAAAAAGACGCGGTCCTGGTTGTATGAAAAGGTGTCGTAAATCTCCTGGTCCCATATCACGCCGCGATTGGCAGCCTGCATGTCGTCAGTCTTCCTCCTCGCACCTCGCTTCATCCGGACCTACCGATATGTCGACCATCTTCAGCCAAAAGGTGTTGCCGACCAAGTCATTGGCCAGCACTGCGGCGCCCTGCAGCCCCGTGTACGTCCATCGGTGCCTGTCGGGATAGGCAATGTACAGCTTCGCAACGGCGACGGCGTGGATCTTGTTCGCCGACTTGGGCACGGTGCGCTTCACCGTCTGCTTGTCCTCGTCGGAGAGAATCGACGGCATTGCGACTCGAGCTCAGAGCTAGGAATGGTGAAGAATGGGGAGCTCAGCGGGGGATGGCGTGGTGCCGGGAGTGCAGGCAGCACATGGACTGCGCGGAATGTTTGGCTGCGGGTGCGTGCGCATGTGCGAGGCTGGTGGTGGTAATCAGCCGCGTGGAGACTTGCCACTTGTGAAGATTGGCGGCCGGCTGTCTTGGTGAAGGGAGACGTCAGTGATGCCCGGTAGGCGCAACCCGACCGAGTGGAACCCCAAACCGCACCCGCCAAGACTTCCACACCCTTCTAGCTGCCTGCCGGGAGCCGAACCTAGTTGGACAAGATCAACGACTGCATGTGTTTTGTATGGTCATATTTGTGGTATCTAATTCCGCAGCAGTATGAAGTGTGCTATGAACGACGGGGTTGCTGGCATAGTGGAAGCCATCACGCGACAATGGCCATCAGACGATCAGTCTTCCCATTAATCACCTCTCCGTGACTGCATACCCAAACGGATACCATGCCATGGGTACTGCTACAACACGCGCGTGTGCCTGACAGCTCCAGGTCACCCATGTTTCAATAGAATGACGTAGCCATTACCGGCATTACTGCGGCATCACATCAGGCACATGATTTCAAATGATTCCTTACTCTTGATTCATCTAGCAACGAATATATCTAGTTCTTCACATACAAGTCGACATACTGGTCAATGTCCATGTTGTCCAAGGTCTTGGCATCCTGCGCAAGCTTAACAAGCTTGTCGACATGCTCTGCTGGGAAGTGGGGACCAAGATGCCTCTTGAACTTGGCCAGAATCTCGGGCTTCGCCTCCTCACGGCGCAGTCGGTGGCCGAGGGGTGCCTCGACAACCTCCTCCTCCAAAACGGTGCCGTCCTTGAGCGTCACGGTGAGCGCGTTGGAAATGGTGCGCTTCGCTGGGTCATGGTAGTCCTTGGTGAACTGTGGGTCCTCGACACAGCTGATGCGCTGGCGGAGAGACTCGACGAGAGCAGAAGTGGCGGCTTCGCTGTCGTCGGGGTAATCGGTGGCCTCGAGGCGGTTGAACACAAACATGGTTGAGACCATGTACTGCCAGTTTGTTAGCAAAGGTCAATCGTGTTGCCGCAGTCGTCTTACCTGAACGCAGTGGTCACGGTCGGCAAAGTTCTCCATGGGCTTGAACTGCTTGTCAATGATGCGGATGCAGGCTTCGTGGGTCCTGTTGACAACACCCTGGATATCCTCGGCACTCTTGCCCATGGCCTTGAGCTTCTTGTTCAGGCGCTGAGCAGCCTCGACGGCAGTCTGCGAGTGGAACTCGGCTGGGTAAGAAACCTTGAAGAGAACATTCTCCATGACGTAGCTTCCGTATCCGCGCTGGAACTGGAATGGCTTGCCGCCAAAGTTGACATCGTAGAAACCCCAGGTAGGAGCAGAGAGGACAGTGGGCAGGCCCTGCTCGCCCTTGAGGACCTTGAGGACGAGGTTGACGGCCGTCTGGCAAGCGTCACCGGCAGCCCACGACTTGCGGGACATGGTGTTGGGCGAGTGCCTGTATGTTCGCATGGACTGGCCATCGACAAAAGCCTGAGAAATGGCATCACGCGTCTGCGACTCGTTGAGGCCCATCATCTTGGAGACGACAGCAGTCGAGGCAAGCTTGACGAGAATAACGTGGTCTAATCCGACCTTGTTGAACGAGTTCTCCAGAGCCATGCAGCCCTGGATTTCGTGTGCCCGGATCATGGCCTCGAGCACATCTCGGACCTTGAAGATCTTGCCGTTTCCAAGGTTGCCTCCATTCTTGTTTGTGCGGGTGATCCAGTCGGCAGTCGCGAGAATGGCACCCAGGTTGTCAGAGGGGTGACCCCACTCGGCGGCGAGCCAGCAGTCGTTGAAGTCGAGCCACCGGATCATGGCACCAATGTTGAAGGCAGCATTGACGGGGTCAAGCTGATAGGGAGTACCGGGGACCTTGGCACCATTGGGCACAACTGTGCCCTCGACAACGGGTCCGAGGAGGTTCTTGCATTGCTGGAACTGAAGACCCTCGAGACCGCAGCCAAGAGTGTCAACAAACACCCATCGTGCAGTGTCATACTAGATGAGCTGAATGTTAGTTCGTATTCCAATTTACAGCATCGTCAATCGTACCGCGAGCTCAGAGTCAATAGCCGTGTTGTGGACATAGCTTGCAATGTCCTTGATCTCCGGGTCGTATTCGCGCTTGCTCTGGACAGGCGGCGCCGCGCTCTGGAGTGCCGACATGGTGGAAAACGCCTTTGCAGAGGTAGTGCGCAAAGCAAAAGGCGTCGACTGGGCCGTTCGGAGGGCAATTGGCCTTGCAGCTCTGCTCAAGACGCTAGACCGCTGGCGGAGGTTTCGTGAAGCGGTGCTGCACAGGTTGCGACTGAAGGACGACATGCTCAATTAGCTTTCTGCCGTGCCTGACGACCACAATGCAAGCTCTATGAGAAAGGGGACAGTCGTACTACGCGTCTTTCTGGTTTCGAGAGGTTTTGGCTTGTGCGAGATCCTAAAAAGAAGTGGTAGAGCTGCCGCTCGGCTTGCAGAATTCGGGAGGAGGGACACGCCGTCGTCAACCGAGGATGCATGCGGGTTGGCATATCCGCCCGCACATCAGCGAGCACATGTCACGGCAGGTTCTTCAGCACATGCTTTGCTTTGAGATGATGCCGTTACTGTATCTGCAGAAGCTACAGTGTTTGTCTGGCGAAAGTAGCTATACTTGATTCTGTCGTGAGCGCCTTCCCGCACTCCAGCTTTTGTTTATTACCCCGCATCGCCCGCGGCAGGTACAAAGTCGGCTACGCTGCCAGCCTTGCGCAACCATGCCTGTCCCTGGACGTTCCGAGATGCTCCCGTCAGGGATCGAGTTACCGAGTTATCCCGCGACCAGTCCATCGCCTTGTAAAGTTACTCACTTGCGATCTGGTCATTCGGCGTACAGCGTCACTTTAGCTCCTGCTTGCAGTCTCCTTTCTCCGATCATCATCAGCCTTGAATTTCGGTAGTATGTCCAAGGACACCGAGCACCGGAAGTCATGCATTCCACCTTCTAATTGGGCTCGGCACAATCGATACAGTCGCCACAGAGACGAGCATCCTCACCTACTGTCGAGACTCAGAATGATGCGTATCTGCACACGGGTTTGCAAAAGCCAAAGAGCCTAAAAGCCAAGTCGAAGCCATCTGAACGCAAAGATGAAGTTCTGGGGGCTTTCTATCTACGTCTTAAAAGTACTTACACGTGCCAGACGCACCTCTCAATGATTACCGGAATAGGCATCGCGAAATCGCTGAGGCACCCTTCCACAGCCTCGCTAGTTCATCAGCTCATCCACCCATGTCATCATACCAAGTCTACCATTGGCTGGGCATAGGGACCTCTCGACATCAGGATATACCCGAAATGTCTCATTGGCGAGGCTTCACCTCATCGGTAGAAAGTGCTTGCAGCTGACAGCTTCTCAAAACACCAGCATGCACGAGTTCCCCAACAAGATGACTCCATTGCTCATGTAGTATGGGGTTACATGGGCAGTGGCTTCTAGTGGGTATGCGTACAACGAATAATAACGCACATCGCCAAGAAGTGACTCACGGCGACAAGACTCACGGCTCTGGACTACAATCTCACCAGCCAGTTTCTGTGCGCCAGACTGCAACGAGGAAGCTCTAAGCTAAGTTCAGTCGGATCATCTATTCGTAAGTCGAGGTACGCTGTCCTTGGTGCCTGCAAGGTGTGCGCGTCAAATCAGGCAACCAATTTCGTCACCGCGAATAAGTCCAGGAGTAATCATGCATCTTGGAAAACATGCTGAGGTAACTTTTGATCAAATCTTTCTTCTTTACTTCATCGCGGATTAATTTTTGAATCTCAATCCGATAATGCCAAAAGTTTTCTTGGTGTTAGTTTGGGCGTCTTTGGTCTCGTATCGCGGCGTTGAAATGAACGTCGTAGGTAAATTCAAAGAGAAACACCGAAGAGCGAAGGAAGAGAGTGAAGATCAGAAAAAACTCGAGGCCATTCCAATATCACGCATCAATGGGATTGGTGCGCTTCCAGTCGAGCTCTGGAGCATCATCCTCGAGCATGTGGTAACCTCGCAACTGAGCCCTTCCTCTGTCCAATGCTGGACCATGTCCGACATGTTAGACCAGAGACTCGTCTGCCGTAAGCCAATCTATCCCATCCCATCTTCACCATCCCCCAATCTAATCCCCAATGCAGACGTCTTCTCCAAAGAAATCCCGCACTCCCTACACCAGCACATCCTCCTTCCGCAACTCCCCCGCCTCTTGATAATGCGCACCCTCCTCCACTCCCCACAATCCACCCACCCCACCTCCCTCCTCGCATCTGCCATTTACAATTCCACCCGCACACTCCCCAAGTATCACCAACATTTCACACACGCAACTCCACGCATAGCCCGGCGCATACGCAACTGCTCCATCATCGCCTCACACATCTCCCATCCTCCCTTTACCCCTTCTTTGCTCCAGCGCCTAAGCACCGCGGCCTCGACGTCCATATACGTCCAGGAATACATCTTCATGCCGAGCTACTACGAGCAGCTGTTTGCCAGCACGGCGGAGGGGGATGCGTGTCTGGAAGTAGCGCTGTTGAGCGTGTGTGGGTATGAGATGGAGGATGTGATCAAGACAATGGTGAGGTTGGTGGGCAAGGGGGATTTGGAGAAGTATGTGTGGGGTAGGTATGCATGGGAGGTTAGGAGGGAGAGGAGGTGGATGAAAGGAGTAGGGGAGAGAAAGTATGGTCGAATGGACATTTCTTGCATAGGGGGCGAGGGGAGTGTACTCTGGTAACACGCTCCTCAGGATTATTTAGATAGCCTTCTTCCCCTCCTCCCGCACCGTGCCCCGAAGTTTCCCCAGCCCAAAATTCACAGTAAAATACAAGTCAAATGCCGCCGCCGGTAAATAACTCCACGCAAACCACACCACCCAACTCATCTTCCCCTCCCAGATCCACCGCTGCTTAAACACCCACCCATCTCCTGCCAGCACCTGCCTCACACAGCTGCGCGCATATTGCTGCGTATCCATGCCCAATTGCTGGCTATGCGTCAACCGGCGCTCATAATCCGCGGCCAGCGGCTGGTTATAACTGCCCTCCGGCAACGTGCGATGCGTGCGCGCGATGTTACTCTTTACTCCGCCCGTCACGACGTTGACGACCCGTACGCCCAGCGGCGCCAATTCCACGCGCAACGTGTCTGAAAAGGCGTGCAAGGCTGCTTTCGAGGCGTTGTACGGCGCGCCCCACGCATACGGCATCAAGCCCGCCACTGAACCCGTCTGAACGATGGTGCCGCGCGCTGCAATTAACAGAGGTGTGAATTCCTTGCACATGCGCATGACGGCGAAGACGTTTGCTTGGAAGAGCTCATGTAGCTCTGTTTCGTCGTAGTCCAGCGCGGGCACGACGTAGTTGCGGCCGGCGTTGTTGTAGAGGATGTCGAGTTTGCCGTGCGTTATCTCCGTCACTTGATTGCGTAGCTCGCGGATGGACTCATTGCTGGTGAGCTCGAGGGGCACGTAGGTGATGTTGGGGTGCGGGGAGGTGTATTTGGAGGGGTTGCGGACGGTCGCGAGGACGTGGAAGCCTGGATGGGGGTGTTAGATGAGTTGCATGATTGGAATTATGGTGAAGTCAGCCACCTTTTGAAGCGAATTCAAGGGCGAGAAAGTGTCCAATGCCGCCGGGTGTGCAACTAACTGGCGTCAGCGCTGGACATGTTGCAGTCTCCGAAGGCTTTGTTACCCCGTGACGAGCGCATATTTCGTTCTCTGCGTGGAGGCCATTGTCAGTTGTGAGATTGACTTGGTTGGAATTATCAAGACTTACTGTGCTTCAGAAACGCGTCGTTGAGAAATGTATCGCACGCTTCCTTATCGTGCCTCGGCTGTACTTGCCCCACACGATCGGTGCTGGCTACGTCATATTTTTCAGGCATGTGAATCTTTTCCAGCTTCATCCATTGCGACGGTCCGAAAGCAGTGCATGACTAATATGGCTGCCATCATGGAAGCTAAGGAACTCAAACGGAAACTGTCGTGACATTTTTTAGCAGCGACTTCACGCATTCCTCCAGACCTTCACCCCCTCCTTCGTTTTGGAGACAGGTCAGCTATTTGATCAGGACAGCATATTGGAGGTCGAAAGAAAAGAACATACGTTGTCAAAATTTACAAGACAACTCGAGACATACTTTACCAAGATGACTGCCTCACAATGGCTTGGGGAGCGCATACCTACACTCCTACGCCCCTCCATTCTGCTCGGAATAGCTCTCTATCGTATGTTTGCACTTACTTACGTCACATGAGCAATTCTAAAATCCAACAGATTTCATCATGACAATTCTCGAAATCGTTGTCCAGGAATGGCGACCTTTCAAGCTCTTCAACATCACTGCAGTACGCCACCAATCCTTTGCCCGCATGTGGACCCACAACGGCGAAGCCATGTCCACCGAAATGCCTGGAAACACATTCGACCTACTCTCGCGCTGCAAGGGCGTGATCCTCGACATTGGCCCCGGCTCCGGAGAACTGCTGTCGCGTTTTAACCCTGACATCATCACCGCGCTCTACGGTGCTGAGCCCGCAAAAGAACTGCACCCAGGCCTCGTCAAGAAGGCAGCAAAGAGGGGCCTCGAGAGTAAATTCCATCCTCTTCTCTGCGGCGCCGAGCCTGAGAGCTTGATTCCGGCGTTGCACAAAGCTGGTATTGTGCAAGTTAGTGGGAAAGGCGGCTCGGCGGAAGATGGTGTGTTTGATGAGATTTGTTGTACGCGTGTGCTTTGTGGAGTGCCGCATCCGCAGCAGACAATCAAGAGTTTGTACAGTTTGTTGAAGCCCGGGGGCCGCATGGTTGTGTGTGAGCACGTGGTTAGCCCGTGGAGGACACAAGGGAGTATACCGGCACGATTCATGCAGCTGGTGTACACTGTGGTAGGATGGCCATTTCTTATGGGCGGATGCGAGCTCCAGAGACACACGCCTGAATACCTCCGAGACGCTGGCGAGTGGGACCAGTTCGAGCTCAAGTACTATGCGCCGAAAGATGCGATTCCCTTCGTCGTTGGCGAGCTGATCAAGAAGCACGGCTCTCTGGATAAGTCGTACGCAGAGGCAATCAAGGAATAGGTTCGCATTCGGACCGGATCATCCACGTTTGGGGGCTCATTGGGCGTGGCCAAGGACAGATGACCCGGCACTGTACCGATGCGATCGAGAGTGCAGTAAAGCATGGGGCCCTGGACAGACACAGCTCGCCGTCTGACTGGCCCCGGGCGCCCTTCCAGGAGAATCGACACCTCGTAGAAAAACTTCCAAAAGCAGTAGTTTGAGCTGATAGATGGGCAGCGTTCTTATTGGCCCCGGGACGGCTTCCGTAGATCCCTGACAGAGTAGACATGACCCAGGGCGAAGTGTCGTATCGAGATTTCAGCAGTAATCCACGCTTTTTTCAGGAGTTGCTGCTTTGAGCTCGAAGATAACTGTCACCCCACGCTTGTGATTTCGTATCGAGGCGAAGATCCGGGCATTGCTGGAAATGATCACGATGCACTCCCAGAACAGGAAGGCAGTGTGCCAGAGAGTCCCCACTTTTGCGCCAAGCATAGCTGTCCGCGAGTGCCATGTACCACTTCAAACAGTCTCAGAATGAATGATTTGTCCGGAAGCCGATCCATCCATTCAGCTTCCACGAAGTCGACGTCGAATGAAAGGAAGGCATGATCGCGCGTCATGGCGCTAGCGCCAAACCTCCGCGGAGTGTTTCAGGGTCCAATCATCCCCAACCAGCTCCGCGACATTTTCCAAGACGCAACGTAACGTAACGCGCCATGGAGCGCATCACAGCCCGTTCAGAGGGCGATTTCTACACAGTGCTATACAGCGGTCTGTGGGTCGCTGCATTGAGTGCGATTTGGTTCTTTTGCCGCGCTGATCCAGAAGCCCCTGTGAAATATGTTGTCGAGCCGCCCGAGGAAGCAAAGCCGGGTTGGAAGGGTGATGTGCTGGAGAAGCCGTCGCTAAAGGTACGTGCAGCTAGGGGGATTTGAATATGCGGATGTTGATATATTTAGGTTTCTGGTTCGTCCCTCATTCAATGCTATGCTCCTGCGACGGGACAAGCACTCGGTCGCATCAACCCCTCCACTGCAGATGGCATCGATCGCGCCATTGCAAAGGCCAAAGCCGCTCAGGTCACATGGGCGCAGACGAGCTTTATTCAGCGCCGCAAGGTGTTGAAGACGATGCTCAAGTTTATCCTCAACAACCAAGAGACGATTGCGAAGATAGCGTGTCTCGACTCGGGCAAGACCATGGTCGATGCCAGTCTTGGGGAGATTCTGGTTACCGTGGAAAAGTTGAGGTGGACAATCAAACATGGCGAAAAGAGCCTAAAGAGTGAGAAGCGGGACACGAGCTTCTTGATGATGTATAAGTCGAACGAGGTCATGTGGGAGCCGCTTGGTGTTGTTGCCGCTTGTGTGAGCTGGAAGTGAGTCTTGTCCCCTTCTTCATCATGTAACACTACTAACATGATTTAGCTATCCTGTGAGCTTCACCGATAGTCATTGAGTGAATGTTTGATAGTCTAACATATCTAGTTCCACAACCTCATCAGCCCCGTCATCGCCTCGATCTTCGCCGGCAACGCCATCATCGTCAAAGGCTCCGAAGCCACCGCCTGGTCCTCCTCCTACTTCGCGTCAATTGCAACCAGCGCCCTCTCAGCATGCGGCCACTCGCCCGACATTGTCCAGTCCATCATCTGCTGGCCTGACGTCGCCGACCACCTGACCTCCCACCCATCAATATCGCACATTACCTTCATCGGCTCCCGCCCCGTCGCCCACCACGTCTGCGCCTCCGCCGCCAAAGCCCTGACACCCGTGTGCGTCGAGCTCGGCGGTAAAGACCCCGCCATTGTCCTCGACGATGTTTCCGAGTCCGACCTCAGGCGCATCGCCAGCATTCTCATGCGCGGCGTCTTCCAGTCCGCCGGCCAGAACTGCATCGGCATCGAGCGCATCATCGCACTCCCCGACGTCTACGACCGCCTCATCGACCTCTTGACCCCTCGCATCCGAGCCCTGCGTCCCGGCTTCGCACGAGAAGATGCCATCATCGACGTCGGCGCATCCATCTCCGACGCCAGTTTCGACCGCCTGGAAGAACTCGTCGCCGACGCAGTCAGCAATGGCGCCCGCCTCCTCGCCGGCGGCAAGCGCTATTCCCACCCGCAGTATCCCGCAGGACATTACTTCACGCCCACGCTCCTCGTCGACGTGACCCCCGATATGCAGATTGCGCAGACAGAACTCTTCGCACCCGTCTTCATGCTCATGCGCGCGGACAAACTCGACACCGCCATCGCGACCGCGAATTCCACAATCTACGCCCTCGGCGCGTCGGTATATGGGTCCAAGACGGCGGACTTGGAGCGCGTGGTGAGAGAGGTGCATGCGGGCATGGTGGCGGTGAATGACTTTGCCGTGTTTTACATGGTGCAGTTACCGTTTGGCGGGAGAGGGGGCAGCGGGTATGGGAGGTTTGCGGGCATGGAGGGGCTCAGGGGTTTGTGTAATCAAAAGAGTGTTACGCGGGATCGGTTTGCGTGGGCGGGGATCAAGACGGCGATCCCGCCGGCCATGGACGTGCCGCTGAGTGGGGAGCGGGCGATGCAAAAGGCGTGGGGCATGGCAGTGGGGATTGTGTGGTTGGGATACGGGGGGTGGAAGGATTTTGGCAAGGGCATCAAGGGCGTCATGGGCTTGTAATGTAAGAATACGTGTGTGGTATCATGTAACTCGGTCGGAAAACAAATCCTACACCGTCTCAATATACCGCCTAACCTCCCAGTCGGTAACCGCCTCATCCCAAAGCCGGATCTCATGCTCCCTCGTCCCCCCAAAATGATCAACAAACTCGTCGCCAAAAACCTCCCGCGCAACGCTCTCCTTGCGCATAAACCGCTCCGTCGCTTCTTTCAAGCTCTTCGCCAGCCTCTCGCCTTTATCCGCCGCGCCGCCCACATCCTCGCCTTTACCCAGCGGCGGGATTGATATCTCCATCTTCTTCTCGATGCCGCGCCAGCCGAGCGCCAGAATGGCCGCGAGCACGAAGTGCGGATTGGTGTCTGCGCCGGGCACGCGGACCTCGAAGCGCGTAGCTTTCGCACTGGCGGTGGGAGGGGCAATCAGGCGTATCGACGCGGCGCGATGTTCCAGACCCCACGACACGGTGACGGGCGCCCAGAAATTCTCCACCAGCCGCTTGTAGCTGTTCACATTGGGCGCGAGGATGGGCATGATGTCTGGTAGGCCATCGATCAAGCCCGCGAGAAAGTGGCGGCCGAGATCAGACAAAAACGCAATGTCCGGGTATTTCGCGTCCTTGTCTTCGGTCTCGCGCGCGAAGAGGTTTTTGTTGGCCTTGTCGACAATGGAGACGTGCATGTGGCCGCTGTTTCCGGGTAGGCCTTCGCGCGGCTTGGCCATGAAGCAGGGCGTGATGCCGTGTTTTGAACCGAGAGATTTGACGACGAGTTTGAATAGGGAGGCTTTGTCTGCCATTTGGGAGATTTCGCCGAATTCGAGAGCCTAGGGGTGTTTAGTTCACAGGCAGTATTTGAAGAGGAGAGCGCAGACGTACGGCTTCGAATACGCCGGGCCCGGATTCAGTGTGCCATCCTTCGATGCCGCAGTTGAACTTTGCGCAGGCGTCGAAGATGCCGTAGTAGTAGTCCTGGTTGTGGACGGGTCGCGTTATGCTGTAGCCAAACATGCCCTCTGTCAAGCTGGGCAGCGAGTTGACTGGGTTGTTGCGGAGGAACGCTGCGGTACTCGAAGTGTTTCTCTCTGTCCCATCGTGGGATTGGGGTGCGCGGAATTGGTAGAATTCGTACTCGGCTGTTCAAGTTGCACAATCAGCTTCGCACAGCACGCCAAGTACCTGCCTTCCAGCACCGCCTGGATATCAAGACTCACCTCCAGCCATGGCGCCGTAGCCATTCTGCTTGAGCTTGTCCACGGCACGCATCAACAGGCTCCTCGGACACGCACTCAGGCTCGCGCGTGTGTCTGGGTCGTGAAAGCTGATGAGGAAAAAAGGCACATTGTCCTCCCACGGTATCCTCCTGAAGCTCGACAGGTCGGGTACAGCAATCAGGTCGCGGTAGCCATTCTCCTTGTTTGATATGCCGAGTTCCTTGAAGTATGTCTGGTCGTGCATGTCCCAGCCAAAAATGACGCTGCAGAACCCAAACCCCTCTTTTGCAATGGAGAGAAACTTCTTCTTGGCCATGAGCTTGCCGCGCAGCATGCCGTCGACGTCTATGCCGGCGACTTTGACTGCCAAGTCATCTTTCAGGAGCTCCGGGAGCTGCTCGGCCGTGAGCGTGGATGCGGGGTTGTCTTCGGGCATGTTTGCAGTCGGTCACAGTGTCGCGATAGGGATACAAAAAGCCAATGCTGTAGGAGTGCGAGCAGCAATGTCGGGAGGCTTGGTCCCAGCAGAGATAGTGCACAATCAGGTTTGCTAGGTGTACGTCGCAGTTTGCTCCATGGAGACAGGAGCTTGGGCCAATGACGGGCAACCGGGTACGGGACTGGGATGCAGCGCGACGACATCATCGCGGAGATAGCGAGCCGCCCACCTTGCAGCAGATAAAGTTACACGGTAGCCCTCGCTTGCGCTTACGACGTTATCTTGACCATTCCATGCGAAATCCCCATTGCGCCCGTGACTGCCCACGCGACAACCAATGTGCATCTCTCCGACTCTGACCCTGACTGCCCCTCATCGCCATGGCGGGGTAATCTCAAGCCCTTCTAGATGCGAATGCGACGTGCCACGCGCGCTCCAGAGGATGCAAGGCGCGTCCAGCCGAGTTTGAAACATCGTGAAGCCGCCCACCGCTCTTTGCTACCTTTTCGGGATCCATGACAGGGAGCCATAGAATCTCTTATCGACACGTCTCCAGGCTATCTAGGGCCGACTTCGGGGTCCTGTGATCACCACCATGACACCGCCCGCAACGTCCGTACCGCTCTTGCCCTGGCCACTGCAAGTCACCAACCTCGTCCAAGGATAACCTCGCCATCAACCAAACACAGCATTCCCGTAGATCCTCAATCACAGCAACACCGCGTGTGAGTCGTTGTAGTTGTACGTACCGGGCAAACCTTCCGCATTCACGCCCGCCGAGTGCTGTCATGACGCTGGTGCTAGTTCATATTAGTCATTGTTTTCAAGCTTTGATATAAGAAATCGCCGCGTGCACAAGCAAGATACTCACACTCTGACAGACTTTTCAAAGACTTTTCATTCTACACAACAACTGCCATTCAACATGGGTCGTCTTGAAGGCAAGAACTGCATCATTACTGGTGGTGCTGGGTAAGTGACATGCTCTTCTACTGACAGTCTCACACGTCCTTATTTTTCCATGTCGAGCCACCACAGCATTCCAAGTCGATGCTTCACAGTTTCTCTTTTCTGTTGTTCTTTAGTATTCTCACACTGTTTTTTTCCTCATCTAGTTCTCGCTTCAGCTCAAGCTGCTGCTTGGATTCAAACCAGTCACGTTATCCAGCCAATCCATAATCATGCCTGACACTTCGCAGCGGCATCGGCCTGGAGACGGCGGTGCTCTTCCTACGGGAAGGTGCCAACGTCCTTCTTTCCGACATCTCCGGCCCAGCTCTCGAAAAGGCAGTCACCAAATTAAAGCAAGTCGTCCCCGAGGCCAAGAAGATTGAAACCAAAATCTCCGACGTCTCCAAGGAAGCCGACGTCCAAGCCATGATCGAGCACGTCGACTCCTGGGGCGGTCTGGACGTCCTTTTCAACAATGCCGGTATAATGCACTCTGCCGACGACGATGCCGTCAACACCCCCGAGAAGATCTGGGACCTCACGCAAGCCATCAACGTCAAGGGTGTGTGGTTCGGCAGCAAACACGCAGTCATCAGCTTCAGGAAGCACGGAAAGAAGAAGACCAGCGTCATCAACACCGCAAGCGTCGTCGCGCTCGTCGGTAGCGCAACCCCCCAGCTCGCATACACCGCCAGCAAAGGTGCCGTGCTCGCCATGACCCGCGAACTCGCCATGGTGCACGCCCGCGAGGGCTTCAGATTCAACGCCCTGTGCCCCGCGCCACTAAAGTACGTATCCCCATTTCCTTGACCCCTCAAAACCTCGCTAACAATACCCAAGCACCCCCCTTCTCCAGGACTGGCTCGGCGACGACCAAGGCCCAAGCGTCACCGCCGCGAAGTCCACTTCCCGACAGGCCGCTTTGGCGAGGCTGTCGAAGCAGGCCCAGGCTGTTTTGTTTCTGGCCAGCGACGAGAGCAGCTTTGTCAATGGCACGGACTTTGTGGTTGATGGTGGTATGTCGAGGTGCTATACTACGCCCCGAAGGTCCCCCAACGGAAGCACCGCATAACAATGCGCGCGATGATTACAAGCCTTCCGTAGAGATGAAGATGGGAGGTGTGAGTGTTTGTTTGATCGTGGGGGATAGCTGGCTAGATTGTATGGGATGCGGGTGGGTGATCACGAAGGCTATGACCGAATGAACACAAGATGAATTGAAGGGCATCTTTCGGTTTCTAAGTGGTGTATGGAATGAAGATGTAATCCACGTGGTAAACTTGAGTGATGATGATGATGATGATGATGATGATGATCACCACTATGTCAAGAAATCATAATTCTCCAGGGAGAAGAGAAACTCGCCATATCACAATTGCATCCGCGGTCTGCTATGTGAAAGTAGGACGTTCCAGAGACATAGACGGTGCAGTAACCAGTTTTTGACCCGCCAGACATCCGTCATCCTTACCATGCCTTTAATCCACACACGCAGGCTCTTCATGGGCCCTTTGGCGGCATGCAGGGTTCCTACAAATGTCTTTTCGTACTCAGCAAGAACATGGCGTTGTATTGCTGCCTATTTTCCGGGCACAGCGGAGAGGCGCAAAGTCAGACGAAAGAAAGGGTAAGATGTTTTGTGGAGAAGAAGAGAAGGCGTCTTCCCTCATGCTTTCGTGGGATTAGCACTTTGGAAAAAGACAATACAGGTCGCACATCGATTAGCTCTTGGCATGTTTTTCGGTAAAGATCTTTTGAGCGGTGGAGAGCAGATGTAGAGGGAGGAGACGGGGAATAAGTGTCGGGCTTTTATAGCCGCTTTCGGCTGGGGAGATGATGCATGGAAGATTCTTACAAAGAGAATGCTTTCATCATGGGTCACTTGAGTTGGTAATTTGAAAAAGATGGCGCAGCCCAGACATCGAACTTTTCCGCGTAGTGTCTGGTAGAACACTTTTGGTGCCGGTATAGAGTAAACAGAAGACGTTGTAACAAAAGGAACTTGTGCTGGGGTTAGCAGCCACTGTCCATTTCGGAAAATTGTCCCAGAGATATTTTGGGGAGATGGAAAGGTTTTCCTCATGAATAGGTGGCGCCAAAGTTTTGGGGGAACGAGAGCGCATACCGGACATCGGATCTGTTTGGTCGCGTTTTGGTAGATTCATTTTGGCGCTGGTATTTATTCTAGATAAGAATGCAGAATGAGTGGTGGGTTTTATAGATGCCGACGACCTGGACATAACACGTCAAGTATTGTATTTCGAGAGACGGAAGTGCCTTCCTCATGCTTCTTGAAGAACCAGATTTGCGGAGAAATACAGCGCAGGCTGGACATGGCTGGACCTTGAGCTGTTTTCATAGCGCTATCGGTGCTGAACCAGATTTTCCGAAGGGCTGAGAAAGCAAAGTAATCCTTGGGTTGTATGAGTAGAACAATCGTGTAGTGCCGATCCAAAGACAGCATTGGAACAGCACATACCTCCCTCCTCATCGAGATGCGAGTCGACTATTTTGGAGAAAGGACAGCGAAGGCCAGACATCAGGTCGAACTCTACACGCTTTAGTGGCGCATTTGTGCACAAAATCCGAGCGTTTGAAGGATGAGGAAGGAGGAGGAGAACAATAGTTGGCCTTTGTAGACACAATCTGTAGAAGATCGCACGTCAGCAGGTAGCGAAGATAGAACAGCACGCAACTTCCCCCTCATACATGAAGTGCGTAATATTTTGGAGAAGAGACAGCGCGAGCCAGACGTTAAGGCGATTGACTGAGCTTTTGATAGCGCTATCTGCACTGATGTAATGAATCGAGAAATCTGAAAATTGTTGGGCTGTACTTGTATAGCAAAACTCGACGAATACCTGGACATTCTCGTAGGACTGGTGGGTTTTGGGTTGAAGAGGATATCTTCAGTGTGAGTCAGACATGTCAAGATGTCTTTCCACTTTCGGTCTTAGTTGTGCCCTATCATAGAGTGACAAGATAGAGGTGGGAATGTGGGAGAAGAGGTAGCTTGATAGGTACTGGTGACCCAGAAAGTCATGCAGTCAAGAGTTTGGCAAGTGTAACCGCAGGAGACGTCTTCCTCATGGGCGTGTGAAATATATCTTTTAGAGAGAATGACGGCGCAGACCAGACATGTGGGACTTTATCGAGGCTGTTAATCATGGATTCCTTTTTTGTCAGTATTGATGGCAAAGCACAACAAGAGTCGAAAGAATCAGAGGCTTTGTACCTGTTCACAAACGCCCATAATTTATTTTTGTGCACTTCGCAGAGCTCTAACACATAAGCTACACATTGAGGCTTTTTAGAGTAATCTCGCGAATGACCGGAAATGATTCCCTGGACACACCGAGGCTCAGTGGTGGATTTCTTGAGAGTCATGGAATTCATGTATGATCATTTCGAGCAATTTTGTTCTTGTTGTAAATAAGACAGAAATGCGACGGCTCTCTCGCTACCCAGAGTGGGTCATATCGATGATCTCTTAACGTATTTAATCTTTGGGCATAGGATGACAGCAAAATGATAGAAACGAGATGAATAGCAGAACACGCAACCAGGTTCCATATCAAGACTAAGTAGGGGTTTTGGAAGTCATCAACACCCTTGGCAGTCTTTTGCGTATTGGAGAGGAAGGTCATGAGGGCTTTCTCTGCACGTTTTGGACGTGAGAAGACGAGGCGAGACTCATCGATAGTATCTAGGGTCGTTTTATGGTACAACTTTGGAGAAACTGATTTTGAGAGATAAACAGAAGCAGGGTGGAGTAAGACATGTATAGCTGTCCTCGATCACTAGAAGAAATTGCAAGGATGGAACAACATATAGTGTACCTACACGGCACTCCAAGCATGTAGCGTTCGTTGTTCTTCGCAATGTTTTGTTGTGCAGATCATTCTTTAGGATTTCCGTTGCTCCAAGAAGAGAACATAGTCTCCAGGTGCAGAGATTTTGTTTACGGCTGTTGTCGAAGCAGACGAGATGCGCTTCATGAGTTGATGACACTTCGTTTTTGACGGCTGATGGCGGGAGAAAGACGTGCTGGTATCGACTATGTTGTTCTCGACCTGCGACATACCTACATGCAAATGGATAATCATGATGTTTTAAGTCGGAAAGATTTCTAGATGCCACAGAGAACGGTTTAGTAGTGATATATGCCAGACAAAAGTCATGGTCGCTCACTGTCTTCCTGTGGACAGACGAGCCTCCGAACATAAATCATGTAGCCTCCGGATTGAAACTTTGGGACACACGGAGAATAAAACATGGCTATGTCTTTCACTTGTTTTTGTTTCTGGAAACCCGACGAAAGAAGAGACATAGCGCTCGAACCCAGCCTTTTGGTTTTGAGGAAGGGAGCAAGGAATATGGAAGAAAGAGAAGAGCTACTCAATCGAGGTAGAAATACCAGGCCATAGTCCAAAAAAGGCTAGCTGGTAAGTGAGCGACTCTTGCCAGACAGCATGAGCGGCATCGCTGACCCAACGAGAGTAAGGCGGGAGTAGGGCTTTGCTGCAACACGACTTCGCTGTTCTGCTTATATGCTGGCTCTCGGCGCAAGCAATGAGCAAGCAGTCTGGTAGGTAAGTGAAAGCATGGTCCTCCAGGGAAATTTTCATGTCAGACACCATTGTCTCCCAATGACAGCTTTGTGCCTGATGATGCGCCCGGCTTGCCACAACATCAGCGCCGTCTCGTGATGCTACCGTGTCAAGGGCCGAAATGTCACGTATACTGCATTATTTGCTCCTTGCTACTGCAATGTCTGCTGTCGCAAATGCCGTGAGGCGTGTTCCATGTATCATTTTGTAGTCGGGGTCGAGGCGCACAAACGGGCGGGCAAAGATTGGTAGGGTCCTACAATGCACATGAGCAGCAAGGGTCATGTCAAGATCAAGTCACGCTCGGGCTCGCGACGGTTGTCATTGTTCATGATCGTGCCATTGTTTTTATGAGAATCCTGATAAACCCATGATCGTTACAGGACCGGCATCCAGATGCTTCTATGAGCCATCTCAGTCGGATAATGGCTGCCGATGCAGAGAAAGACGCTCGAATAACTCCACCGAACCGTTGCCCAATGTTCCCTTAAACCTCAGCAATCTCGCGCAGACGACGGATGGTTGACCTTGTGGCGGCGGCAGCGGGGGTTCTGCGAGGCACGTGTTAGCACTGTCGAAATGTGTTCTTCCCATCGCCACATCTCGGGACTAGAATTGAGGCTCGCAATGCAACGAGGCATGGGTGCGCTTACGAGACGGTGTAGGCTCCTCCGGCGGTGGTCTTCCTGCAGGATCGGCAGTTCCAGATACCGACAGCAGTGCGCTTGACGGCGTTCTTTCCGCAGAACTGGCACACGTAGCGGGCGTGTTGTGTGATCTGAATGTTGTTGTGAGCGCTCATTCTTTGCGCGGCAAGACTTGTTTGGGTGTGCGCACCTCCATCTTCTTGACCTGCTTACGGAGCGAGGCACCGTAACGGGTACCGTACTTTCCGGTGATGCCGACCTTCTTTGTGCCTACATCGCAATCAATAACTGTTCTATTCGGAAGAGGGGGGAAGGCGTACGCTTGGTCATTTTGGCGGTGTTGTGGGTTGTTGGAGGTGGATGGGTATTGCGAGGTTGACGTTTTTGCTGAGGTAGCGGCACTCCAAATTGCTGGTGTTGCCAAGAACTCGCTTATTGATCGGGGCAGCAACGCCGGACCGGAACAACGATCGACCGCCGCGCTAGTCTTCGGGCATCCCATTGGACAAGCCCATCAACAAGCTGCAATCTATGTCAGGTCGGATGTTACACACAGCCACATCTACTCCTTGAGTCGTCATTGTGGTTCACGGCCTGTCAAATGCGATTGCATTAACGTCTGCCATGCAAAAGACATGGAATCAGCACACCCATTACCTCAATCGGTGAACTACCCGACGAGCTACTTGTCCAGATTTTCGAATTTATTTCCAACGCTTTTACGACACGTACAACGAGCGATGTAAAAGTTTATCAGTCATCTCTAGGACTGATCGTCGCTTGTACTCAATCATCGCGCCTTTGTTGTACGAAAGATTCTATGCTTGCTGCATCAAGCACCTAAAACTCTTCGGCTGAACGGTCTTGGCTAGCAGTCATTGTGCGAAGCTCGTAAAGCATTACGAGGAAAGTGGACCCAACCTCCAAGCCCAAAACCAAAATGCTCATGCCGGGGGGAATTACATTGGATGGTCTGCTGACTGGCGCGAAGAGCTTTCCTTGGATCAAGAATTGTACGAGGCCTTGGAGAAGCGTGGGGCCCTTAGTCCGGATTGAAACACACGTACCACCTTGTCTCACATAATTGCACACGCTTTGCCAGGTCTACAACACCTAGCTTAGGCCACTTGTGGTAGTGTATTTACCAGCAATCTCGTTGATGCAAATCTCCCTGGGCAAGTGTCCCTTCAGCAGCTGTGTACATTGAGTATTGTGTTTGAGCGGGAGAGGCAGTTTCTGACGCGTGAGTTATCGGTGCTACTCACACTGCCATCACTTCGGACACTTGTCATTGTACATGCGTACCTATGGGAGGGAGAGAATAGGCGTGCCGAGGCCACAGAGCGCGCGTGGCATTGCCAGAAACGAACATCCACGATCCAGGAGCTCACTCTAAGTGTTGTGAAATTCCTACTGCTTGGATATCGAAATTCATCAAAAAATGTGGAATCTTACGTACCTTCGATCTGGAATACTTTCATTGGCACACAAGCACGGTGGATTATTTGCAGATATAAAACGCCTTGCAACTGCATCAAGACACTCTATCCGAGTTGCGGATGATCCAACTCAACGGGTGCAAAGCTGTGTCTGCGCTTCAAGCGGACCCTCCTCAACCCACCTCTTTTCAGCAGTTTCCTTCGCTCACTCACCTTGAGGTGCCTCTCTTCGCCTTTTGTACGAGGACACAGCATTTCATTATTGACAAGCTCCTACCGCCCAGTCTTGAAGCACTGACAGCCGATTTGCGATCAGCAAGGGAAAGTTCCAGCGACAGGTTCTGTCTGACTTTAGCTGAGTTCACTAAACATGGTCTGCCTGCCTTGAAGACCATCGCAATCAAGTGTCGCATCGATGAGTATCGAGAGAAGGGATCTTTGCCACGACACTTTTGCCACATTCGTAGGTTGCTATCGAGGTATGGAGTCGAGCTTAGCTACTCTCTTGGATTCGTATCATGCGAATTCCTTTCAAGTAATGTGCCTGATCTCCGCTTAATCGCCTTTACTAACTCTAGCTCCAGCAAAAGTGCATTCGACACTTATGACCATGCGACTATCGAGCAAGGATGGCTCCAAGTTGGCAGATCACAGCTCGTGGGTAGTAGGCTGTCAACTACTCTGCAAAAGTCGTTCGGCAGACGCACATCGCTCGGCGAGGAATTGGGGTTATATGCAGCCCTGGACAGGACCCGAGGAGTTTGAGCTGTCAAAATAAACTGTCAACCTAAACTGTCAACCGCACGTGGTGTCGCCAAGACAGAGCTGGGAACACACTGATTGATACTGAAACTGAACGTATACGTAAACAGACCGCCGGATGTTCTGTTCCCTTTAAGCCAAGAGTACATGTTGTCTCTGAGTAACACCGAATATGTCGCCGGAAGTTGATCCTTCACAGCCTCTATTGTGGCGCGATCACTGCATGGGACGATAGCAGTCCAAGGCGACTTTAGCATTCAATTTCCAGATGCAATTCGACCAAAGCTGTGGAGATCTGTAGAACTGTGGCGCAGTACATCAGGTTCGACGCGCCCGGATGTTGCGCATCCGAAACGTTGCTGAAACTGAAACAGCTGACAAGGTCGTCGCGAACAAGTTCGTAAGCGAATCTCGCGCGCTAATTGTTTGGAGAGCAGTGAACAGCAGATTATCAGCTATTCTCGGGTAATGTTTACTGGGATAGTCGTGCCATTGCTATTTTTTGGCCATGGCAGCAGTTTGAGGCGGAGTTTTGCTTCAGCGACTGTGCCCACACACGACGAGGCATACAAGTACATAAGGCCTGGGGCTACAGCTTCGTTATAGCCTCATTCAGACTTTAAACTTTATCCTCAGTTCCGTTTGCTACCCCAGATTCCAGAACCCAATCATCGAATATATTGTTTAATACAAGACCTCCATCTCTCGATTAATCTCATAATGGCTCTTCACTATCTGCGACAAGCAGCCTTCATTACCATACTAGCACAATTGGGTGCCGCACAACGGCCCAGTATCATTCCCGAAGATCTTGCTGGCGGGCTCTCGGGCGGAACAGATGTTCAGGTGTCATACACGGGAGAAGCGGTCAATGGCTTCTCAGATGGCACATCCTTTAGCAAAGAAGGTCAGTGTAAAGCTGTCATTGCTAGTAACATTAATTGACAAGTAGCAGCCGTAGCACAAGAACCTACCTTTGCCTTGGGCGACAGTGCAGGCATAGCACCTGGTGTCTTGTACACCATCATCATGGTCGACACAACATGCTCAGACAAGCGTGTCCTCCACTACGCACGAGCAAACTTCAAGAACAACTTCGACATCACAAACATCAACACCACCTCCCCACCACAATTAGAATACAAAGCCCCCGGCGCCTTTGGCGAAACCGGCGACAACCGCCAATACAGCTTCCTCATGTACGTCAACCCACGGCGGCAGCAAATCGACAACTTGCAACTCCCCGCCGAGGGTGAGGCATTCGATGTCGAAAAGTTCCAGACCGACAACAACTTCCAAGAGGCGACTGGTGGAGTAGGCATGGTTGTCAAGCTGGGCGGCCAGGCGGATTGTGCCGGAGGTCAGCCAAACGAACTCCCCAGCAACTTGCCATCCGCAAGACCTCCTCGCTCGTCGGCCGCGAATGCGGGACCAACATCGTCAGCAGCGGGAGGCTCAGGTGCAGTTACATCGGCGAGCCAGCGTCCTACGCCCGTACCGTCAGCATCGCCGAACAACAGCAGCGGTAGTGCGCCGCGTCCTTCGGACCCAGCAGCGGCACCCAGCCAGGGTCAGGATGGCGCTCCTGCGTCTACAGTCGTCCTGAGCAGTGCCGGACCCAACGGAGCGGTTCAGCCTTCACGCACACCTAGTGCCAATCCTGCAGAGCAGACGGCGAACGCTGCGCTTTCCCTTTCGGCTGGATCGTGCGGGTTCATGGCACCAATGGTTGCGATGGTTGGGTTGGTTTTGTGGTAGATTTTGGATATAGCATAGGCATGATGGAATGGACATCAAACAAATATAGATATAGCATCTAGATAATGAATGAATACAAGAAATACACCAACCTACCCACCACCACACCAGCAGAAGGCTAAAACTATACCCTCAAAGCGGCAAAACCACGGGACTAAATGTCATTCGTTTTCCAGCCGCGCACTCCTTGACTCGTCCAGCAGCACGACTCATGTTCGCGACTAGGATACCACGGGCTCGGCCATTTCCCTGCCGCAACGGCGTCAATAAACCCCTTCCTAGCGCGGGACAGCAAATGCATGGACCCTATTTTGCAGAAGCGCGCATGCGGGGCCCTTCATGTGCGAGAGAGAAATAGAGGGACGCTGAATGGTGCGAGTTGGATGTAGGTATAGACCAGTATAGCGCACATGCAAACGTGAGCAGGGGAAACGTTGTTTTCTCTTCTTGTCTCTCTGCCATTTGACTTTTTTGACAGCATGGCGACGCCTCAGGCAGTGCCGGTGGCTTCGGTGCTCAGCACGCGCAACGTCCTCGCTCTCGTGGGCGTCTGGGTCGTGTACAAGGTGCTCCAGGCGCTGTACAACATCTCGCCTTTCCACCCGCTGAGCAAGATCCCCGGCCCCAAACTCGCAGCGGCAACGTACATCCCGGAGTTTTGGCACGATGTGGTGCGCTTTGGGTGTTATTCCAAGGAGATTCGGAAGATGCATGAGGAATACGGTGAGTATCCATTGCGATCTGGACAAGAGCGTTTTCTGAATGTTTTATTTAGGTCCAATTGTTCGCATTAATCCGCACGAAGTACATTGTAGCGATGTTGCCTTTGCGGAGGAGATTTATGCGGTTGGAGGGAGGAAGCGCGACAAGCCTGTTCATCAGATCAATGGGTCTGCGTACGTCCCCTCCCCCATCACAAATTAACGAGCAAAACTAACATTCAGAAATATAGTCTCGGTCAAGCAGGCTTCGGCACCCCAGCCCACGATCTGCACCGCATCCGCCGCGTGCCCCTCGCGAAGTTCTTTTCCCGCTCCATGATCGCCCAGCTCGAGCCCGAAGTCAAAGAGCTCGTGCAGAAACTGTGTTCCAAGCTGCTTGCGCAGTCTGGAGATAGTAAGCCCTTCGACATCACAATGGCGTACAGCTGCTTCACGTCGGATGCGATTTCCGCATATAGTTTTGGAGAGAGGTTTGGGCTGCTGGATCAAGAAGGGTGGTATCCCAACTTCAGGGAAGCGACGACTGCGATCTTAAAGCCCGTCTTCATCTTTAGGTTCTTCCCCTGGACCAAGGCGAGTGCGGGCTTGGGCAAGTATCTAGTTGATTATATGCCGACGGATATCAGTTTATTGGTCAGGACACTGCAGATTGACATGCCCGCGCGAGTGCGTCAAGCCAAGGCAGATTTGGATGCAGGCATTACATACGACCGCCCAACGATTTTCGGATCGTTGCTTCGATCGGATCTGGATCTTCTGGACAAGGAGCCGCAGAGATTGGCGGACGAAGCTGCAGCGGTTGTTGGAGCGGGAACGGAGACGACAAGCTGGGCGCTCAGCGTCATGACCTATCATCTTCTGACTAAACCGGAAATCCTCGCAAAATTGACCAAGGAATTGCAGACGGTTGTCCAGGATCCACAGCGCCTTCCCAGACTGGACGGTTCTCGAGACGCTGCCATATCTTGGTGCAGTCATTCAGGAGGGTCTACGTCTATCGTATGGTGTTTCGAGTCGTACTGCACGCATTCCGACAGAGGAGAACCTGCTATACCGTGGAGAATGGAACAAGAAGTCAATCGAGTATGTGATTCCGCAGGGTTATGCCATTGGCATGTCGACTGTCGTAACACACCACAATGAGCGGACATTCCCAGACTCGTATGCCTTCGCTCCCGAAAGATGGTTGGACGAGAACAACAACCGTAGGAAAGAGGTAGAGCGTGGTATGCTTGCCTTCTCCAAAGGCAGCCGGAGCTGTTTGGGTATGAAGTAAGTATCAACCACCCCGTGGCGTCAAACTCCCGTTGCTAACAAATCGTCTTCACAGCCTTGCACTGTGTGAACTGCATCTCTGCCTCACAGCGCTCGTTCTCCGCGTGCTACCACACATGCATCTCCACGACACGACAGCTGAGGACGTCGCGTACGACCATGACATGTTCATTCCCGTGACCAAGTACAACCGAGGCGTCCGTGTGATAATCGAGTGAAGCAGGAGAGGTCCGATACTGTACATGATCAAATTAGCCAATAATCCTACAATACATACTCATTCCCAGTGCGCCAAAGGCGACGTCATAAAACTCTCCTAGCCCGACATATAGCCAACGTCTTCCCGCCCACTTCCGGCCTCGCCGTCCCAGAACACGAGCACAGGGAAAAAACCCGCACGTGGCGAGTCAGCACACGATCCATCGGTAGCGTCCGAGAAAGGGGCCGGCGAACAGGACCACCGATCTGGGAAGGAAGCGGTGTCAAGAATTGTGGGAAATTGTGGACTGCCTGACGATTCTTGGAAGGATTCTGGGTCGCTTGGAAAGAATTCCAGATTTGCTGCCGAACCTGCCGGTGTGGAGATTCGATGGGGGCGTTTGGCTTGGCTATGGTCATGGTAGTTTTGTTCGCTTAGCATCCTATGCTCCGAGCGAGAGAAAATCCGAGTAATGCAAACGAGCAGGTATGATGGTGGCAAGACTAAAGATTCTGCTGATCAAGGTTTGGCGCACTCGCCCCGAGACGGTTACGGAGTGTAAGATGGCAACAGGGAGCAGGGAGGACAGTGAACGTTGAGTCTCGGCCAACGGTCGGTAGTGCCCGAAAGTTGCTTTCGAGCGTGTGGATTGCTGACCAACATCACCAAGCGCCGGAAGCCAGTGCCGGTCTTAACTGGGGTTCCTGCGGGAACGCTAATCCAATTTTAGTCTGCATCAGGGCCTGATTGCTTGTGGACTTCCTCAACGGTGCAAGGCCAGAATCAGGTGAGCCATTCGCAAAACAGCACGCAACCTAGCAGGGACATCCTCAGGAGATAGTGGGGTAAGTGGGCAAGGGACATGGCTGTTGCTTTGCCATTGAGCATGTCGTCGCCGTTCGTTTCACAATGTACTGGGGCCAGATTTTCGTAAAGGATGGTGGCCTTGAATAATGGTTGTCGCCGCCGTCAGTTCCCCAACACTCTCGGATCTCAACACACGACTCGGTGCTTCTGGCCTGGAGTTTTCCTATCGACACCGAACCACGGATCCTTGTTGTCGACTGCCCCTTCCAAATTATAAGAAAAGAGGAGACTCCGTTTGTGGAGTGCCAACCACTCTTGACGAACGCTGCATTGGGAAAGAGAAACAACATGTCGATGCCAGTGTCCACCGCGGATCCGACCTCCAGAACCATTACTCCCAATGGTCTACCCCTCGCCATTCTCGTCATTTCAACAGTCTTTCTTGGCCTCTCAATCATCACCGTCTCGCTGAGGACCTATATCCGCATTGTCAAAGGGTCGTTTGGAGTCGATGATGGATTCATGGTTGCAGGATGTGTAAGCAACGTCTAGCATGTGTTGACCATCGAGGCGAAAACTGACTCTGAAATAGGTTGCATACACTGTTGCTACTGCTCTTGCAGTCTACGACGTCTACATTGGCCTAGGGCGTGTGAACGCTGAGCTCAACGAGTGGCAGCAAATGCACGCGATGAAGTTTTACATCATCTGGATCCTGACCTATGTCCTAGCCCTTGCAACCGTAAAGTCGTCAATCTGCATAACGATTCTGCGCATCGCGTCCAACAAGGTCAACCTACGCATCAGTGTATATGTCCTTTTGGCTGTCACATGGGCCTCCTTCTTCATCACCTTTATCGGAACACTGCTGTACTGCCAGCCTGTGAACGCCATCTGGGATATATCGTTGATTCTGGGTGGCAAGGGAAAATGTGCACCAGTAAAGACTTTTATAATCATCGGTCACACCGCTACCGTGAGCACAATCCTGACCGACATGGCTTTGGTCGTCGTGCCGGCGATTATCCTTTGGAATACGCAGATGAAGAGACAGGCCAAGCTTCAAGCTTTTGGATTGCTCTCCTTTGCTTCTGTTGCCTCGATCATAACCATGGTGCGGATTCCGTACGTGAACAAGTTTGGTGGGATGAAGGACCTGCCATGTAAGTGTTTGCCATTTTCAGGAAGCCTGAGTATCGATGCTAACATGAAATAGTCTGGGTCGCGCACACTATGCTTTGTTCGAACATCGAGACTGGCATTGGGTGTATATGCTCTTCGCTTCCCTCGCTTCGGCATTTCCTCAAACGCGACGGTAGCAGCAGCGACTCCAAAGGCCACAGCCAAAAGACAAGAAGTGGACTTCAGACTATAAGCCAGCAGCGGGTTCGCAATATTGGGAGGGCAAAGGAAGACAACTGGGAGGAGTTGCAGGACGGTAGTTCGGATCGTAGTGTGGCGCTGCTAAACTCAAAAGGCATCCACAAGGCGCAGACGTTCGAAGTCGACATCGAGATGGAGGGCTTTGAGAAGAGGAAAAATGGCGCAGCCTCGCGGCTTTAGTAGCACTTGTGTTTGTGCTCCCATCCAATCTAATGCCATGTCACACGTCTCCCAATCACCTGATGCTGCTTCTTTCTCATACCGAGCAATTGTCTCTGGCTCAAGCTCATGTTCCTCGGGCGACTGCTCAGGTGACTGCTGAGGCCGTCTGGTAGCCAACACTTTCCAGGTAGGCGGTTGGTGACAGCACTCGTGGGCAAAGCCCAATTCGGTCTAGTACAAGCTTGAAAAGGGTTGTAGAAGCTTCGAAGTCGATGCAGTGGACTCGGGTGATGTAGGCGGAAGATATGTTTTGGGTGGCCCTGATGAATTACTGAGAGATCCGAGTGAGGGGCCCTAGGAGACGCAGTCCTAAGACGCGGGGGCGCTCGATAGCGTGAAGGAGATTATCAGTATGGCTGATGTCTTGTGCTCTCTGTGTCGTTCTGGGACACTCGCAAGGTTGCTACGGATCATCTGAGGATTTCCAGGTCGTGGTATTGGGTAAAATTTTTCAATTGCGGGCAACCGTTCACCTAGACTCGTTGTTGCTGGGCCATATCACCCCTCGAGCTCAGTCTGCCACAACATTCACCATACCCAACTATCGACCCCCTCGCCTCAGAACAGTTGGGCATTCCACTCTTGCAGCACGACTGGTGTTCAGTACCTCTTACTGAGGCTTGCGAATCAACGCCACCCACTAGCCGTCTCATCCAAAACCCGCCGCGCGCCAAAGACAGCCCCATTGCCCGCCACGCGGCGTCAACGGCCCGGCAATGACAACATGAGCGGGGTACACAAGACTAACAATAGAAGATATCCTAGCTGCCATGGAGCGCTCCAAGTCGGTAGGATGTGAGGGCATCCTGCGCGACAAGCGGATATCGCAATAGTAACAACACCAAGCACCACCTGGGCGCCGCCACCCGGACCCCATGACTGACATTTCAACGACAGGAAAGAAGCTTCTTTGGTCTTTGGGTTGTAGCCTCCGCACCGCGCCATGGCAGCGGACATCTCAGAACTCCAGCGCTGGCGCAAGGAGAGAGAAACGTGACCCTCAATGACCCCGTCTCTCCGCCAACTGTCGCCTACCACGAGCAACTAGGAAAGTACGACTCTTTCTTGCGGCTACGGTCGCCATCTAGCAATCTCCGAACGTGTGGATGACGACAGCGGATGGCTACCATTAAATCTTTCTCTACGGACATACATGCCCCGGCGACTGGAGCAACTGAGCTCACACTGAGCAAAGGCCGACAACTGAGTCTAGACTCTTTGGGTGCACTAGCGGTGCTGGAGCCGTACTTAACATGACTTCGAGCCAGCCAGCAAGATGCCATCTACCATAGGCACAGACAGTGCGGCGGACGAATCAATTGAGCACTTTCTCAGCACACAAAGACACGTTCCTTAGCCCAGACTACTCGAGGAACACCATCGGACTTGCGAGACGACCATGACAACGCACATCGACCGGCGCGCAGCATACCACAACCTGCAGTTCTCATAAAAACCGCGTCCCGGAGGCTAGCTAGTCGCAAGACATGGCACTCCGGAATCGTGCGCCTCGGAGGACATCGGAGACATGACCATACACTGTCGTAGCCATGCCGCAGGTGTGGATAAAATACTGGTCATCTGATAGACCTTTAGAGAGGCGTTGTGCATTTTATCATCGCCATGTCGAGAATTAGACGGTGTCCAGGGTCCATTGGAGATGGCGACTACTTGCACCAAAACATTCCGGCTCTTTCTCATGGTCCTTCCAGACTGGAAACATCAACGGAAGACTTGAGTCCTTATCGCCATCGTATAACATGGGCTCATCCCACCCACATCGACACACAACTACCATCCGGTGTTCAAAGGCTATACAAGTCAAGTCGATGCGGCTTGTGATAGCCTACGGCAGATGAGATTTTTAAGAAAGCACCGAAAACATCCAGCTATGATAGGCCACGGATGTTCGATAGACCTTCGTATAGTCTTCATGCTCCGCGAGAGCGGGTCATGTGGCTGGCTTGATGGCATGTTGCACGTCGAGAGCCTGCTTTTCAGTATGCCAGCGCTTCTTACAAGGCATACGTACCAGCCACGACTTTTGCTGTGCTACGGGCATACAGTGCCTGAAGTCAAGTGATTGGCGCTGTGAAGTCCGCTGCCTCCACGACTTGCCAAAGGCATCTTGTCGAGCCTATGTGTGGCAACTCCGGAGTCGCACACGTGCAGTCGTCGAGGCGGGGATTCGATATGAAAACGCGAATAGAAGCGTATGCATGCGTATGGCTGTCGAATCTGCCACGAAACTATGCGTAGCCTTGGAGCTGTAGGCAATTCATGCGGCCACTCGCCGCCGCCGGTGCTCATGGCAGAGACACAGCTTCGCCTCGCATTGGCCTCAGACATTAGCAGAGCCACAGGCGTGTACTTGGATACCAAAGGCGCCTCCAGTCCATCAATGGTAGGTACGGACCACCGAGTATGAGTCTCGGGTCTGCCAGACGTGCGTAGTGGGAGTCCGAGCATGACCGCTTTTCAAGCTTGTGGATGGCGCTCGTCAGAAAGCGCGTATCTCACGAGCTCGAAGCTTCGCCGTCGAAGCTAGGAGTGTGTGGTTACATGGATGACCCGGATGGTGATGGCACGACACGCAGCCGTGGCCGCCTTTCGCGGTGTTGCATTGTCGAGAGTGGTGATGCTGCGCCTCTGCTGTAATCCGGAGCTGTATTGTCGCCGAGCAAGCTGTGAATACGCATATGGTATGTTCGCCGCAGTGTGTAAGCTGGCGATGCTGCAGCGCTTCGGCAGTGAGATCTCCCCCAAGTGCGGCTGTTTCGAGCGGTCAGTCGGTGTGCACGCTGCTGAACCTCTGCTGTTACGCAAGGTCCTCGTATGCTACGGGCAGGGCGTCGTTGTGTCCGTGTGAGTGTCGGGCAAGCGGCTGCTGCAGATGATTGTCTGCTGGTTAGCTCCGCGGGGTCGGCCTATGCCAGGGAAGGAGCAATGATGCGCCCATTTCCGGACCTCCTTTTGCGCCGTATGATCTTCGATATGCAGAGCTTCATAGCCGGCTGCCATAGTATTCGCATATTGTCGCCTTGTCACCGCTCTTGCCATGGGGGGCATGGCAATGGCGATATGCGGCGTCCTGGAGCTCGATTAGCGACCACTTTGCTATGATCAGCTGCAGCCAAGCCAGGAGACAAGCTCACAGTGTCACAAATATGCTGCTGCACTGTTAGCATGGCATTCCCCATCTTTGCACGGGAGACTTATGCTGGGTTGGTGTTGTTCCGATTGTGAGGCTACAGGAAAAGCGGCACACCACGGAGGGGTCGAGTGAAGCTCCCTGCAGATCCATCACGTATGATGCGGCCCTCTCGTTGGTCAATAGCCGTGCTTGTAAGTTCAACAAGGCATGTGCTTGAACAGCAATGGCATATCGGAGCAACTCTTGCAGCAACCCAGACACGAGGCCTGGCCGGTCAACGCGCCATCTTATCCAGAGGGATTTGGTCATTAGTCTCACAAGGCCAGAGAGGTAGTCAGCAAGGGCATCAACAAGGTCACCGGGAGCTGGTTTTGATATCGTTATTTCGTCTTCATTCGTCAAGCAGGCCAGAACTGTTCTGTGGGGAATCATGAAATCATATCGTGTCCCAGATCTACCTGGGAGTATGTCTCCACGCTATCCAGCTCGTCCGCTCCACGCCCGGCCTCCAGAGCAGCAAAAGTCCAAGTCCATAAGGGCAAATAGGGGTCCTGCTAAAGTCCATCCGCCGAAGCTATGCCCAACGATGATGTCCAGAGACGCCGCAGAAGAAAAGAGTCAACCCCAGCTAGTCCTGTGCAACCGTACGGTCATGGCCGTAGTCTCAAGCCTTGGCATACTGCTGAGTCCACTCCTGGGCAGTCGCGATGGCCTGTGCCTGATTTTCTTTCCAAGCCTGCGCGACATCGTTGGCGAGTGGGTCATCGGGGTTTGGGACGCCGAGGAGAGCCTGAATAGAGAGGAGAACGGTGCGGATCTGGAGCGCAGGCGACCAGTTGCCTAAAGCTGTTAGCCACGACACGTGCATGTCACGCCGAGGCCAGACTCACTCTTGAGGACATCGAGACAGATGCGGCCCAGTCTGTCGATGTTGGGGTGGTATATCTTGGTCAAGAAGCGGACCTTTGGCGGGGTCATTGGGTAGTCGTCGGGCAAGAACAGCTCGAGCTTGAAGACGCCGCCTGGATCATGTCAGCGTTGCTGCGAGCGCCCGTGTCGCATGCGCACATGCGCAGCACAAACATACCTTCATAGGGGGACTGCGACGGGCCGTCGATGGTCACATCAAAGTACCGCAGGTTGTCGTCATGAGGGGTCGCGGAGATGCCCTGCACAGGCTCCTTGACGAGCCGCTCGCTCTCCTTGATGATGCGCTTAGGCAGACCCGACATGTTCGCGCGATGCTACAAGCGAATAGTGGGAGAGGTCGTGGAGAACGCCGGGGTGTCTCTGGTAGATGCTGTGCCTGGAGATGCGCGCCTCTTTGCGGGGATCTTGAGGAATCTGGTTGTTGGCTTCGCGGGACAAGACGTAGTAGGCAAGGCGCGGGTGACGGATATAAGCCCACCACTTCAAGGGCATGTCCAAGGTTCGGCTAAGTGGTAGTTGCGTTCGGTGCCAAGATGGTGGGTTTGACAGGGCAGGTGCGACCGAATGGTAGCATGGCGCGGTCTGGCCTTAGCTCCCTCCTCGCGACGCGACAACACCATCATCACCCCAACGCCGACGAGATGGCCGCTGCGGCCGCGTCGCTGTCGGCCTTCGACTCGGACACCTTTTGCAACACGGTGAGCATTGCCGTCGATGATGAAATCGGCTCTGCCTCCATCTCGCCTTCGGGCAGAGACGTCGTGCTCGCAAGCCAGAGCGGCCTGCGCATCATAGACCTCGACAACCCCTACTCGCTGCCGCTCTACATCCCAAACCACTTTTCGTGGAAGGTAGCTGATGTGCAATGGTCTCCGTTCGCTGCGAGGGCAGAATGGATCGCCTCGACGCGCAACCAGCAGGCCTTGGTGTACAATCTGTCCATGCCCTTCAACAACAAAAAGGCACCCATTGAGTTCACGCTGCGAGCACATGACCGTGCCATCACCGACATCAACTTCTCCGCCCACCATCCTGACCTCCTCGCAACTTGTGGCATGGACAGTTACGTGTTTGTGCACGACCTGCGAAGCCAGCAAGTTCCCCTGAAGCTCGCCGACTGGGAAGCAGGCGCACATCAGGTCAAGTGGAATCGCCAAGATGAGAGGATAATTGCGAGTTCTCATGACAAGTATCTTCATATATGGGATGTGCGCCACGGAACCAAGCCCATGTCTACCATTGCAGCGCATTCCACCAAGATCTATGGCATTGATTGGAATCGCAATGACCCTAGGAAGATCTTGACCTGCTCACTCGACCAGACCATCAAGCTATGGAATAATGTTGGCGTGAACACTAACATCACTACCCCCCGTCGCACCATAGTCACTGATTATCCAGTCTGGAGAGCTCGACACACCCCGTTTCCCCACGGCATTCTGGCCATGCCCCAACGCGGCAGCTCAAGTCTTTTCCTCTACAAGCACATCAACGATAGCGCCAAGGAGACATTCAACGAGGATCCGGTACACCAGTTTCGGGGTCACGAGCCAGAGTCGCAGGTGAGAGAGTTTTTGTGGCGCTCCCGAGGCTCCACCAACCACGGAGTCGACAATCGCGACTTTCAGCTTGTATCGTGGGGCACAGACAACCATCTCCGTCTCCATCACATCACTCCAGAACTACTCGAATCGACAGTCGGCTATCGCAAAGGCGAGGCTTTGATTGAGAAGCCGAGCACGACTAGAGGCGGCGCTACATACGTCAGTTACCGCGACGGACCAATACAGACCACCACCGCAATGGCGCAAAACGACTTCGGTCCTCCTCGTGCACCGCAAAAGGGAAACTTGGCAACGCTCTTGCAAAACACCACCATCAGTGAACAGAGTTACATGTTCAACGGCAAAACCAGGAATGGCAAGCCAGGCCACGGCGGCAACATGTTACCTCGAGAGACAATGACTGCAACACCCATCCGCCGCACCGATCCGCGTGTCGTCGCTCACATCAAATGGATCGAGGGTGTTCAAGTCGGCGCCGGGCCTGACATTGAGGATGTTCGCCAGCGTTCCAGCCCTGACAACTCTCTACCCCGCAAGCCATATGATTTCCATGTCGAAATTTCTGACGTTGGCAAAAGGTACAAGAACCTCAACTTCGAGGACATCAACAAACAGAACCGCAGCATCACGGTCTCGTTCAACGGTCCGTGGGGCGAGGCAGACAACTTCGTTGATGACAACAAGCTTGTCTTCTTGCGCTTCACCATTAGGTTCCCCGACGACTACCCCAGAATCATTGAGAAAAATGACAGGGGCGAAGACGTCGCAAAGCCAGGCAAACCCCTGCAAATCGAGTTTGAGAAGACGACTGCATCCATTACCTTGGATGAGCAGTTCGACCTGACAGAGGACATGGAGCGCATTGCGCAGACTTGCGCCGCCCAGAAACGCGAAGCACTCGGAGCCATTCTGTCCTATGCCCTGGGAGAACGCGAGCTGAGGGACAGCCTACACCTAGAGGACGATGTACCTTTGCCGGAATATGATTCCCTTCCCGGAGAGGAGACTTCAAGCGACGAGGACGACATACCACACGAGGGCGAGTTCACTACTGACGTTATGCAATCCTCTCACACAAATGCTAATATTCCACTCCCCAATCAGTGTACTGCACGTTTCTCAAGTTTTGGTTCCCTCGTAGTTGCCAGGCTGCCCACGACCTCTACTGCACCTGCCTTGGGTGCCCTGTTCCGGATTGGTAGGACCCTTCGACATGGCCCAAGCAAGGACGACATATTCGACTCCTTCGGCCGTTTCAATGCACGTCCGGCACACGACTCTAACGCAGGCTCCTCCCCAGCATCTTCTGCAGGCTCTTGGGAATTATCGAGCTCTCCTTCGTCCAACTCGGATTCCGATCACGAGGTCAACGCGCACATTGGCAACTTCCAGCCCCCTTTGGCGTGGCAAAAAGCAGCATCACGTTTCCAGTCTCGTCATTCTTTACCTTCGTCGTCTGGCGCAGCGAAACAAGTGCAAAAACCCAGGTCAATCGTGTCCATAGTATCTTTGGCGATTGATGATTTGGTTCCGAGTAAAAGGAGCCTTGCGGAAGAGTACCGGATCTTTGGTTCAGGGCCTGAAATTTGCGAGCATAATTCTGGAGTTGCGAGGCGACACGGCTATTGCGATCTGGCGGATATCTGGATGCTTTGCAAACTGATTTTGAGTAATAAAGTACCACTGGAAATTCTACCCCAACAATACAGGCGGGAGCAAGTCCTTGTTCTTGCCCGGAGAGCTCTCGTGAGGATCAAGCGCAAGGATAGTGGCCTGGACCTTCAATTCGATGAGGCAGACACCGTGACCAATCCCAAATTGACCGGAAGGATCAAATGGGGGAACCATGCTGTCGTGACCTGGCTGATACCGGCTTTATTCGCACATTTTGAACGCCTTGCTGACACTCAGATGCTTGCCATGCTGTCCTGCATATTTGCAGAACCAGCAGCGCGCGAGGGAGCAACCTCGGCCATGGCCAAAATGAGACATTCTCATTTGCCCATGTCCATGGAGGCGCCTGCTTTTTCACTGGATTACTTCGCCTCTTCTGATGCTGCTTGGAGTCTTTTCAAGCCAACGATTTCTGTCCCATCAATGCCTGCTCACTCGCGGCACGCAACACCAGTAACTGACCTGGGATGGTCAAAATCTCCCAAGAACGTTGGTGTCTATGGCAGCCATGGCAGCTCCAACGGTCCATGGGGAAGCGATACCATTCCTAGTGAGCCCGTCACGCCGTATTCGACTGGACATACCCCTCCTCTAATCTCCAGGGCATCTACCATTAGAAGTGCTCATACAACGACTCATACACCCTACTCAACCTCCCCAGAACAGACACATGGCACTCTGAAAAAGAGTTCTACAGCCAACTTTGCCAGTGCCGTAGCCGCTCTTTCACGACCATTCGCAAGCGCAATGTCTTCTTCGCCACCAGTCAAATCACGAACCGAGGACCTTTCGACATCTGCGCCGACGAGCGGAGTCACCTGGGGCACGACGACCTTTTACGGTAGCGATAATTTTGATCGCCGAAGCCTAGCTCCTTCCCGTGGCAATCACAGCAAGAGAACGAGCTTTGGCCAATCAGACTTGATCAATATGGACGACATGTATGATTCAGATTCCGAATACGAGGGGGTCGACGAGGAGGGTAGATTTGGAAATGAAGGCGCATCTGAATACACTCGTCCAATAAGGCCAGGCGAAGGCGGCAACGACAACAATTCGGGAGGTATTAGGGTCAAGCTCAAGAATCAAGACCAATTCGACGACGAAGCATGCGTCAGTAGACCTCTGCTAGACATGAGCAAAGATTGGCTGCATCGCGCCTGGAGAGAGCAGTATGCGGAATTATTGGGTTGCTGGGGTCTCGTCAGTGCGCGAGCAGAGGTGCTGAAGTTCAACGGCCTTGTCTCGTATTTTCCGCCGGAAGCACCCAGGAACGTCGCAAAGACCGAAACATCGTACCTTTCAATCAAAAGGGCAAGCAATGTAGAGGCCAACACCCCGGCATCTGCTCGCCTCTCGAGAGCCTCAACAGCGCTAGCCCCTCCGTCTATAAATGGGGCGCAAGCCAAACGGACCCCTGCTGCGTCTCTGAGGAACTTTTCATTCAACCCAGAAGCAACAGAGTTTCAGCCAGGAACGGTGTCCTTCACCGCAGCTGAAACCCTTGCACCGCCCCCAGATGTCTTCATAACCAGCGAGCAGTATTTGCAGCTTTCCATCCCAACTCCGACTCCTAGCAAAGAGCTAGACGAGAGTCTCGGAGGTCTCGGTGCTTCTCCGGGACAAGACAGGCTGCTGCATCCACGCGGCAGTCGGCAAGCTAGACCGGACCTCTCTCGACGAACATCGAATGTTTCGGGATCGTCTTGGGGTGTCGGCCGTTCACCCTCAGCCGTAGCCACCACATCTGCCGCAAAGCCAACCGAGCCCGAGCCCATCTACAGCTGCAGCATCTGCTGGATCCGTGTCTGTGGCCGCGTCTACCTTTGCCCCGCCTGTCTGCACGTAGCACACTTTGACTGCATGGATGACGAGCTTGGCATGGACGATGGCGAATGCGTGGTCGGATGTGGTTGCGGATGTGGCTTTGAAGACGACGACGAACGCACAAGAATGGAGGCATACATTGATGGGGTCCGTGCAGCCAACGCTGCCGGTGTCGCTTGGGACGAGAGTGGCGGATGGCTCCAGCTGGCATCCACCGATGACGCACATGGAGATTCCCTCCACGAGTCTACGGACAAGTCTGGAGCTGTCCATGATGATAAAAGAGAGCGGGAGAGGGAAAGAGTCACTGGCCGCACAAGCAAGACGACTAGTCCAACGCCGACGACGAGCACGATGAGAAAGCGCAAAAAGGAAAAGAAGAAGCCGAGGGCTTCTGGATTGAGTTATTACTGACTGTACATTGTACGAGAAGGCGATTCTGCTGTACGATACTATTTTGTTGTACATTACGGATATTTATGTATTGCACGGCTTGGTGCAGGCCCGACATATCTGGGCATTTTGCTTTCTTGACATCCTTTACGACATTATAGCACCTACCGCCTTTACGCATCTGTACACTATTTCAACCAACAGCCGCGGCAGCTAGCCTGTTGTACATTATTAGCGTTTTGAGCAGCATCTAGACTAATTCACGGCGTCGAGACAGACTAGGCTCTCGATTCGAGTGTGTCTTAAGCATCTGTCATGCCGCCCCGCTGTGGCTGGGCGATCCAGTTAGACAAAGGTTCACAAGCCGCAGTCTGGCCTAGGAACGTCCGACAAGAGGACGCGATGAGACACTGATTGCCCAGATTCGAGTCGAGATGCCCAATATGCCCATGGATGCAGCCAGACAGTGTCTATCAGCGACGCAGCCTTGCGCGGTGGAGATTGCGAATGAATTGCTCAATTCGTCGTAACGAGAGACAATGACAAGCACACGCGGCAGGATCTCGATGCGCGTGTAATAATGCTTACACTGATCGTTGATGCTTGACGGCCGGGGGATGGGGCGCGGAAGCCAATATGGCTCCCGCAAGGCTGATCGTTTGACCATTGAAGGGTGACAGGCTAGCAAGGGGGCAAGACGGCTGTGACATGCATGCGCCCTGAACTACAGAACGGCGACGGCTTCTTCCAGCGCACAGTGTGCCACAGTCCACGGACCCCTGGACTCGAGGCAGGTCGCAATGCACGAGCGAGCGTACAGAGCCTCTTCCAAGGGCGCACTCGATATTGGGCAGGTACCGATGGCGACCCACGGCGGCGGGCGGGTGGTGATTCGTGATGGTGCAGCAGGGCAATGCAGCACACGCCGTCATCCATGAATCCATGGCGCCGAGGAAAGATGCCCGAGCGTCGGCTGATTACCTGCGCTAAGTCAAGCCTCCAAACCCCAGCTTCGACTCCACTTTAGATAGCGACCATCTCTCCGCTTCCGTCACCGACCTGCGATCTTGCTCCGAGTCGGCCTGTCACTAACGTGCAGCTCTTCACTGGCCACGGAGACTACTCCATGCTGCCGCTCCCACGTAGCGTGCAGCTTCATCGTGGCATATGGCGGAGACTGTCACCATCGCATCGCCCTCCTTCGCCTTGAATGCGTCGGAGCCCGTTCCGAAGATCTCCACGACGATCAAGAGGCCCGCTCGCCCTCCGCTGTCTGCGGCCAAAAATGTCCCCAAGACGGTTGTCGCAGCAGGCGTGACCAAGCGGAAGCAGTCCAAGAGCCGCAACGGTATGCCAGTCAATTCCACGTCCAGTGACCTGCCTCGGGTGGAAGCAGGCTCTGGGTTACAGTATATAAACCACTGATTGCTGATACTCGCTTATAGGATGCATCACATGCAAGAATAAGCGTCTCAAGTGCGATGAGACGAAGCCGACTTGCCAACAGTGTGCACGGCGGGCAGTCACCTGTGGAGGCTACAAGAAGGACTTCAAATGGCGGCCCTTTGAGGAGCCAAGTACTTCGAGCAAGCTGCCTACAAAGGCACGAAGAGGTCAGTCATTGTTCCTAACTACCAGCACGCCATGTACTGACCCCCTTTCAGATTCTGACACTGCATCACTGAATGCTGCACCCTCGACCAGCCAGAGCACAGCAGGCTTCTACGAGGCACACTATGCGTTCGCCGGCCCACCACAGAATCACCACGTCTACTATGCCCCACCGCCAGCCCACTACGCCTCGCTGCACAACGCCCCGCTGCAGAGCTCATTCCAGCAGTGTTCATACCCGCTGGCAGACAGCTACTCGGCGCCACTGTCGTCCCCGTACCTGATTACGCCTCAGGCAACATCGCCCGCCAACTCATTTGCACCGGGCTCTGGCTCCCTCGCGGGCTCCCACAGCACACATGGCTCAGAGAGCATCGGGTCGAGGAAGAGAAAGGCTACCGGGCCTTCCAGCGTGTCTTCGGGGCAATCACCGCGCCTTGTAGATCTCCTGCTGCCCGGCACTGATCTCAGTGCGCCGCCTGAAGAGTACAGCACCTTCGTCTCCCAGCACGAAGCCGTCTACCAGCCGACAGGACACACCCCACCCGCAGACTCACTGCATGACGATATCGAGGAAGTGCCACGCAACCCAAACTCTGATCAGGAAGCCTGGGTCATGCGACACCCCTCTCCCGCGTCCTCTGCCTCGTCGAGCTCTTCGTCAGATTCGCCTGCCATGCCAATGCTTGTGCAACCTCAGTTCTCCCTTGCTTCGCCAGAACACCTCACGCGACGGTACGATCGAGACACGTGTGGCGTACTGTCGGTCAAGGACGGTCCAACCGAGAATCCCTGGCGCACCCTTGTCTGGCCACTCGCCCGCGACTGTCCTGCATTGTATCATGCAATCGCGTCCATGACGTCGTTCCATCAGAGCAAAGATATGCCCGCTATGCGAATCCAAGGGATCGATCACATGCGCAATGCAGTTCATGCACTAGCCGCTGGTCTGCAAAACATGCGCTTCGATGCAGCCATCTCGACCACACTTGTACTCGCCTTCTCAGAGTCATGGGATCAGCACATCAGCACTGGTATCAACCACATCAAGGGCGCCAAGATTCTGATCAACCAAGCCCTTGTGCAACATCGGCAAACACCGAAACAAGGCGAAGAATGGGTTCGCCTCAAATTTCTCTGCAACACCTGGATATACATGGATGTCATCGCTCGCCTGACTTCTGCTGATGACGACGAGAACAACGACGTGGATTTTGTTCATGACAGCATCTACGCAAATGGCGAGGTGGACACAAAGTTAGACCCCCTAATGGGCTGTGCACATACGCTATTTCCTATCATTGGTCGCGTGGCGAATCTTGTCAGAAAAGTGCGGCGGACTGACAGCAACGGACCGACCATCATATCACAGGCCCTCCATCTCAAATCACAACTCGAGGAATGGACGCCACCATCCTTTATTGAAGATCCCGAGGACGAGACGACCAGCCCACACGATTCGATCAAGACAGCCGTCGCCTACCAATATGCCACACTGTTATACCTCCATCAAGCCGTACCTGAAATCCCATCGCTTTCTTCACAAGTCCTTGCCAAAAGGGTGCTTTGCGAGCTGGCTACTGTAGAGCCACGTTCTCGCTCTATCATTGTACAAATATTCCCACTCATGGCAGCTGGTTGTGAAGCCATGGATCAAGAAACTCGCGAATGGGTCAAAGAACGTTGGGGCATCATGTCGTCACGCATGAAGCTCGGCATACTAGAAAAGACACTCGACGTCACAAAGGAAGTCTGGATCCGCCGCGATGCTTACGCTGCAGACCGCCAGATGCTAGACGAAATGCGGAGTGATAGCTTCTCGCCAAACACGCCGCTCAAACGCGACTTTGACAACTTTTTCGAGGACTTCCAAACCGACGGCGACTATTGCTGGACCGACGGCAGCTCGAAACGCAGAGCAATCGACTCGATGTCGTCGTACACTGGTCCCGTATCTAGCCCGCTCATCGCAGAGCCATCCAAGAGGAGGCAAATGTCGAGCAGCAACGCTGAATACCTCGAGCACGATTTGACGGTCAAAGGCCGCTTGCATTGGCTGGGCGTGATGAAGGACTGGAATTGGGAAAGTATGATCGACCCGTGTCCGCAAATCGAAACTTCCGCTAACCTCAGCAGTTCTTCTCGGATAATGCCTGTTCTCACCTGTCCTACATGTCTCTTCTCTTCACGGCCGTGTCACGCCTCGCGCCGTGCCATGCGCGATTTCACGATTTTTCTCTTTGGCGGTGTTTCTTTCCAGCTCACACCAGCATTTACACAACCATGACGACCCAGACCGCTACACAGCCATCTTAACGCCACAATCACATCACTGTACGCTTTCCTTCTTTCGATCCACACACATCCTTCTTGTCTATTCTTGGCGCAAAACATGGATTATCTGGTCAGACATTGATCTGGGGAGCTGGGTTATGTTCCCCGGCCCTAGGGATATCTGAAATGTACACAAGGTTATTGTGTCTATAACGCAATCATGCATGCATGCGGGTATGAACCGCTCTTAATGGCTCATTTTCTTTCTTTGGAATGGTTGAAGTAGTTACGCTCGGCAAGCCGAATAGACAATCTACCCGGTCCGTTACCAAAATTGGTTCTTGTGCTCGGTCGCATTCCCTTTTACAAGATTTTTCCCTCGTCCAATATGTGTCGTTCCGGAATACCATCCGTCTTGCGTTACTTGGGCGTCGATTCAACAACGTGCCCGCACGACATACACGGCGTCTGAGTGGCGTAGACACACGACAGTAGGACTTGTTACTGTGGCTGGCTTTGGACGGGTGTCAGAATGCAAGCCACTGGTTGCAGACAGGCAGCCACTTGGACGACGAACAAGTCGCAGGCCAACGTGATTGCATGCACCTAACTACGCTTCATAAGATAGAAGACCTATAGTAGCTTCTAGATGGAGTTGAAGTCAACGACCACGAATTCAGCCACGGTTACAATCCCGCTACCGCAAGCCGAATTCCCATGACGCCGGTCGATCACTCACTAGCGAACGGACAACTTCGCAAATACACCCCAAACTAACATCCCGTTTAGATCCTGCTCACTTCCACAACACCAGGCACCAACTAGCAAGCATGAAACTTCGCAATACGGTCTCCTTCCAACATCTGCTGCAGATACCAAGCACTCGGATATCCCGCTTGCAACACGGGTATCTGCATGGAATATCGTCTCGTGACCACGCACAATGCAGTAAGCCTCGAGTCTTGCCGCACCTCCCGCAGCCTAGAGAATTGCGCGTGCATGGTGCGATGGTCCGGTGAGGGATGGGAGGGTCGGGGTGGTAGCTACGCGCGGTGATTCGACGCAGGTGGTATGCTTACCATCATGACGACAAGCGATGGGTGGATCGATGTGCATGTATGGATGCGTGCAGGTATGCGATATGTCGTTCGATTCGGCAGAGTGGGCATGCATGGACCCGATCCCGCAACACCTTCTCGAACAGCTACATCCGCGCCGATACCACTCATGCTGTGACCAACCACCGTCCCCCAAAAGCCCGGTCAGACCCACTCTGCTACCCAAATCTCAACGCTTCTTTTCAACTCAACGTACATGATCGGCACGTGAGTAAGAATCATCCTTCCTTGGCAGGTTCATCGCGTTACTAACCCCCCCTCTCAACAGCGACACCGACACATTGGTGGCGTTTTCTCCCAGGGCCGTTACCGTTACCGTTACCGTTACCGTTACCGTTACCGGCACCTGCTGCGGTGCGAGGTTGGGATGGATGGCGCGCGGATGTAACGGTGACAGGCGGGGTGCTGCTGTGTAAGGGTGGATTGAGGTCACGAGGGCGAGGGGGATATGACGATGAGATTAAGGGAATGAGAATTGGGTGAGAAAGGGATGATAATGTACAACTTGGTATGGAAATGTAAATGGGCCGCAAATTTGTGACAGATGCTGTGGTATATGCCGCAATAGCGTAGATGGAAAGGAAAATGTCCGACTTGAAGAAATTGGTAGATCATGGTGCCACACGCACTAATCCTCGTCGTCGACGTCGCTCTCTGCACCAACTTCATCATCACTGCCCAAATCACTCAACTCGCTGCTCTCCTCCGTTGCACTCATCGCCGCCTCACTCTCGTCGTCACTAACCACCGCCTTCTTCTTTCCCTTACCATTTCCATTCGACTTGGCCTTGGCCTTAACAGGAGTTCCCTCCCCATCCCCCTTCCTCCCCCCACTCCTCTTAACAAGATGCTCAATCGGACAACCCTCGTCCCAGCCCGCACTGCCCTCACTCGTAATCGCTCTGCAGCGCGGACAGCTCTTTCCATGGCGAATCAGCAGCTGGTGCAGCGGGTACTTGAGATCGTCGGGCACGCGAACTTCGCAATGCGCATAAGTCGAGTTGCGATTGGCTCCGGGGAAGACGGCACCGGGTTTGGCGTTAGGTGGCAGACCGGCTGGATCGCCGGGCGATGGCACCCAGCCGAGCCATTTGCACAGGCGGAAGACGTGGGTGTCGACAGCGAAGGTAGGGGCGCTGGAGACAGAAGAGGAGCACGCAGGAGGCGGTTTTGGGGCCGATGCCCGGGTAGCGGGTAAGGTGAGAGAAGGCGTCCTTCGGTGGAGAGGAGGTGTAGGTGGGTCGAGAGTGACGACGTCATTGTCTGCTTTTTCCTTTTCTTGTTGCTGCTCTTCTTTGGGATTCGTTTTCTTCGCCCGGCTGCGGCTCTGGTGTCGGATGCTAGAGCTTCGCGACGCGCTTGATTTTCTTCCCAGACCATTTGCAGAATCTTCTTGATGTCCTTGCTCTTGACGTCGGCAAGGCCGCCGGACTTGATCGCTTCGAAGACGTCCTTGGTGTCGGCGAGACGTACGGCGTTCCAGTCTACGCTGCCTTTGCCAATGCCTGACTTCAGCACGCCGAAGCGCGCGACAAGGCCGGCAAAGGCGCGGGAGGAGTTGGTGCCGGAGGTTGCTGCTGACAAGCGCGTGCGGATCAGTGCGTCCAGAACAGATGGGACTTCACCGCACCCAGACACCTCGAGAGATGGCATGGGAATGACCTTGGGAGCCTCGACCTTGCCATGGACCTTTTCAAGAAGGCGTGTCACTTCTTGGCATTCTTCTGCGGTGGGACGCGGGTAGTTTGGATACGGCGTTTTGCCAGGAGTGAGACCGTAGTCGTTGTTCTTGGCTTTGGCCTTCTTCTTGGGTGAGGCATCTGTGGTGGTGGTGGCTTTTGCGACAAGGTCATCAACGTCCTCTTTCTTGACTTTGGCGCTCTTCCTGGGCGTTGCGCGTTTCTTCGCCGGCGGAACATCTTCTGTTGATGCTGCCTTGGATGGAGCATCTGGAATAGTAGGGATAGCACCTAGCCCGTGAGGCAAGTCGTTGATGTCTTCCCGCTTCACAGCACCCTTCTTGGCCCTCTTGGTGCTCTTGGGCGTAGCAGACGCCTTTTCCGGAGCTTCGGCATCACGGTTATCATCTTGCTTGGCTGCCTTCCTCTTTCGCGCATTGCGAGGGACGGGCGTTGAGGGAGGACTTGACAATTGAACCGGCTCTTCCTTGACAGTTGCTGGCGGCGCAGGTTGTGCCTTTGCTACCGAGCTCCTGGTAGCTCTCACCATGCTGAATGATCTCGGGCAGAATTGATGAGTTTTGTATGCGCTTGAGCAAATTCGAAGGAGGCGCAATGTGAGAGACAGCTTGGATTGTAATAGGAGAAAGTCGGAACGTGATAGTAGCCGGGAGCTGTAGGTTATAGTGCGGAGCCAGAGCCACGGATTATCCTCGGGAGCAATTGGTTGTCATTCACAGTGAAAGGTAGAGTGAGAACCGAAATGGAAGCACTCGCAGACAGCAGGGGCGATTGGGACGCATATGGATGACGTCGTCGATGTGATTGGCGCTTGGACTGTGGCTTATGCAGGAACAGGGCTAGCGCGACGATGCGCTGGGGCCTCGGTCCCGCATGTCGGATATCCGTCAAGTCTCCGCCAAGGTTGCCCCACGTTCTCACCATCCCACGACTACACCCTCTTCCGTCTTCACCTATTGGACGGCTCTCACATCACCATGGCCAAGCCTTTGATTGTTCCTGCTCTGAAGCGACACACGGCTACCGTCATCGTGGCCCATGGCCTTGGTGATAGCGGCGCTGGCTGGTACGCGTCTTGTCTCTTGTTTGTACGCGTAGATGCTGACAGACCGCAGGATATTCCTCGCGGAGAACTGGCGACGACGCAGCAAGTTTGAGGAAGTCCAGTTCATCTTCCCAAGTGCTCCAAGCATTCCAATCACCCTGGTGTGTAACCTTTTGCGATACTTGACCTGACACACAATCGCTAACACCTCGTCCAGAACATGGGCATGCGCATGCCAGGATGGTATGACATCAAGTCCCTGAGCACCCTTGACGACCGCGAGGAAGACGAGGCAGGCATCATCAAGTCACGCGACTACTTCCACTCCCTCATCGACCAGGAGATCGAAAAGGGCATACCCGCGAACCGCATCGTCATTGGAGGCTTCTCGCAAGGAGGTGCCATGTCGCTGCTGTCTGGCGTCACATACAAGAACCAGCTGGGTGGCATCTTCGGTCTGAGCTGCTACTTGCTGCTCCAGAAGAAGATCAAGGACATGATCCCCACCGACAACCCGAACCAGAACACGCCCATCTTCATGGGCCACGGCGATGCGGATCAAGTGGTGGCACACAAGTGGGGAAAGAAGAGCGCCGACGTGCTCACAGAGCACGGCTACAAGGTCGACTTTAGGACCTACAAGTATGTTGTGCCTAGATTTGGTATACAACACCACTAACATGCGCAGGGGTCTCGTACACTCCGCCGACGACAGCGAGATCGATCATCTCGAGGCCTACCTCAACCAGCAGATTCCTCCGCTTGGAGACGTCAAGACTGAGCCAACACTTTGACTTTCTCGCGATCTTACTGCCCTCACGACGAACGAAATTACGACAGCATTGGTGGTACTTGTTAGCTTGGCTGTCGCATTGTATGCCTGGTTGAAGCGACGAAGTGTTGGTGCAGACAAAGGCGAGACACCATCTACTTGAGCTAGCATTGCGGTAGCTGTTCTCGTTTGTCTACATACCCAAGCATATAAGATTCAGCCAAATATACCATGTCTACAAGATTGGACTTGAAAGGATGAAAAGAACTACCCTTCCTGTGTCTTGACTCTCTGACATACCGCTCTTCTGGAGGTTTCTTGAAGCATACAAAAGGCGACTAGAAATTCCCTTGTATCTACCGACAAGCTCCAGTCGCAATACAATCGCGATTCTCATAATGTTAAACCCATCATTTGTGCTATCGAAATATCAACGTGCACGCCTCAAATCCAGTTTCCACAATCTCCACCTTCACACAAGCTAACTGTTCAATATATCATGAGACATGAGAGAGTTGGCAAGAAGATTCAGTTAGTAATTAAGTCAAGGCGAAAAGTGTGCCTACTGAACAACATACCCTGAACCACCTACCTAATTCCCCCATCCCAATAAAACCCAAATAAACCACAACTCCCTCAACAAATCCAGCACACCTTAAATACGTGCTGGCGGCAACCCCAGTCCTCAACAACTTGGCGCAGTGGTCGTGATAACCTAAGATTTGGGTTCAACTTGCAAGATAAACTGTGTAAGGTTTGCGAGTATCCTTTTTTGCTCTGGGGTTCGAGTCGCTGTTGGGGCTTTGGGGTGTATTTTTGCGCGGATGAGGTGAAAGTGAAGGTGAAGTGAGTGCGTAGTGAGAGAGAGATTGAGAGACTTTATTGCGAACCCCAAGCTAATTCTGAACCTGCACTCCGTGCCGTATGCGTTGAATATGGCACTTCAAAATCCCCCTCGACGTATTTCTAGCAATGAATTGTACTGGTCTTGCAAGTGCTGTCTTGTTTGTTCCTGATTGCGTCGCCACTGTGTAGTGTTATTCACTTGTTCCCTGGCGAAAAGAATGCGTCCGCCTACATAATATTCGTCAGATGAGTTCGCTTCTTAGTGAAAATAGTGGCTACTGACGTTCTATGTAGCGTCGAAAGCAAGGCCGCAAAGGCTTCCAAGCAAGTCCGATGACGAAACAGGCTAGTGCGATGCAGACTCCGATGAGGGCGATGATTGCCTCTTTAGACCAAGGATTAGCGGGAATGCGAGCTGAAGTTTGAGGTAAATTGCGGGACAAAAGTGGCAAGGCTGAGACGCGTGCATGTGGGTGGGGTAAAATTTGGATGAGCCAATAGGAAGGACTGCGTGTGGGCGGCATCATGTGACCTGGTCGGGATTGATATGCTGATGAAATACTACTGGCATGGAGCAGATAGTTGCCCATTTTGTTCGCTTGTATAGTCCAAAATCATTGAAAGCGGCTGACCGGTCAAACCGGTGAAGCCTGCGGCTATGGATAGCAGCCTATCATCTACGCTGTGACGTTGAGGCGGAAGCAGGATAATATCGATAGGTCTATCCGAGAACCCGCAGAGATCCACTAATATCGCTTCTTGTTCAACTCGCCAGCCCAAAAGATGACTAGCCGATTAAATCATGCTGCAGAATTCCTTTTTAGATGATGTATGAAGTGCTAGTACACTCTTCTAGAGTTCGGGTGTTATTTGATTTTGATCTGTCATATCAAAGAAGGAAACATGTATTACAGTGATGTTGGGATGAGGCTCACCTGGAAACTGTGCATCCTCAAAAGGAGAGAGGCCACGTAACATAACAGCGTTTTATCTCGTAGGCTCAGCCCATTTCCTATGTAAATACAAAGACAGTCGAGTTCGCTTTCACGTCTAAAACATCGATCGATGCTCTGTTGACACTCATTTCTAACGACGTTGGGTGTCTTCCCCGGTCACTATCTGCCGTCTCGCCTTCTCCAAGTATCGAACTCACAGGTTCGAGATTCTCTAAACTTTTTTCAGATTGCGCTGCATGGATCAGTCGGTCATGTATTGCGTAGACCAGCAGTGATACTGACAGCTCGTAACAATCACTGGTCGAAATTGCGCCCATGCGCTCGACCAGGCGAGCTTCACAAAACAGCAAAATAATGCCACGAAGATAGAGCAAAGGCCAATGATGGCTTCTTTTGACCAGCCGGGAGGTGATTGTAATTGGATAACTTGTAGGGGTGTGTCGATAGTTGCACTTGGAATGACTCGAGAAGTGACTAGATGGTCGAAAAATACTATGGGAAGGAAGCGAAGCGAATAGTTTATGTTGGGGGGGGGGCGTTAATGGACAGTGGAATATTTGATTGGTAATGTTCACGTGATGAGCTAGTCCTGTTATACAGACAAAAGATCTAGCAAAATAGGTTGCATCCGATCTGGCGATAAAATGTATCACTGCCCCTCTGCTGACCGGTGAAGGGACTGCTGACCGGTGCAGTGGCTGGCAAGGCTGAACGACTTGTTGCTGTGATTGGTTCTCGACCCTCACCCTGCAAAAATGTGGTTGCAGGTAGCTAAGCATGTTTTCCCCTACACCTGACTGGACGGGCTGAACATCTCATACGGAGAACTCATTTGAATACTACAGTTGAAGAGAGGTACACATCTAAGAACTTGTACGTATGCTCTCTAATTGCCGCTGCCTAGCACAAATTCGACTTACCGGAAAGACCTTGCGTCGTCGACATGGCTCCCTTGTATGAGTGACGAGTCAGAGTAGCTGCGTTGTTTATTCCATCAGATGGCTGTGAAACAAGTATGCTAGAATATCAGCCATGATGAAATAGTGTGAACAGAGGTATCTCGTGGCTCGAAGATTGAGCTTCAATGGCGACGGCAAGGCCGCGTGCATAGCTCCAGGTATGAGATTGAACGCCTGCTGCTAAGTCACAATCTCTTTCCATCAACCTCGCCTGAAAAAGAGTTACCAAATTGCCGAAGTGCTGTGGCATGTTGGTAGTAGTAGTCACGATTAACTGTTGATGAAAAAAGGAACAAAGAGTTCACCTCGACTCGGAAAGTTCAATCGCAACCCATCGTTAGATGCTGCGCAAATGGATCGAGGTAAGATACATCGTTTCAAGGGTTGTTCCCTTATCCGGTAACCCTTCTTTACCTTTTTCTCTTTACCTTGCGCTCATGTTTATCTATCTAATACAGCTTATGGACCACGTCAATCACCCTTATTGACATGCAGTCCATGAGCATCAGCGTTGCTTCCTGTAACTTCATTTTGATCGACTTGTAAAAGAAAAGTGCTGTGATATGGCGAGAAAATTATTTGCAACTATGGGTATTTCTCATGATGTAATAACAACGACATTCCAGTGTGCCTAGGTAGGACCCCTCATCTACGCCTTCGACCAGACGCAAGTCCAGACATTTCCTGTATGCGCTCATTTCTAGCGCCCTCATAATTTTTTGTACCTCAAATTTGCGATGTTCAAGACAAGGTCGCACGTCACACTGACGCGCGTGGTGAAACGAGCAGCGGGTGACGTCAATCATATGCGCGCAATGCGATATTTCACAACATCAAAGCCTCAGTCCGTGTTCTGCATCTCACAACCAAAATTTCAAATACAAGCTCGCGCAAGAACACATCAAACCGCCAATCAAGTCCAGAAAATATATGCTACCATGTCTAATAACCAAGATCTGAAGATGGACCAGGTGTTCAACGTCAAGGACAAGGTTGCTCTTGTGACTGGTGGAGGATCAGGCATCGGCGTGGGTTGCCAGTACCTGAACGGCCAGACGGTGACGGTGGACGGCGGATACGCGATACAAGTTGGAAACTAAAGTGCTTGCTCAGCATTGTCCCTTTCTTTTTTCCTGTGGGCAAGCAAAATGTCGAAAATGTACGATACGAGAAAGATGCAAGGAGACGCATGATGCATGACAAGAAATGTCGCTCGAGTCTCCAAACAAACACGAATAGACTTTAGCGCAGCTCAAAATAGGAATGAAATCATCTCACACGAGGCTCCACTTGCCCAATTCTTCGCTGTCAAAGTGTCAAACTAAACTCACGGCTTCGCGCGCGCTGTCAAATGTGTCAGGGGCGCCATACTGATTGGGCGCATTAATTTCCGACTTGGCGCATGCTTAATCTCGGCCCTACCATCGGATACCTCTTCTGGAACCTTATTGAGCAAACACATATGGAATTTTGAATTGGCCATGATAACGTTTGTAGTTTCCTTGTGCTGTTTGCGACCCCGCGAAGCCAGGCCAGTTTCGAGTACCTGGCTATCTGCATTCGCAACACGAACAGATCGTCAAAGTGTCTCCACAAAATACGAAGCTCTAGAAAAGGTGCACTCGTTAAGAGAGCCGAAGTCCCGCATTCATGCACCAGTGAGAAAAAGCCCATGCCGGATGCAGCCGCGCGACTCAAGGAAGTGGAGCAGCGCACCCATGTCCGTAGCGCGCGGGCTAACGTTCAGCCTCAACGAAGACCCATGTGGGTTTTTCGTCGTCCGTGTTTGTATTATTGGTTCGCATGGTGATGAGCTTCGGTAAAAGGAGGAATACGAACGGGAAGCGCTGAATATAAGAGTTTGAGATCTACATTCTTGGGAAAATCATCACTGAAGCTTTTTCCTTCTTTGGCCTTGCTTACTACACTCCATTCGCTACCGGATTTATTCACTCGCTTTACAATCAACATAATCATAATGCGTTTCTCAATCTTCGCGACTCTTGCGCTGGTGTCTGGTGTGTTTGCAGGAAACTGCGGCCCGGACAATGGCAATGCAAAGTGCGGTTCGAACGAATGCTGTACGTAGCAACCTTTTCTCATACCAAAAGTACGCGATACTAATTTCCGCCCCAGGTAGCCAATACGGCTGGTGTGGAACCACCGTCGACCACTGCGACGCATCAACTTGCCTAAAGTCTTTCTCCGGCTCACGCTCATCCTGCGGAGGCGCGACCCCGACTACTTTTAAGACCGCAACCAAGCAGGGCACATCGCCCGCCCAGACCTTCCCCACCGCCGTCCCTGAGATTGACGTCTGCGGCCACGCCCAGGGTGGTGTTACCTGCCCTGGTGCCGGTGCCAACGGATACTTTTACCGCTGCTGCTCGTCTGCCGGCCACTGTGGTACGTCACATGATCAATCCTTCTTTCAAAGATACTGACATCAATACAGGACCCAAGAACGACATCCAAGACCAGAACTTGTACTGCGGCGACGGATGCCAGGCCGGCTTCGGAAAATGCGATAAGCAGAACAAGCCCGCTGAGCCAGCTGCGCAACGCGGAGTGTCCGGCGAGGGCGAGACGTGCGGTCCCATTGTGAACAAGGAGTGCGGAAATGGACTGTGCTGTTCTGGAAGCAACTTCTGCGGTAGCGGAGAGGACTTTTGCGGCAAGGCAAACTGGTGTCAGAGCAAGTGGGGGCGATGCAACTAAGTGCTTGCACGAAGTAATAGGAATAGAGTGCGATGGAAGGCTGTCGACGCTGGGGAGGATGTGCAGGAGAGATGATGAAACGACTCAGACGTGAATGAGAATAATGTAGTCATTACCACACAGCGGCCTTTTTGATTTCATGGAAACTCGGAATGAGTTATGTGATTGGGTTCAAGCATGGAGGCGCCGCCGCGGAAGTGCATGTGGACTAGGGCATGAACCCTGTGCTGTAAAAATGAAAAGGACAAGATGTACGCACGGAAGCTCAAGAACCAAGTACCATGAACTTTGCTAGCTTGGAATGGATATTCAGTCTTCGTTCGAAATTTCCACGGCCATTGGGTGCCGCACGCTCGAAACAGCCTTTTGGAAGACAGCAGCAAGAACTAGCATTCGTCAGTTCATCCACCAACGCACCTCCGCGTCAACTGAATGAGCACAAACTTGGATATCTGAAGCCTTGCTAATCCAGGGTTTAGTTGCTGCTTAACAAGCCGCTGGGTTCAATACCTCAAAGGGTGCCAAACTACATACGCAGCGATACTGTTTCTGGCATTGCGTAGCCTGGAAACAACCTCAATCTGTACGTGAAGGTCGTCCTTTAGCGCGTCGATTGTAAATCGTTCTTTTGGGGATCCTGTAGATCGCGCAGCGCGTCACAAAAGAACGTCTCACCAGTGTTGATAACTTGAAGCGCAGTTGGTTCTGAGTGCCATCGTTATGGGATAGCGGAGTCTGGTCCGGGAGGGGTACTGTGGGTCAGCGTGCCTGCTTCTAGTTAGCACCGGTGGTAATACGGCAACACATAACGGTCGTACATGTACGCAGCAAACAGCCTTGGAGTCGCAGAACAAGCTCTCAACCGTAAAACCTCATTTTGGACAGCACTCATTAGTAAACTCGTACCATCTAACCTCGATCACTTGGATTACTGGTGTGAAACCCCAGGCCAGATGAACCTGGATACCAATTCACCTCTGTGTCCGGATTGGGTCTTTCTATCCAATGCCAACGTACAGTAAGTCTGTCATTACAAACTCGAAGTATTAACCACTAAGACTGGACCACCAGCGTCGCAAAAGACCGTGGCTGGTTCAAAACCTTCACGCCCTTCGCCTCATACCTAGATGCCTCACCCATCATCAGCCCACCTAAGCACCTTTCCGTGCTCGGAATAGGCACAGTCGAAATCCCCACAAAGCGCTCACCCAACACCTCAGTTGCATCTTCACACAGTTCTCTCCTTCTCCACGATGTCTTATACGTACCCGAATGCCTATGCAACTTCATCGGGCATCCGCTTATGTCCGAAGGTGGATACGACGTGGAAACCCGCTTCAGCGCCAAATCCCGTGGCACCATCAAAGATGAGGAAGGCAAGAACGTCGCCTACTTCGACCCTAAGAGCCCACTGCTCGCCATCAAAGTGCGAAGTCTACCAAACGGGCCACCACTTGGTCCGCACACGCTCAAGAAGGACGAGCTATACGTGCTCGGCTGCGAATGGGACGCCGTTGAGCAGCGCAAGTGGTTCGAGTTCAAAGTCGAGAATGGTCTGCTTATGCCGAGGCGAGTTGTCGCGCCGTACACGGCTGAGGAAAACGCGTTTCTCAAGAAACACTACCAGTCTGAGTTCCACTTTCTCATGCAGTATGGACTCAAAGTGTTTAATGAGCAAGATCGCGAAGAAGGCCGGGGTATTCTGCGCGCCATTATGCGTGAGGATGAAGACTCCGAGGATGAGGAGTCTAATGACGAGTGGGACCCCGAAGGCCATCAGGCAGACTACAACTTCACAGAGCGCCAGCTTGACTGGATTGAAAAGCACTATCGCAACTCAGAGCAGTTTATGCTATCTTACGGACTCAAATTCTACGATGAAGAGGATCTTGAGGAGGCAAAGGCGATTGCGGAGGCTATCATGGATGAGGATGATTAGATATACTTTGAAATGCTGCTCAAATCTCTGCAGTGACGGGGACTGGGTCACGGACATCGAGATTTCAATATGCATCACTCCATTTCTCGTAAATCGATTTTCCTTGTTCTAAGGATAGGGATTCTGACAAGAGCACGTGGTCTGGCTTGCTCAACTACCGCAATAACAACGCCAGCTATCCTTTTATCAACATACTAGAGTGCCTCCGTCTTCACTATGTCAGCATTTACTCGAAAATTTACATTCTTATCTAGGTTTACTATATCTTTACACTGTTAAGCATTCCACACGAGGTGCACAGACACAAATTAATCTCGTCAGATTGGCTTGGTAGTGTAAGACTCTAGCCGGTCAATGCCTGCGCGGCTTAGCTCTCACTGGTCCCTTTCCCGCCAAACGACTCGATCCGCAAAACTCAGCTCCTCTCTTTCCCAGCTGATGCTCTCTATGTGACTATGGTCAGAGTCAAACAACATAGCAAAAGCAAGTGAAGGTGCTCAAGCAACAGGAGATCTTGTTAAAACCATCCTGGCCTATCGTCAACGGTGAAAAGCGAAGAGTTCTACCTTTTGGACTAATACATTTGTGTCAACCTTTCGTGACGATGCATTAAGTAGACTCATACCGGATGAATCAGCTCGCCAGCCTTGAGCTAAGCAGAGATAACACGCGGGTATGTTCCTACCTTACCATATTTCTCGACACTTCTCGATCTTTGGGTCACTAACGCAGCAGCAGGATCCATTAACGTTTTCTGAAATTTCCAACGTATTTGCCAAAAATTTCCTCCCAGAAACTCTTGACCAGTGGGATAGCGACTCGAAGACGTTGCCGCCGAGGCAGACTCGTACGAGTTATGTCCCAAAGCATGTGAAGACGACGCGAGCTACTTTCAGTTTTCGCGCCATGGCACTCAATGTGCTCTAGGCCACAGTATCCATCTTGGCAGCCCCAAAGAGAAGTAAGGCGGGGTATCGTTCCGAAGTGGATGGTTAACAGGCAGAATCAAAGATTGGGCCGAACATTAAGATCCATACAAGCTGAAATCTCCTTGGACTATATGACTACCTAGTTTGTTATGGCTTTGAAGATCTGTATACTATGCATAGCTTCGATGGGAGTATCTGCGCTTATGCTTGACGCTCACCCTGATGACTCACAGCAGCACACTGCCATTATTGAAGCACCAAAGTCATCCTAAAGCTCTCTGACGTACGGACGCACTATTGCGATATTAGTTGTTGTTACACCGCGAAATTGACGCTTACCCTGCCTGAACACGGGACAGGGTGAACGGCAGCCTTAAGAGTAAGCCTACTATTGGCGCCCGCACTTTTATCTGTCGTACACACTCTCCCTCGCACACACCGGTCTCTTGAACTTCAAATCCTAGCTTTGAGAAACCAGTTTACTGTCTAAATCTATCCTGTCGCTACACCATATCCTTACTAAATGGGAAAGGCTACGTGGACACCTGTAGCACGTGATGATGTCAGAGACTGGCAAAACATTTGAGAAGGTACGCAGCACGCTGCAGCCTCTGGTTGCGAAGAGCTGGACCGAAGGTGTTGCACTTGCGAACAGCGTGCCTGAAAATGTTGCGAAAAGTTTGACAGAAAGTGTTGCGAAGAGCTTGCCTGGAAACGTTGTGAAGAGCTTGACTGAAAATGTTGCGAAGAGCTTGCCTGATAGTAGTGCGGTTCGCAAACCAAAAGGACTTCTCGAGGTACGTCAAATCACGTATCCGGGGGTATGCAAGAAACTAAGATGCCGAAGGATACACACAGTGACAAATACAAATACGAGCCTCTGTCCAGCTCAACTTGCATTCGTATTCTCAGAGTAGAAGCCGCGACTCCATCCGATCCTATCCATTGTACTATGCAAACAGTGGATTTGAACGACAAGCCGGCGTTCTTGGCTCTATCTTACTCGTGGAAACAAGACAAATCGTTGGGATCCCTTCACGCGATAGGTCACGAGCATATCTTTCGCAACTCGACTTGGAAAGCGACCCAAAACTTGAGAGCAATGATGGGCCAGCGAGACTACCTCAGTAGCGGAGAAAAGGAGACCAAGAGCATGGAAATCTTTCAATCGCTATTTTCCGATGAGAGTCTCAAAGAATCGGACGATGCCACAGACCAAAGAATCGGGGATGCCAAAGACCATTTTCTGTGACGGAAGGAGGATAACTATAGGAGAAAATCTATACAACGCTCTGCTCCACTTGAGGAAAAGCAGACCTGGAGACTATTGGATTGATACTATATGCATTAACCAAGAAGACGCAAATGAGCAGAGCGGTCAGGTGCAGATGATGGGAAGAATCTATCATTCTGCGTCAGAAGTTGTCGTTTGGCTCGGTGATGTACCGGTATTGCTTGATAAAGGAGTGCAAAAGTTATCTCACAGACTTGCCACGTATTCCGGATCACCGTCCTCAAGGTTCAGCGGCGAGGATTCGGGTAGGATTGATACATGGATTATCCGACTCGCGATGGTCTGGCTGTTGACCCGTCGTTGGTTCCGGCGGCTATGGGTCGTTCAAGAGTCATGCCTCGCACAGAAAATTGTTTTTGTCTTGGGTGATCATTATTTCAGTCCGGCATAAATTTCCTCTGTAATGAGGTGGCTGGAGGAGTCATCTCCAGAGAGAAGTTTCCCCTGGCTCGCTCTGCCTCTATTGCCCTGGACTACGCAAATTAAAAGAGTCCCGGCCATGTTGGCATCGAGCGACTTTTTCCGATCTGGTGGGCGATGGACGCTTCGAGATTGGCTTGATGCTACTACCGCGCGCAAAACAAAAGATCCCAGAGACGTCGTGTTCGCAGATCTCGCACTTTTGGATGACAAGAGTTTGGTAATCGATCAGGACTTACAGCTTCCGGAGGAACAGTCTGTGCTGCAATCTCCGCACCTAAGACTCTGGCAAGTCTTGCATGCTGATTACGACGCTGAAATTCCATTTGTATTGCTCAATCTAGCAGCATGCATATTTTCACACTGGGACTTCAATCTACTGTTCGCGTACGCTTTGCGTTATCGGCCACCGCCTAACTCCACGATTTCAGAGACGCCACTGTATTCACAAGCATCATGGATACCTGATCCAAGCCGTTGGTCCTTACGAGAGTTACAGCCAGGTTTCATGCTCAGCGATTTAAGGCGTCCCTTGTCAGTGTTGAAGGACTCAGGTTGCCCACGGCCGAGAATATCGGCCAACGGCACAACACTGTTCATGACTGCAGCAAGGTGGGATGAGATAACCCAGCATTACTCACTACCAGGGTTCGTTGACAATCCAGAACGGAGGATGATTGATGGAGTCAATTGGATCTCTCGGTTTATCCCGCGGGTGTATGTTCCAACCGGAAAACCCGGCTTGAGGACCTTTGTCAACGTCGCTATGTCAAAATATCACACGAAACGAGAGCCAGTGGCAGAAAACTTTGAACCGTTCCTGTATTCCAGGTTCTGTCAATTCATTGATTCCTGGCTGCAGGGCAAAATATCACGGGGCTCTCCGCTTGCTCTTTTACATTCTGCTAAAGTACCCGAGTGGTTTCCTTTTTTTTGGCGTGGAGGATGAAGCCATGTCAACAAACGCCGACCATTTAGCGAAGACGTCCATAGCGTACGCAGAAGTAAAAAAGAGCCATCCAGATGCACCATGGCCGGAAAATGACCACAAGCTCCTGCCAACAAAGGGGAACGAATCCTTTAGCGAGCAACAACCCGGATTCTCCCAGCAGCTAGCACAAACGACTAAAAATTTGTTAGGATTCAAAACCGATGCCGAAAAATCTTCCACTGAAACTAGGGACTATTTCAAAGAAAAGGATATTCTCGAATTCGACGTACTGAAGCACTACTGTGAGGACCTGACCATGCAAAGTATTTTCATTACGAAGCAAGGCTACGTGGGTATCGGTCCTAGCGGCTTGCAAGACGGCGATTCCGTGTTCCTTATGGCTGACGGAAATGCACCGTACATATTTGCCCATATCGACGATGTCCTGCGACGACGAGCACGCGAAATTCGGAAACAACTCCACAGCAGAGCAGATCCAGTGTCGGAGGACGCTTTACGTGAAGAACTCGTGGATGTGGAAGGCAGGATTGGAAAAATGGATGGGTATCAGCTGGTGGGAGAAGCATACATTGAGGGAGTGATGAATGGGGAAGTTGAGGATCAAGTGAGGGCTCGGATGAAAATGTATAGTTTTCTTTAGGATGATTGAATGTACGTTGTGAGTTCTAGAGAAAGTATTGAGAAAATCATGACTTCACTGTCTAGAGCAACTAGTACTCGAGCTCGACAAGCAGCATGCTTTGAGCTGGTCATGTGCGGCTATAGTCATGGAGTTCAGCCCGCCTCAAGTGCTTATCCTGATGTAACCTTGCTAAGATCCTTAGACTCAACGCCCTGAGCCGTATCCTCGCACTGGATAATGATCAGTCCAAGATTCTACCGGCGATAACGTTTATCGAATGATCAGGAAAGAATTTAATCTTGTCAACATATGTGGCAAGAGATGCCGTACTAATTGAGCAGAATTATGCTGAGACCTGTATATTGTGGCGAAACGAAAAAAAGAAGGTTACAGTCGTGTGAGCTCATTTTTCGATGCAACAGATCAAAATACGGTTTGTGTTTGAGCCTGGGATTGGCTTTGTGGCGTGGATGTTCGATGCCGGTCGACCAATTTGTTGTAAGACGAATACTGTTTCGGCCGATAAAGCGGGTAGCCTAGCTCTCTAAGCTCTCTCTCAGCCATTACCTCCGTCTCCACTATCTAAATATATACTTAAAGATCCATATTCTTGTCTAGGTTAATCTACTCGCTAAACGTTCTGCACGAGGTGCACAGACACAATTTAATCTCGGTATATTGGCTTAGCAGTGCAAAACCCTAATTAGCCGCTCACTGCGCCTGCGCAACTCAGCTCTCGCAGTTCCCGTTCCCGCCAATCAACCTAACGAGCTCGCTCCGCTAAACTCATTTTCTCTCCTTCCTAGCCTACAGCCTTTATGTGACCACGGGCAAGGTCAAACAGGATAGCAAAAGCAATTGAGGCTTGGTTCAAGGTTCACTAATCTTAGCCCCAAATCAAGGGGGTACGATCAGAATTACTTGATTGTCATCGCTGGAGCGACCGCGGAGGGGACACAACGCCGGAACAACCCGCCACTGAAATACCAGATCTCATTTACGTACCCTTTACAGAGACTGCCGCCAACGTACATACAAAACTTTCGCTATGGAAGAGGAAATACAGCGTGAACCCTTCCCGTTTGACGAGAACGTTGTCTTTCGCGAGTCATCATTCTTCAAGAAGCCGAACGCACCACTGTCTCTTCCAACGCCGGCAGAAGTGAGAGAAGTAGCGCGTCACTCCGGCCACCCCAGAGCTGAGATCGTAACTCGGCCTCCGCCTGTAACTTTTCCTAGTCTAGGGCTATTAGTGAAATACGGGACGGATGTAGCAGTTGCTGAGGGGCAATGCCTCCTATTTATCGGCAACACTCAAGTCGTACCTGTTCCGGAAGTGTATGGGTGGTGCAAGGACGACGATCAAGTGTTCATTTATATGGAGCTGGTGGACGGCATAACATTAGGAAAGAGCTGGGACACTATGACCGAAGGAGAAAAGACGTCAATTTGTGAACAATTGCATGACATGGTCGATGCATTGCGCGGTGTTGAGCAGAACTCGTGGCCACCATATATTGGTAAGTCTTACTTCATTATACAGCGTTTGTCTAATGCTCCAACCAGGTCATGTTGGCAAGCAACCGCTATTAGACATCATTTTTACGCATAGCAACTCTCCAACTGCAGGGCCGTTCGAGAACGTGTCTATCTTCCACGACTGGTACACCTCAGCATATGGTCCACACCGGGATGTCCAAGATGCATCCCCACATCCATATCGCTCCTTTCTTCCTGACAATATTCCTATCGTGTTTACGCACGCTGATCTACACCCAAGTAACATCATTCTATCCTCTGGTCTCAACCCTCATGTCATTGCAATCATTGATTGGCATCAATCTGGATGGTATCCGGATTATTGGGAGTATTGCAAAGCTCGGTGGACCTCGCGGATCGGTCAAGAATGGGAATCAAAATATCTGCCTCTAATACTAGACCGTCGAGAATGCTATGACTACTGGGACTATTTCGTTCTAGCCCGTGGGCTCTGAGAGGCCTCCTAGGATTTCTGGTAGCCTGGAAGAGAAGGTTAACCTCGAAGAATGTTCAGAGCTGAAGTGCTGAGACTTTATACCAACTCTGTAGCTCTTGTTCAAAGATCCCCCTCCAAAGGCCTAGCAAAGATCCTCGGGTTCGGTACCTACTCATCTCTTGAGCATCCTGCTTATTATCCTCAGCCGAACATTTTCATCTTTGCTAACATATACTATCGTCTCTCGGGGACTAATTCAAATGTAACGAGGAAGATCTAGCTATCAAGGTTGCTGTTGTAGGGCGAACACCAAGTGAGAAACAACCACTAGATGGAGCGTGTTTCGGATGTAAAGCCATCTAGGTTTTCTCTACTAGCAACGAGTTCTCACTCGAGCAAAGCTCTGTTAGTTTTCCGATCTGTCTATTAAGAGGCAGTGTACAATACTTTACACGGTTTAACAAGTAGTTCAGGGCCTATAGCGAGTCATACGGCTACTCCAATGCCTGTGGAACCAGTCGTCGAAAGAGCGTTACTTTCTGCGGGCGAAGTCGTAGTGCCCTCGCTTTCACCACCCACAGCAGTGATCTCGGCAAATTACGAGGTCTTGTAGAATTTGGTTTGGCAGCTTCCGGAGCCGGATTCTAAGGTTTGGGTTAAGCTAGGTTGTTATTCAACTGCCAAGCGGCCATCGACGCTATTAACCCTGATCTTCCAAACGACTACGGATTTAGTAAGCACGATCATTAACACTTCCACTAGAGTTACAGTAGCTCCAGCAAGGCGCTCATGATCGCCATAACGATTGGTGGATCTTAGCATGATCGTCAGCACCATTCCATACACGAAATACAATGGCAGGGCTTGTCCGAGGTTGCGCTAGTCGTCATCGATCCACGGCTTGAGCAAACTCCGTCCGGCGGAGCGGGTATCCAGGTAGGATCCCAAAAAACCGCCATAAACGTCTGGAAATAATCAAATACAGCAGCGATTCCCTCTGACAGTTTGTGTTACCGTGTGTTTCAAACGCAAGCTTACTGCCACCTCGATCCAAGATGCTCAGCTACGCCACGTTGCTGTCGCTTACGACACTACTGCCGCTTTCTTTGACAGCTCCTGTACTGGACGAAAGAGCGCTCAGTGATCGTTTTACGTTGTATGATTTGCCAACCGAGTTGGTTGGGCCTTGCGACTTGGAAGTTGGGCCAGACGGTGCATCTTGGGGCCAGGTATGAATTCCACGCGTGTACGTGTATGCGTTCCGTTAGACACGAAAGCTAATGCGATTATTTCAGGGCATCCTCAAAAACATCATTTTCCGCATCGACCCCGATACAGGCAAGATTGACGAGTATCCTATCCCCTTCACTACACCCTTGGACCCAACGCCTATCAAATTGCCTGGGGTTGCCAAGTCGATTACTGATCGTACTGCATTGAGCTGTGCGATCAGGAAGGGCGCAGATGGAAATCTCTACGCTGCAAATGGTATCAGGAACCAGCTCGTTCGTATCAATCCAACAACCAAGCAGATCGATCTTTTCCAGAATCCAGAATCCAACATCGCTGGAAACCTTCAACCATTCAACGATTTATACACCTCCAAAACTGGCATGTATGTCACAGCAACGACGGGAAACACGTTTGCCATATTCAATTACGCGACTGAAAAATTCACCACCTACACCATCCCAACACTAGCCTCCTTGCCTCTAGGACTTATTGTTGCTTCCGACGAGAGAGTCTACCTGGCTGAGTTTGGTGCCAACCAAATCTTGGTATTTGACCCAAAGACTGAGCAGATTGACGAATATCCTCTGCCTGAGCCAGCTCAGTTCCCTACAGTAGTTCGAGCTGAAAATGACGGCTACGTTTACTTTGCGCTGTTTGTTGGAAACGGCATCGGTCGCATCAATATGAAGACATACAAAATCGACATTTATCATACCAATCAGCTGGGCCTTATAGGTGCCGAGAACACAATCGACTCAAAAGGCGGCGTGTGGTACAGCGCATTCACTGGCAACGTCTTGCCTCGCCTCAACACAGATACCCTCCAGTATGATTATGTCACTCTACCGATCGGCCTAGGCAATTTGGGTGTCACAGGTCCCTTGGGTGGACTTCCCCCAGCCGTGGACGTCGCAGTCAACTATGGACCAGGGGATGCAGTCTGGTTTACCTCAATTCTCACGAACCAGGTGGGACGGTACAACCTCACGGGCTTGTATTGAACGGATTATCGCGGCATTGATACTTCACATCGTAAATAATCGTATGGATGTATGTCCTGGACTCCTAAACTATGATTCCAAGTTTTCATCGTCACTGTTGAACCGAGAACAATGGCGGCGTAGAGCATTCGCATCTCAGGACTGAGTTTCTAGTGCTTGTTTGCCTATTCAGCTAATACAAGGCCTTCTCCGCCGAGTTACCGACCTGAGTTCTTAATGTTACACGTGTTAGCACCGAACAAGACTGACTGTATGTGTCTGCATTTATATCGAAGAAATGCTGCACAGGCCTTCAAAAAGACACGGACTGCTGCTTCAGCATGTATCATTTAATCTTTGTCCCTATATTTCATACTCGTGAATTCAATCACCTATATTCTAATAGTAGGAACGTAACAAGGGCAGCTAGCTAACTTGACTCTTCTAGATTAATGTATTACAGAACCTTTGTACCCGCTAACTAAACAAATCTTAAGCATCTACATTGTCGCCCAGGTTGGCTGACATGTCCCCACTCGCCTAAATCCGGCCAAAAAAAAACAAAAAAACATACAACAGCGGGGATTCGCTAATGGTCACCCACTTAACTACTAATCCGCCGGTACGCTGCTTAAATATGGCTGAGCGGACGGGAAGCCTTGTATTCAACGTCCTGTGGTCGTATGTGAAAGGACCGCCCAATCAAAACAATATATTGGCTACCAATACCCGATTTAGGGGAGATGTCACTAGAAATACCTCTCCCAGTAGCATCGACCCGTTGCTCTGTTCTTGGTGCTTAAGCCTCAAGCCCAAAGAGTTTTACAAAGTTTGTGTATTTCTTTGCTGCTGGAGATGTGTAAACTACAGGAAGCAGTTAAACGCCTGCTCTCTTCTCTCCTCCCTCGATTCATCAGCCCCCGTAAGACAAAGCAATATTTATCCCTTGATCGCATCGATAGTTTCGACAGTTGGAAAAACGTACTCGCCATTTGTGAAGGCTTCTGCTGGTGAGTAGAACCGTACAGAGTACAGGAGCTTTCCACCGCCCGCCGGGGCCGGAAGCCAGCTGTACAACAAGTCAGTATTCATTCTTTTGCATCGAAACAATGCAGAGTGATGTGGCCACGAAGGTATAAACTTACTTGCTAGTCCAATTCTCCGGTGGAGGAACATCAGCAGGTTGCAACAGGACCTGAAACCTACCATCCTCCGTCCCATTCGCGCCATCACCATACACCAACCCTCCATCCTCAAACTTCAACTGCGTGCTCCGGTCCCCGACAACGTACCTACCCAGCTCATTAGGCACCAAGTACTGGTCCGCGCCATACACAGTCAAACTCCAAAAGCCCGTCGACTTAATCGGCGGCTTGCCCGAGAATGTGAACAGAAACGCCTCCGTCGCGCCCAGGGTCAAATTGTCCGATTTGTTCGTGATGAAGAGGTTTTCGGATTGTACGAGGCCCAGATAACCGCGGAGTGCGCGGTAGGCGCGACAGCCATATTCGAGGCCGAAGATGCCTTGGCATTTTATTTTGGGGATGACCCAGTTGTTGCCGACGTCGATTAGGTTTTGCGAGTAGGCTGCAGCGATGCTGGCGTTTGCGGCGATGGTGGCAGCTGTGAGGTTGACTGTGCGAGGGTGGGTGTAAATTCCGTCTGCAATGCCGGCAAGACCGAGTTTGGAAGCTACGCGGTACCGGTCTGATAATACGTCGGGTTGGTTGAATTGTCCAATCTTGGCTAGCAGGTTGAGATAGCCCGTGACTCTGTTTGTGGCGTTTGAAGTGTCGATGAGCTCATGCGATAGTCTAGGTGCTTGTGCTGCATAAGGCTGAGATAGATTACGAGGAATCGTTTTGAGGATAGTCTGGTCTTGGTAGTCGCGTATGGTGGCGATATCTTCCGTGGTGTTTTGACGTACGAGAATACGACCGAGCATGATGCCATAAGTTGTTGCATAAGATACCACACCTTTGTAAGCGGATAATTGATCCGGAGTAGTGTATTCAATTCCTGGTTGTACAAGAGCATCGTCTGCACGTCTGATCAAATAGTCACCCGGCGGTGAGTCCTCATTGATTGACATCCCGGCAAAATTGTTACCATAGCTGGGATCAGTCAGTCTTTTGTTATACAGTTTTACTCTCCAACGAAACTCACATGTCGTAGAAAGGCCATATCCAGTTTCTTCCATCACTGATATTGGGAATGGTCAAGACGAGGTCTTCGTGCGATAAGTCGATGGCCACCCAAATGTACAGCGTGTCTGCATTTGGACCAACTATAGTACGATTCAATGGACCGGAAAGTGTACGGTATGGCCATAGAGTATTCGGCCTTTTGACGGCATCCAGAATGTTCGTCACAGCCTGTTGCCATTGGGATATTGGATATGCATACTGAATAAATGTTAAGAGGGACCCAATGTGTTGTTTGTGATTCGTCATGTACCTGGATTGCAAATGCTGTGGCGTCTTGAGCAGCACTATCATGGGAGATCGACAGGTTCGCCGCTTTACCAAGCGGAACAAGGTCTGCCAAGCATGCAATGGTAGCGAAGAGATAATTGATCGACTTCATCTTTCTTAGCACTCACTCATCTTTCTCAATACGATCCTACCCCAATTTGTTATATATGGGAGCTGATATCTTATCGCGTGGCAAATCCTGCGACTTGGCTTCATTGCGCAATAATTTGTAAAATTGACGAAGAGGCTAGTTAAGATGTGGGGCGATGGTAGAAAGTGGTAAAAGACCTACACGGTACCACCGTAAGACCACAAAAAAATAGCAGGGTTGACGCATCTTCGTCGAAGTCCCCTGCGATCAAAGATCAATACGCTACTATCAACCGTGAGGAAGTACACCTCTCTCAAAAGTGTCGGATGATCCGCTGCGATAAACAACATGAGCTCCTATGACCTGAAAACCCGAATACCATCAGCAAGTGCATGCCAGTCTCACACATGTACAATATAACCCTTTTATCCTCAAAAGATATTGGTATCCTCAATCTTAACTTCCCCGTTTCTTAGCATTTCCCCAACCTCCTCGTCCATAAGTCCCAAAACATGACAAACGCCCATGTTCACATATCCGCCCTCGCATTTTCTCAGAACGACAGTTAGCGGAAGCCCATTGAGCATGCATAGAATGTCTCCGCTTTTGACAAGCGGGTAGAACATACCCAATCTTCCCGTGCGCGTGACGCCCATGCGCAAGGTATCCGCCTCTTGCAGCGCCATTTGGTAGTAGACAAAGTGCATGGTCGCCAAGTCGCTGGCATCTGCGGCTTGGTGGGTTGTTTCATTTTTACTCGATGCATTGTGAAGCATGGCTACACGCCTGACGTAATGACTTTTGTTTTCTCTATCCAAAGCTAGCGCGCTGGGTATGGGTGGCAGCGGAAGGTCCACCTCAGGTTGGTCAAACGACTTCTCGCTTCATAGAGGACTACTTTCATCGTTAGTGAAATCAAGATCGGCGATCAATAGTCGTAGATACACGTCGAAAATCTGGGAGGAAGATGGTGTCTTGCGACAGAATATGATGAGTGCCATATCATAAGAGTGTAGCAGTGCGAGTGGTGAGTATTTCAAATGATCCCGTTGCATAGTCAGTTCGTCGCTAGGGATCTTCTTGACAGCTTTGTAACTTCGCACATGGAAGCTGACGCCGTCCGAATTTGCAACACCCGCGAAATTCGGAGCCCATGAGGGCAAGCCAGAGATACGATTCAATAAGCCACCAAAGCCGGAGAACTCTAGGAACCACAAATCATACAGAAACCTTGGGCCATCCTCCAAGTCCTTGGCAAGAGCAAGAAACCAGCCAGCAACGAATTCTTGATAGACTAGAGCTACTGATTTCCCGGAGCTATAATCAGGTACTGTGCCACCTAAGCATGCGAATACCGTGCATGCGCTCGAGTAAATGCCCTCCATGAGTGGCACCTGGTAATTTTTTCCCTCGACGTCCTGTTGATTTATGCAGGCAGCGTCAGCCTAGAGCCATTAGACGTCTTTCGAGTCGCTTGACCATATTCTATATAGATGAAGAAGTGCGGCCATTAGATTTACCGTGACCGATACGGATGAACCATCGACGAAAAGAGTATCTTGGTTGTTCGGATCACCCCACATGTAAGAAAGCGCACTGAAGACGGGCTGATCTTCGAGCAATACAACGCGAAACTCGCAGCATACGTGCGGTGTGGTGGAAACGATCCTGATCAATCGGATCGTTCTGTCCAGATTATTTCAGAGGCTCATAGGCATAAGTTTGGTGCCCCATTGTGGTTGCGACGATGTCTCGATGGAATGCTAGATAGGCGTAACGTGGCGCAAGGCTGAAGAATGACTACAGCTTTTGAGAAAGGCTCACTTCAAGTGCGGCAGTGAGCTGTCTTTATGCTGGCCTATCTCAGCTGCGCCACTTGAAGCTACTTGCTATAGGCTAGACTTAGGTATGGTCATGAGCTGGCACGAGGCTGAGACTGTGACAGTCATCAGTAACATGTTAATGCTTCGCAAAGGGTGTGCAGCACACATACGCTCGAGATCGTGCATCTTTGAGAGCATGTTTTTTGAGGAAGGAAGGTGGCGTGAGAGACTTTCTGTTGTTGGTCGGGTCGAAGCACTCTACGCGCCTGCCTGACTGCCAAAAGATTGGTCAGCAAACATGTATTCAAATGCGCCTCCCTCAATACCTGGCTTCCCGACCGTATAACAGCCCACAGTCTCTTGAGTCAATGAATTGGGTGTTTTTGTGCTACCTGATCTTGGTATTGTACATGCTTCGCGCAATGTTGAACATTACAAACTCGCAATGACATGTGCCTATTCTTTTGTAGCCATAGAGTCACTTAAGAATGTTATCCTCTTTCTCTTCGTCTCCTTCTCTTTTTAAACTCTGCTTAACCACAGCATAAACCCAAACTGCACCACATAACTGTACACAAACAAAAATTGTGTCCTCTTGTTCTTCTGATCCTTGGCCACAGTATATCCAGCAGCTGCGTTGCCTCCCACACCCATGCCTTGACCGCCCTGGTCCGGGAGCAGGACATATCTCAAGCTCCTCAGCAAGAAGAAGGCATTTGCATTGAAACAGAACAGAAAGATGATCCAGCTGATCCATGTTCCGCCAATACCAATGAATGAGGTGAAGTGCGAAAGCAGCAGCGAGACAATGACGTGAACGAACTTGTATCCACTGTATGCGACGAGATCGAGAAGCTGGGACGAGCTGGTGATGGCGAGGAGGAAGGTGCCTGTCCGGATGATGAGGATCTCGAGCAGTGTGACACAGATGGCGACGGTCGCTGTGTAGCCTAGAAGTTCCGGGCGGAACGCGCCCCGCAGACCCGCTAGAAGTGTGGAGAGAAGGATGTATGTGACGAGTGCCATGGTCGGGATATACATGTCAGGGCTGTTGATATCCTCTCGTGGTGGGAGATAGAGAGAAGAAGCCGAAGCTCCGGCGGCAGGATCCGGATTGTGTCTCTGCTGGCGCGACCATGGCCGGTGCCACCACGGAAACAGTATGATGCGCAATTTGGTGACGACATACGAATTGGAGACGTTGAAGTAGTGTTTTAACGCGGAGACGGAAACGAATCGGCCAATCTGGGAAAGTCAGCATGAATGCACATATCATGTGACAAAGCTGCAAGACAAAGTTGAAGCAGTCACTGAGGTCGAAGACATACGTTCTGTTCCATATACTGCTGGCCTGCGTCAAAAGCTGTCTTGCCCATGTGCAGGCCGACTTGTGCGGTGGGGTCGTTCATGAAGCTTCCGAACGCGGGGTGCATATTGTATCCGCCTTGTTGTTGGGGCATACCGCCGCCTTGCTGTCCATATCCATATCCACTCTGGGGCTGTGACGGTGGTTGCGGGGGTGGTGGTGATCGCAGCTGGGGGACTGTGGAGACGTGTTGCGGGATGGGATGGTGTACTGGTGACGGTCAGTATAGATGTAACACGTGATCTACCCTGAGCATGTGGCAATCCATGGAAAGAAGAGGCTACAATGCGCAGAAGCCTGAGACGTATACGTACGCGGCGGTGAATGCGCCGGCGGCGGGTTGTTGTACGTCGGCCGCTGCATTTTAGCGAGAGTGAATTGACGAGTCAGGAGCGAGAAAAGAGAAGGAGAAGCAGGAGCAAGAGCGTCGCGGCTGTATGTGTCTTGGCTGGAATTGGAGAGGATGTCTGGTGTTGTGAATTTCCGCTGAGCTGCGGTGTAGCTGCCTCACCTCCGCTCCGAACATCTGGCAAGAGCTCGCACGGGCCATTTCGTCATTGGCGGATCCCTGTCCCCTCACCATCACCATCTCTGTGTCAATTCCCGACGCTCAGACCACGTTCATTGACTGACATTCGCCATGTTGGATACTTTCGAAATATTAACAACTTCCGGCGTCGTCCTGTGGTCGCGCACATACGTACCCGTCGGCGCCAATGTCATCAACAGCTTAATTCGCGATGTCTTCATCGAGGAGCGCATACTACCACAGCCAGAAGATGCTGGCTCGAAACCCACATACAAGAAGGAGGGATATACGCTGAAGTGGACGGCTTCAAAAGATCTGGGGCTCATCTTTGTTGTATGTAACATCAATCAAATTGTCATACGACATGTCGGAGCGCATAGAGACACATATGCTAAGAAGTCGTATAGGCAGTCTATCAAAGTCTTGTCCACCTCACATGGATAGACAAACTCCTTGACAATGTGCGCGCGCTGTTCGTCGGTCTCTACGGCGAACAGCTAAAGACACAGCGCAGCAGTGTGGTGAACTGCGACAAGTTCGGATCATACTTCGACCGACAAATGCACGACTTGGAAGGCGCAAGCGACTCCGGCGCTCCCAGCATCAAGATCTCTACACCGCCCTCGAGTACGGACAATGAGAGCGCAGACGAAAGCGCATCCGCGCAACCGACACTACAAAAACCACAACAAGCACTATATGACACAAGTGCCGACTCAACACCAGTACCCACACCAGACACGTCGAGACCAACCACACCGGCGCATAGCCATCTTTTGACAGGGAAGACGAGGCCTGGTGGAGGCAAGTTGTCGCGGAGAGACAAGAAGAAGGCATCTGCAATGAGCTCGGGGCCAGTATCGTCCGGCGACGAGTCATCTTCGAAGCGCAAGGGAAAGAGCGCGACAAAGAGGAACAGAGTCTGGGGCGAATTTGGCGCCGAAGAGGAGGATGACTCCGTGCTCGACTACTCACAGACGGACCTTCGTGACGAGAACTCTGAGAATGAAGCCATGGCGGAGATCAAGCAGGAGACATGGGGTCGCAAGACCAACAAGGGCGAGTTTGTACTCAAGGACCTGGACGAAGAGATGGATGCCATCATATCAGCACAAAATGCCAAGAAAGACAAAGAGGCGTCAACAGCAGCATCAGGCGGACTCGTCGGATCGAGTTTGGGCGCGATAGGAGGGCTGTTCCGGAATGTTGTAGGCGGAAAGACGCTCACAAAGGAGGATCTCGTTAAGCCCATCAAAGGCATGGAAGAGCACCTACTAAAAAAGAATGTCGCCCGCGAGGCTGTTGTGCGGTTATGCGAGAGCGTAGAGCGCGATCTCATTGGCATGAAGACGCCCAACTTCACCAGTACGTCCCCTCCCCCTATCGTTCCCGATCTACCCACTGACATTGAGAAAAGCAATCGAAGCAACCCTCCGTACCTCGATGGAAAAAGCCCTCACCAAAATTCTCACCCCCACGTCCTCCCTCGACCTCCTCCGCGAAATCGCCCACACAAACAGCTCCTCCCCGCGCCCCTACGTCCTCTCCATCGTCGGCGTCAACGGCGTCGGCAAATCCACAAACCTCTCCAAAATCGCCTTCTTCCTGCTGCAAAACCACCACCGCGTCCTCATCGCCGCCGCCGACACCTTCCGCTCCGGCGCCGTCGAGCAGCTGCGCGTGCACGTCAAGAACCTGCAGGAGCTTAGCAAAAGAGAAGGAGGTGAAGTCGACCTCTTCGAAAAGGGCTACGGAAAGGACGCGGCAAACATCGCTGCCGACGCTGTCACGCATGCACAGAAAAACGGCTTCAACGTCGTTCTCATCGACACCGCGGGCCGCCGGCACAATGACCAGCGCCTCATGTCCAGCCTCGAAAAGTTCGCCAAGCTCGCAAACCCCGATAAAATCCTCATGGTGGGCGAGGCGCTGGTGGGCACGGATTCCGTCGCGCAGGCGCGCAATTTCAACGCGAGTTTTGGCGCGGGAAGGAAGTTGGATGGGTTTGTCATTAGCAAGTGTGATACCGTGGGCGATATGGTGGGCACGCTGGTGAGTATGGTGCATGCGACGGGGATTCCGGTGGTCTTTTTGGGGACCGGCCAGCATTATAGTGATTTGAGGACGTTGAATGTTGGGGCGGTGACGAGGTTGTTGATGTCGTAAGCATCAGGAGGAGGGGGAGTGTGTATAGCTTTGGCAACTGTGCTTGTATATTTGTACTCATTCTTGCATTTCAGAGGTCAGGTGCTGGGGTAGATATCATGTTGTGAATAAGAACATGCTAGAGCTTAATTCGTGTCATGCGGGAAATCTGTATCGTGCTCCAGTCCTAATACCCATGCGTTGAAGCAGATGCCGTTGTACCTATACACCGTGAAAGAACATGTTTACCCATTGCCAAAACGCTGTCATCTGTCCCAGCTTCCCCGGTCCGCTTATCCCATAACCGGCACGACCCTTCCCATGCCCAAGCCCCTTGCGCTCATCTCTGCCTCAATCTCCCTCTGGTAGTCCAGCACAACTTCACCAAACTGTTCGATCTGATCCTGAGCCTTGGGCGCGCCAATCAGCACAATACCCCTCGGCACGACCACATCCTCGACCTGGAAGCAGCCGAACGTGACCACCTTCTGAAGCTGCGGACATGAGCGGAAGATGCCAGCGATGATCTGGGTATCAACGACAGGACAGAAGCTGAGGTTGATCTCGCGCATGTGTGGATATTGCTTGCTGCCGTCAAAGATCTCGGTAAAGGCTTCGTGTGAAATGTGTCGACAGGATGAGATGTCGAGGAACTCAAGCCTTGAACCGGAGTGCGCCATGAGTTCGCGGAAACCATTCGAGGCAAGACCGATAGGCTCATCTTCCGGGCCGTCGGGGTTAGAATTGTCCATGTCGCGCGTGCTGTTGATGTCGGCATAGTGCAGTGGCGGATTGTCCCAATTGCTAAACAAGTTTACGTAGCCGGCATCGCTGCATTCGTTGTTCTCGGTGAAGCGGAACTTCTGTAATTTGTGGCAGGTGTTGTGGATGGTGTCCAGAACGTCGTCGGTGGGCTCGCTAGAAGCGTCAAGGAAATGCTCGAGACACAGAGTGCGCAGGTTAGCGCCAACAGATGTGATGAGGTTGATAAGTTTTTCGTGTGGGATCTCGCTGTAGAAGCGGAGCGTCAAATGCTGAAGGTGCTCCATGCGGGCAATCGCGTCGATGCTGTCTTCGCCGAGCTTCTTACATCGCTCAATCTTGAGTCGCTCGAGGTTTGGACAGAATGTGCCCAGAGCCTCGACAACCTGGTCGTCGAAAGCAGCATCGAGCCACTCCACCTTCAGCGATTTGAGGTCTTTTCCACGCGCGATAAAAAGCTCGATCCACTTGTCGTTGGAAACAAGGTTGGCTCCTAGCAGCTGAAGCTCCTCCAGATGCTTGCCCTTCTCGATCATGTAGTCGATATTGCTGTCCTTGAATTGACAGCAGTTGCGCAACGAGAGTCTCTTCACCGTCGGGCACACCGCAAATATCTGGTCGTAGTCTTCAGTCTCAAGATATGCCGCCTCGTGTATTGCGATTGAATGCATGTCTGGCTGCAAGAACAGCTTCATGGTTGTCGAATTCATGGCGCGCTTTTTGGAAAAGATCTCGCTGATCCGGTTCATGATACCCTCGGGCATTTCTCCCAGCTCATCAATGTCCTCAGAGTGCTTTGCGAGCATCTCAATGCACAGCTGCTGTAGTGTCTTGGGACCGCGCACCGTCAAGCCGTCGAGACGGTTGCTCTCCAGTTTTCTGCGGCCTTTGCGTACTACTGGCTTCTTCGCCTTCTCCTGTGCTTTTGCTTCCTTTTGCATCTCTTTGCCGCAAGGTGTGCACAACAGGCCACCATCCGGGCCGGCTTTGCTGTAGGGCGTGACTGTGAAGCGCTTGTCGCAGAGCTCGCAATGCTTCAGCTGTCCTGGTAGCGGTGGGGGGGCCTTTTTAGACATGTCCATGATGTCGCCAAAATCAGATTCGTCGTCTGAGCCTTTCTTCTTCTTCTTGGATGCCTTCTTCTTCGCCTCCTTGCCCTTCTTGATCTTTGCTATCGCTTCGTCCTGATCGCGCTTGCGCTTCTTCTTGGAGCGCTCTGCTGCCATTGCGGATGACTCTGCCTGCACATCTTCTCCGACATCGTTTGAGGGTCCTTCGCCATTCGCTTCTGCTTCTGCTGCCTCGCGCTCGGCTTCTTGCACTCGCTGCAGGTACGAATCGCGAATCTCTTGAGCGGAGATATTGTTTGCCTTTTCAAAACGTCAGCGACTGAGTATACCCGTATTTCTCACCGCAGCTTTACTAACAGCAAGAAAATCCGTCAGCGCAGAGTGCGGTCCTCGAATTGCTGCAGCTCTGCCTCCCCCTCTACCACCGCCGCCTCGGCCTCTTCTTGTGCTCCTGTCGCCACTCGTTAGCATGGCACAACTAAAGTGTTTAAGGTACCAAGTTTGACATACATTCTGCTGCGTCCTTGAGTCGAAGTGACGTTTGACTAGTTTACAGACTTGCACAAAAGTTGGGGTACAAAGGATGCTTTGGGAAGGGTGAGTGGGGTTTCAAAAGCTAGGCCAGAGTGAGCGCGTTTCGGAAGGGGCGCGCGCTCACGTGACGTGTGGCAATTAACGGCTTTATCGGGCTTAGGTTGGTTCTCGTTCTTTCACTACATTCGCCACTCTCACGACCCCTGGATTGCAAGAGAGACACTTTCTTGTATTAAAACTCCACAATATGCACCTGGAGCTACTTGTGAGAGAGGAGAACGGGTTTTCTGCCGCTGAAATAGATTTTCTGCATGCAATGCACACTGCACTTGGTTGCCAATCCCGTTCCCGTCTGAATTCATGAACAAATCAAACTCCTATTTCCAATAAACTTGAAATCACATAGAAACCATCAACGCCTTCCAAACCCTGCCAGTTGCCGTGTTAAGTAACTGAGTTCAGCAAGCACTTTTCGAAGACTGACTGCAGCATACGCCATAGTACAATCAGATAGTTGTGTTGTCGCCGTCGCTGTCATCATCATCGTCGTCGTCCTCTTCCTCAGAGTCAGACTGCCAGGATTGGTCAAGCTCACGCGTCGTATCTCCGGCAGGCCTCTGCGAGTTCGTTAGCTCCTTTTCAGGGTGAAGTACATCAAGGTTCGCTTACCACGAAGGGGCTACGAACCGGACCAGCAGAGGTATCCGAAGAATCGCCAGGCCTAAACGCTCGGACTCTCGGAAACTGGCGTGAACCCGACATCTCGGAGTGCTCGGCAACACTGGACGGGTAGCTACGCTGTGTGCCAGCATTTGACGTGGCTAATGGGCGACCATAGGCATTTGGATTGAAACCATTGCTGTTGATTCCGCTGCCTGCCGCAGTTGACCTGGTGCCCGTATGCCACGACCCGGTATGTCCGGACCGCGCCTCGCTCCAACCATCGTTGATGCCGTTACGTCCTTGGTACGAAACCTCGCTATCGGTCTCGATCAGCGGACCCGAGGTTGAGCCACTGATAGAAAGGCCGCGTTGGAAGTCCTGGGACAATGGTACACCGCCGTCTTCAAGAGCATTGGCGTCGCCATTGGCACTCCACTGTGTTTGTCAGCACGTTTCCGTCCTAGTAGTATTCGACAATGGAACAGCATATGAGACTTACACCAGAGGACTCAAAGTCGGATGGGGCCGACGTCCAGTAGTCTGGCGTGTGGCCGTTGGCGGTGTCTGGAGTCACGAATCCTCTTCCTCCCCTATGAGCGGGAGGCAGACGAGTGACTAGTTCCTCAGTGCATTTGAAGCATTGCTACCATTATGTGAGTTTCATTGCAACCATAGATAATTCTTTCACGTACAGCATGATCAGGACTGCAGCGCTGACTCTTGGCGAACTCTTCTAGACCCTTGGTCTTGTGGCACATGAAGCACTCGATCTCGACGAGCGGTTCGCCGGTACACCGACGACAGTTGATGGGCTGGGTGTAGTTACCAGCAGTCCTGACCTGCCAGCGGAGATCTGTGAGCTGTCTGGTGGAGTATTGAGTTTGCGGTAGATTTCTCTCGCATCGACCACACCTGATTCTTGTGGGAATGGGAACGCCCATGAGACTGGGAGGCTATTAGCGTCATTCAGTGGCACTCAGGCTCGCAAGCTGGCAACAGCTACGCGACGTTTTACCTGTCAATTTCGCTCTGGCTGTACGCGTGGGCCTGGCGATTGCGGGCATTGCGGGCATTGCGGGTTGGCATGATGGCGAGAGTTGTGTGCAATTGATTCAGAAGAGAGTGTTGTGGTGTCGAAGAAGGAAGGAAGACGGAGGATAGATAGCAAGTCTTGTACCGGTGAGAAGACGCTGGTGGAGGCTTGGTCTGCCGTACCGCTACTGCAGTTTCCGTTTGTTTGTGCTCAACGGGAAGGTGAAGGCGGGTACGGGCGGTGATTCCATGCAATTGGGAAGCAAGTGAGAGAGCCTTGGGCTATATTCTATACAGTTATTGGCAGTATCCTGCTCCTCGAAAACCTGCGCGGAGAGGTAAGTGAAATACAGTTTATCGATCTCATCTTTCAGGTTCCATGTATCGTGTGCCTCGTTTTAAGAGGTCCGCATGCCAAACCTGGAGAACGAAGCAACCCGCATTGGCCATGGTGTACGGCAAACGAGAGGTATGTCTTGAAACAGAAGCCTGAAGCATTACCGAAATCTACAGCAGCAAAACCCCTTTCTCCTTGATATCAAAACCTTGGCCCTGGTCTACAAGAACATTTATTCGTACGCAAATGCACGCAAGCCTGCTAGGTGCTGATGTTCCCCGGTGCTGTGCAGATGGAAAATCTCGTAAAAGGATTGCGAATCCTGGAGATATGCGTGATCTCAATAGACGTGTGTGTGAAGGAAGACGCATGTCTATCGCGCTAGGCTAGGATGACGCCACAGCCGAGGGCAGCGAAATTCCTATCGATAAGCGGCGGCCAAAATTATCTCGTGTCCCGCACTTACACGAGACCACCCCAGTATTTTCGCGAGTACATCCTCAAAGTGGCGTCTATTCCCTTCAGATTCAAGGCAGGCGGCAGCGGCAACATGGGACCCGTCGCAGTGCAGTCGCACCACCACCGCAGCACTACCAAGCAGAACAAGAAGGGCTTCAAGGCGCGACATGCCACCAAAGGCGCATTGAAGGAGATTAGCAAGGGTACATTCACTGCGCCTGTTGCGCTGCAATATACTGACAAGTCCCACAGGCAAAGTCGAAGGATTGTCATTTGAACGGGGCGTCCGCAGAACCCCACACCAGCAAGTCATGTCTAAATTCGACCGTCGCAACCGCGCGAAGCAGATGCGCCTGAACAAGGACAGCGAGCATGCGAAGAACACCAACGTCTTCGCTGGCAAGGATGGTGCGCCACGCATTGTTGCTCTCGTCCCGTTGTGCTCCGACATATCCACCGCAGCAGCTGCACGCAGCCTCAACGCCGCCCTTGACATTGAAGAAGAAGTGCCCGAGGCGGGGTGGACAAGGACAAATGTCGACCGATTCAAGCAGAAGATACAGTACCTGGTCGTCAAGCGAGACTTGCTGGAGTGTTTGGATGCCTGCCGCATCGCCGACTTTGTGGTTTTCATACTGTCCGCATCAGAAGAGGTGGACGCCGAGGGCGAGCTCATCCTAAAGTCAGTGGAGAGCCAGGGCATCTCAAACACATTTACTGTGGTACAATCACTCGACAAGGTTGAACCAGCAAAGGCGAAGCCGCAAGTCATCTCCTCACTCAAGTCGTACATCACACACTGGCTACCAGCTACTGAGCGCGTCTACTCTCTCGACAACCGACAAGAAGCATCGAACCTGGTCCGATCGCTTTGCACAACCACGACCAAGGGGGTGAGATGGAGAGACCAAAGGAGTTACATGTTCATCGAAGACATTGCATGGGAAGGGGGGAAATCTGCAGTCAACGAGAACGGGACTAGCGAGGTTGTGCTCACTGGTGTCGTACGAGGTCTTGGTCTCAAGGCCGACAGGCTGGTCCAAGTCGGCGATTGGGGTGACTTCCAGATTGACAAAATCGTGGCGGCACCACTAGAAGTCAAGAAGAAGGGCAAAGTTGAAGACATGATGGTTGACGGAGAAAATGATGGCATCCTAGAACAGCCAACAGAAGAGCAGGACGATTTGGCCGATCTTGCGCCGGAAGAGACCATCATGGACGACGTGACAAACTACGCAGCCTCGGTAGCACCGTCAGAGCGCAAAGGAGTTCTGCTGGACGACCACCACTACTTTTCAGACGAAGAGGAGGAGAACGCACCAACAAAGCCCAAGCGACTACCAAAGGGCACCAGTAAATACCAGAGCGCATGGTACCTCGACGATGTGTCTGACTCGGGCTCTGACCTCGAGGATTTTGACATGGAGGACGTGTCCGAGACCGCACAGGATCCAGCAGCACACCCCGCAGATGGCGAGGAGGGCATGGATGTTGACGGAAAAGCCATGACTGAGGGCGGGCCTTCGGAGTATCCTCAATCAGAAATGTTTATGGATCCTGCACCAGAAGACGAGGCCGAGCAGATTGAGGCGTACCGCAAGACCAGGAAAACCGAGCAAGACGAAGATCTCGAATTCCCTGACGAGATCGAGCTGCATCCAAATGTCAACGCTCGCGAGCGTTTGATCAAGTACCGAGGACTGAAGAGTCTCAGGTCTAGTGTCTGGGAAACTGAAGAGGACCGACCATATGAGCCCCAAGAGTGGCAGCGCCTCCTCGAAATCTCAGACTACAAGCGCACTGCAACAAAATTCATGCGTGAAGCCTGGGCTGGCGGTGTCGCGCCTGGCACGAGAGTCAACGTTCACCTCCGCGGCGTTCCTCTATCCTTCCAAAACTCATCTCGACCACTCGCCGCCTTCTCTCTCCTGCGCCACGAACACAAGCGCGTAGCATGCAACTACAGCATGCTCGTATCTTCGGAGCACGAAGCGCCCATCCGCTCCAAAACCGAGCTCATCGTGCAGTGCGGCCCTCGCCGCATGGTCATCAACCCGCTCTTCTCTCAAGCCGGCAACACGCCCAACAACGTGCACAAATTCGACCGCTACTTGCACCCAGGCCACTCAGCCATCGCATCCTTCATCGGACCGCTAACATGGGGCAACGTCCCATTACTCTTCTTCCAGCGCACCGATCCCGAGGATCTGACAACTTCTTCCCTGCGTCTAGTCGGCACGGGAACATCCCTCCCGCCATCGTCCAACCGCATCATCGCGAAACGCATCATTCTCACGGGCCACCCGTACAAGATCAACAAGCGCGTCGTCACGGTGCGATACATGTTCTTCCACGATACTGACGTCAGGTGGTTCAAGAGTCTGCCGCTTTGGACCAAGCGCGGAAGAAGTGGATTTATCAAGGAGAGTCTGGGTACGCATGGATACTTCAAGGCAAACTTTGATGGCAAGATTAATCCAATGGATGCGGTGGCGGTCAGCTTGTATAAGAGGGTGTGGCCCAGGGGAAGTCGCATGTGGAGGGCTGATGAGTAGTGGAATGTGGGAGGGAAAGGAAAGGTAAGGTAAGGTAGGGTTACATGACTTTTACGATGCATGAATATTGGGTGGGGGTTTAGATAGACAAAACGGGAACGGCGTATCGAATGCATTGATCTATTTCGACGAATGACCCTGTCCACGCTGCATTGCGATTCCCGTGGTATATACACCCATCACAGCCACTACGCATAACGCCAAACAATGCTGATACTTTTCCCCATTCATCAACGCCCGAACTCTTCAAGACAGGAGCGTCTATGTCTGATTCCCCTTGCGCGCAAACCTCTCCAACGCCGGCCCATACTCCTTCTTCAGCCTTTCCCTCTTCTCCTCGTTCCTCTTCTTGCGCTGCTCCACCACCTCCCTTGCCCTCTCCTTCTCCTCATCAATAACATTCTTGCTCCCACTCTTCCTCAAAAAGCGTCTGAGCGCACTGTTCCGTCCCCTACCCCTCTGCTTCAACTTGGCAATCTTATCCTCGGGCTTCCTATCGAGGTCCTTCTCGCGCTTCCGCTGCTCCTCAGATGCGAGATCGAGGTTACCCACGAAATTGGGGTCGAGCGCGATCATTTCGGGCTGCAGCTTTTCGAGGAGCGCGTGGACTTCGGTTTCGCGGCGCTGCTTGGAGGTTTCGTACGGGTTGAGGCCTTGCTCCATGGAGTCGGGGTTGGGCTCGCCGGCGCCGGGCACGATGATGCTGGAGAAGCCGCGCTCGTGGGCGACGCCGAGGACGTCTTCGAAAGGGCAGTAGCGGACGCGCGAGATGGAGAGGCCGTCGCCGCCCCAGTTCATGTAGGGCTGCGTTGAGCTGGCGTCGGCGGCGCGGGTGAAGATGTCGGACTTGAAGATGCTGAGTTGGGTGCCGTAGCCGACGGAGGTGAGGTTGCGGTCAGAAATGGATATGGTTTGGCCGGGGAGGCGGAGGTGATGTGTGTGGATTTCTCGGAACATGCGAATATCCCAGACACTCATGCGTCGGTCTTGTGATGTGCTGACCATGTATGTGCCGGATTTGTCGACTGCCATGCTCCTCACCGGGCCGTGGTGGGGAAGCAGTTTGACGAGTGGGGCGGCGCTATTGGGCGACCATAATGTGACGAGACCTTTTTGATGTCCTACGTGTAGGATGGCGTTGTGCGGATTCTGTGCAAAAGCTGTGGGGGGGCCCAGTTTCGTGTAAAGCTGTGCGAGCGATTGACCCGTCGAGACGTCGGTATACCGTAATATGCCTGCGGTCGATACTGATGCGAGGAGGAAGTGGTATGGGAGGTATTCGAGGTGTGTGGCCTCAGAGTGGTTCTTCAGCTGATGCAGCTCTACGCCGTCTCCAGAGTATATGTAGACGCATTTCTTCTGCGCCACTGCAAAGTTCTTCTGGTTGCTAACATGCAGCCATCGCGCATCTCGTACGGTTTCGTTGAGTTGTAGTTCGCAGCCAGGCTTGCCGTCTCTCCAGTCAAAGGTCGCGACATGGCCTTTTCTCGATGCGATAAGCAAATCGCGACCGTTTCTGCTGTATTCGCACACGTCGTACGGTCCTAGTCCGTCTAACCGCAGCTCGAAGCCCTTCTTTGCCGTCTCAACACCCACTGCCTGCTTGATGTCGTCTTGCCGGACTTGGTAGGTCCGCTCCAATTCATTTTCAGGCTCAATAAGGCCGGCGTTGTTCTCCAGCAGGATTTCGACATTCTTTGCTTCTATCGCCGCCTGCTTGTTCTTTGCTTCCAATGTCCGCAAATTCGAGCGCAGTTTCCTGTCCTTTACAGATTTCGACTTGATCTTCTCGCCTCTTCCGTATTGTTGCGTCGCCTTTTCCGTATACTGTGCAAGCGCGCGCGCATCTTCGTCGTCAACGGGTGCAGCCGATTTGCGCCGCGGTTGCGTGGCTACGGCTTTGGAGCCTCGCTCGGTGGCCATGTCGGTGGCTATGCTCGCGCAACTGAGCTATTTTCGCAGCCTGTTATGTCGAACAGTACGATAGAGCTTTACGCGTGTATGCGAACAATTGCGATTGTGCTTCCACTTGCGATGCTGCGGTGCCTTTCGCGACATCCAGAACTTTTTGGGTATTCTGCCACCGCCTGGCATGGGTCAGTACGCTAGCGCTTGGCGAGGCTAACGAAATCCGATGCCAGCGACTCCACTTCTTCCATCGTCTATCACAACGACACTCTTCCTGTGTTGTCTGCGGATGTAAGGTCTTTGTCGGCCAGCCCGTCTGTTATGATTTCTCACTCAACCTGAATGTTCTCTATTGACCTGCTCTACATCGCTGTCGCCTTTGAGGACCTTTCCACTCGGCCCAGGAAGCTAACGAAAACAGCTTCTCATTACAGTACATGCGCTCAGCGTGTAGTCTGAAGCGTTGTCTGGCTGAAATATCCGATTTTTGTCTGTGGTATCTCAAGGAACTGTGATACTACAGCTTCGCGACATATGGACCCGGAATTCATTCTCTCGCAATCCTTGGACGGCGTGTGATTAGTGTGAACCACAAAGGAAATTAGACACAGTCCTATTCATGAACTGATCTTCTGAAGCTATATACGGTACTGCTAGGTTTTAGAAACGACATTGATGCTTGGTGTATAGCTTCAGGCTATCAGACCGCCTGCCACCTGCTGCACCTTAGTCAGCCTGCATCATAGTTGACAACATGTAGTATCGTATCCGTATCCAGACACTCGATACCACTAGTTTTCCGGAAGTTATCCATGGAACTCTCTCAAGAATGGACCCCAACTACTAGGTGCCATACAAAATGGCTTTCTTCGGGTGTTGTACCACAGCCGAACCGATACTGGCCCAAGATAATTATGCTTAAGGAGAAAACCCTGCGGGTCTCTTTTCCGAATCGTTTCAGACACGTCTCTTCTCATCATTCTTTCAAACATGGAGGTCTTCTCGTCTCGTCCTGCCAGTAGCACGGAGTCGACGTCACGGTCTTCTTCACATTACTATTATGTTGGCTCCTCTGAAGCTGAAGCTGAAGCTGAATCTATTGACCAAAGTGCTTCCAGTGACATTACATGTCAGTGGCACGACTCTAGAGAAGTGCTAGCTATGACGGAAGAGCAAAAAGCAGAAAAGCAGCCACTCCCGTGGCTTGAAGAGCCCGTTGATGAAGTGCAGTCGGCGTTCTCAAAACTTGACAAAACCTTGGATGAGATATATGTTGTGGCAAAGGATCTTGAGGAGGATGAAAATAGTGCTTCAGAATACTCATCCGACGAACATGAGGCTGCCGCCGCGGACACCATAACACCATCTGGCCTTCTCCTCAGTGTCCACCCTTCAATGGCAACACGCATCAAAATCCTCCAGCACTTCCTCCTCGATGTCCTCATCTTCATGTATTCTATTACCTCTTCGTCCCTCTCCTCCGCCGCCAAGCAAAGCAAGCACGAATTCTTCCAGAGTCCATATGGCGGACCATGCCTTATGAAGGTTCTTGAGCGCGAAAAGATACTTTACCTCTCTCACATTGTCTTGAAGCCAATACTCGACACTTACGAAGCTCATGTCGTTCAGGAATACGTGGTCCAGCCAAGCGAGAAGCTGTGCATACCGATGGAATGCGTGATCGAGCAGCTGCAAAATTACTTTTGGCACCAATGCACACCCGTGAATCGTCATAAAGCGATTCCGTATCAGCTCGCCGCGCTTTGTCGAGACGACGTCTTGTTGAGGAAGACAAGAAGACAGACGCTAGCCGGCCGCCTCGCTACTGATGAGTACATGGCACTGAAGGTGACAGACACAAAAGATTTGCAGGCCGCTCTTAGCAGGAAGATCCGGGGCTTTGGAATCGATGCATTGGGAACAGGATGGACCGAAGAATTTGTGCATCTTTTGAGGTCCCCATGGACAAGTCGGGAGTCAAGGAACTTCAAAGTTGAACTCGAAGTGGCGCTGGCTGGCGATAGAGAGCTGGCAGAATATGCAGCCTCACAGGATGGGCCGGATGGGACCCAAGAACAGTACGAGGATGCGAAGATGGAGTGGCAGAGGGCAAAGAAAGAGCGAGATTATGAGAAGGTTGGAGACGAAGCAAGGCGACGTAGTGTACAAAGTCGTCCTGCCTTAACGAAGGTAGAGAACGATCCCTCGGAGACTGAGGATGATTCAAGTGCACGGAGCATTGCAGAAGATTCAGTCTCATCGGCGGATCTATACTCCGACCCATGAAGGAGAGGTAGAGGTAGTACACCACCTCGTTGGAGAACTCATGTTCCAAAAGCGAAACAACGTCAATACTCAATCTAGGCTTGTTCAACATGAAGTGGGGATTGATTAATGCTTCTTCACAGTCCACATTACAGCTATTGAGCAATGTGAATGGTTTTTGGGTTCGGGGAGTGTCGTCCTCACCGATGATAGGCACCGGGGCGCTAAAGACGGATTCGGCAAGGACATGTGGGCTTCCCGAGTGGCTCCCGAGGTCATCCAGATTCCGAGGCTTGTCATCTCGACAAAGAGGCAGCTGAGCCACGACAATTATTGACTCATTATTGCGGAGCTTCGCTGCGCATTGTCAGACTCTACGAGGCTGCCGTGATGGGCGGCCTGGCACAAATGGCCATGAACGCGAACGATTGGCGCCGTACAGGCGCGGCGCCAGGCTGCAGTCCTCAAAATGGCAGTACACAGCTCAATGTGCATGAATACGGCGGCTGCATCATCCAGGCAGTGTTGTACCACACAAGTATATAAGTGTAACCATCTCATCATCACAGGCATGAGGTAGTACCGAAGTACCGGAAACAACCACCAAGCATGCGATCCCTGAAGCGCTCTGCGACCAGCTATCTAGACCAAGCCGTCGGCCACAAAAGGAAATGCAGTAATCCATCCTCCAGGCCCTCCACGACCCCGACTCACGATAACAACACGGACGCTCCGCTCAAGTTCCAAAGAAGAAAGCCCGCGCAGCACATGTTGCATGCAGAGGTTCCAGTGCATTGCATCCACAAACACGCAAGCGCATGCGCACTGCTAATGAAGATATGCTGCTCCTGCGCTGATAAGCGACCCATAACACACGCCTACCCGATGTATGTGGATGGCCGAGGGATTGGTCCATCCGATGACCGCTCGCTGCACTACTGCTTTGGCTGTCAGGGTACGTCTCGGAACGGAGCTTTGTATGAGTCGCAATCTGACCAGGTCCAGCATATTGGGGACGTCGTCGTAGTCATCCTGAGCACAATGTTCCCTCACTACCATCGCTGGGACTAACCGAGGCCGAATCTACTTGTGACCATATCAGAGTCTGCTGCGATAACCGCACCTTTGACTTTGTCCGCTCAGGTGATTACAATCTTGAGCAGCTTCGACATGAGGTGTCACTACTCATGCGGTGTAATGCAAGCGACATCAGTGTCATGGCAAGCGACTCTGGATTGAGCATGGCATCCGAGTCTTCGGTTCATGATGCCGCAGGCCAAATCCAATTTAGCGTCAATTACACAGCGGATGTGGAGATGTGCGACGCTTAGGCCTTCGACAATAAAACAACTCCAATGAAACCTGCCACGCAACGGTGATTTGCTCGAGTCATCAAACCGAATTTGTTGGTCTGGCCCATTCGCCAAAATCGTAGCCGCGGACTCGTGGACACGCCAACTGATGAACTTGATAGATACGAGGTTGCACATTTCCCGGCATCTGATTGCCGGGTGCTGGTTCCGGGGAGAAGACTTGGGTCGCACAAGGCATCCACAACGACCGGTCATTTCGTCGCAACTTGCCTGCATAAGCACAATCAGCGTAACGATTACAATATTTACCATACACACTGAGATACTGCATCAAAGCAGCCTTGGTGTTCTCCCTGCATTAAGAGCGAGGAACGATCATCGATATCGACACGTTATGGATGTCTCCGGAGGTTGATACAACATAAGGCCTTTGGGCTCCGAGACGAGTCATGGGCCTTGACTTGGAAATTCGCGTACGTGGAGATCTTTCCAGGGACCGTGTACGTGCACGGTAACCTTCGAGAACATTAATCCGCCCTGGTGAAGTCATCCGGCGACACACAGCTCTTAGCGCTCCTCTGATCGACCAGTGAGCCTCTAAAGGACAACTTCAACCAACGGACATAGGCGCAGTCTCGCTAGCGGCAATCCCAAAACTAAACGTATTCAAGTACATTGCCCGTCAATGGTCAGGCAAGTACCAAGTCAGCTCCGCTATGGCCCCCTCAGCCATTCTGTTGGGCCGTGATTTGCTGAGGGCTGCCCAGGAGTGACCATAGCGTGGGCAGCGTCACCACCTCAAGTCACCCGAGAAAGCATCACTCTCTCCATGAATTGCCAATGAGGTGATGTCGATCGCCATGCACTCAATCTGACAATTTCTTGGAACGTCTACACCGCCCCGCCGCGCTTGAGATAGCGAATCAGAGGCTTCTGGCCTCTGACAAGGATCCTTGGGCGGTGGCCATAGCCGTTGTCCCTACATACGCCAGACGCTTCTAAGCTCGGTCACATGGACTCAGCTTGTCTCACAGAATCACAGTGGGTCGGATATTCGTGCCCTGTGCAGAGATTCCTCATCAATGCTTTTATATCTCGTCACTGTACTGCGCAAGACGTGGGGGATGTTCACGAGCACGACTCAAGCAACGCCCTGTGACTGTTTCATCGTACGTTTGCACAAGATACCACCGGCTGGACTAAGCCTCAATGCAGGAACGTTAGGCTAAGAAATCGAGGGCCGATCAAGTAAGACGGAGGTCAGCGGGCTTCCGGATCGACACACTTTCGGTGCTACCCGATGTCTACAGCTTCTCACACAGACTTTAAACCTCCACCCATCGTATATTGCATAGCTCTAGGTTACTGCCTTGGTATTGGGAGGAAGGTGCACCATCCAGACAAGGTCTGCATTGCCTGTTTGAAACGCTACGACTGCCGACAACTTCGCACTTGGGCATATACCAACGCTTCTGCACTAGCGCTCGTGGAAGAGGAATACGCCATCAGACAAAACAGGAAGCAAAACACAGAAAACTGCGGTCATTACCTTTGCTGTTTTGAGGACCCGGACTTCGAGCACTGTCGGTGGCGCTATCGTGACCTAAATCTCCGAGGCACTCGCCTGAACTGTAAGACAGTTCGGCGGAAGGGAAAAGCCTGCAAGAAGTGCTGGAACAGGCGAGACCGGAAACTCAAAGTTCTCCAATATTTCACACCTACAGCCCTTTGCCATGAAGAGCTGGAGAGGTCTTTGACAGTACTGGAAGACGTGGGGGACGGGGAGGAAGAGGACGATGACGACGTAGAGGGCTACAATACTACCCTTGCTTGAAGTACAGCATTGGGTGTCGAATCATTGTAAGCCTTTTGCTTTTCTGTGTCACCCAAGCTAGCTAACGCCAGTGACAGTAGCCTGCTGTTTAGGGTGCAGATGATGCTCGCACCTCCACCACGACCGCACTGCGCGTTCGGAGCGGCATGCAGTTCAAAACCAGGTGGACAAGAACAAGGGCCAAACATTTGCTCATGGTGTAGGAACATGAGCTTCGAGGCTCTTCGGAAGCAAGCCGACAATCACCCTGATCGTCAGGATCTGATACGCCTTATCGACGAATACCACCATCAACTAGAGCGCGAATGTGAAGAACGAATATCAAAAGGATGGTCATATCCATGCGCATGCAAAGATCCCAAATTCTGCAGGGAGAGCTGGCGACGCAGTTTCAATCCACAAGACTCACGAGCCTGTGGTACCGTCCGTCACCGAGGCCAGCTGTGTACGAGGTGCTACACAAAAGCTCGTGAGCAACGCTGCGACTGGTTGGCAGAGTTTGACGGCGACAGAAATGGCTTCCCGTGCGTGTTTGAAGACCTACGGTTGCGAAGACCCGCCGATGTCAATTGGAAACGCGGGCCGGTGGACACATACGGCGTGCCGGATCCAGACTGGGAAAAAGACTGGAGGAGGCATGGGCGATGCGGGAGGAGAGGCCAACGATATCAGCTTTGTCAGACTTGCTTCAACAGGATGAACGAGATACGCGGCTTTGGACGATACTTCGACCCCACCTGGGGCATACTGCACGATCGCTATCGATGATGACCGCCTCTAGCGTCTATTTTCTATTCCAGACAGACACATACCGGTCGGCTATGATGGGCTTATATCAAGAAAGCGAGCTGAAGAAGTACACACTATCGTCCAACCTTTCGGGATCCTGCCACCAATTTGGAGACCACAACTTGGGCATCCTCGAGCAATCCTACCTAGTCAGCATCTCTTTTCAACATTGACAGTTTTCACCTACCCCGCACCAAAATAGAGGCGAGTCAGTCATCCTGATAAACCGCATCGACCAGTGATAGCTCTGTTCCCACTTTCCACACCAAGCACATCGTTGACAAAACGTCTCCTCGTCCAAGACTACTTCAGTCAACCGTTCTTCCACTTCTCCGCTACCCACCTTCACAGTTCTGCTCACACCAACATCTCTGAATATTGTTGGCTTCACGCCCATCAAATCTGGAAACGATATTGTCCAATCGCGCCCAGCACCTTCACGGTGCCAGAATCGATGCCGCGATTCCGTCAAACGAGAGTAATTTAGCTGCGCGTATAACTTCTGGCCGTCTAACACCCCGTACGCGCGGGGAAAGACGAGGTAGAAAATGTTGCCGCGCTGGTGGAGGGCGGTTTGTATACCAAAGTTTGGGACGGAGAGTTCGGTTACGGAATGGGGCGGTTGGGAAGCCATGGTCGGAAAGTATGGATACGGAATATGGGAACATAGTAGATCAGGCAATGCGTACTGATCTCAAACTCAAATTAATTTACAAGGACGAACAGCAGAAGATGGGTGCCTGATGCACAGCCTCGATAAACGACTGCCCCACGTGTGATCTGGCATTGACAATGGAGAGTTTACAAATTACTATTGTAGCACATTGGTGCTGGATACTAACAAGAAACTCCTTCCTTCAGACCACTTCTTTGATCACTTCACGATGGCTGGGTGAAGTTGGCACCAATTCCCAATATTCCTGCCTGTGCGACCTCCATGTCCTGCGGGACCGTACCGCCGCTAACACCAACACCTCCAATCAACTTGCCATTGAGGTAGACTGGATAACCACCACCAAACACAATCAGTCCCCCGTTGCTGTTCTCAAGACCGTAAAGCGGCGCGCCAGGCTGGACTGCAGCATACAAATCTCCCGAAGCCAATCCATTAAACAGCACCGCTGTCCTTGCCTTCCTCTGAGAAATATCGATTGAGCCAGGGAAAGCGTTGTCCATGCGCTGAAAGGCGACGAGTAAGCCCGATGGGTCGACAACGGCGATGTTTTGAGGGACGTTCAGAGCGGTCGCGTTGGCGACAGCGCTGCTGATGATTTTCTGAGCTTGGTGGGCGGAGATGGAGTTTCGTTGCTGGGGAGTGCTGCCGATGCCGTTTGTGCCGTTGATTTGAGCAAAGGCCAGTGGCACGAATGCGAGTAGAGATGGGATGATGAAACGCATTTTGAGTGCAAGGCTGGAGGGAATGAACTTTGTCAGTAACGAGAGAATACCTCCCTGCACACCCAACTATATACCGAGCTCAGGTACCCCTCTCCGTCCGTCTTATATCCAAGCCCCAGCTTCCACATCACCTTGCTACTGTTACTACAAAATCCTCGAGAGCACCTGCATACCGAGGTATCGACGGCGCCATCGATAAAGCGGGGCAAACAAACTTCGCGCTCGCGGCCCGTGGCGTACCTAGCTTATTGGAGTATAGAAGCCACATGCTCACATGGCTCATCGGAGCTCTAGCCGTTGGCGAATCGTCGAGTTGATGCTAGACGTGCCATGGTCGCGACAAAAGCCATGATGGTCTCGGCCCAGGGCGTGGCTGGATATGGGCGAACAAGGTCCGAGCGGAGATCGATGCAATAGGACAGAATTTGCCATTGCCGATGGCTTCACTGAATTTCTTTATTCGTCTTCGCCGCAATGATTCTTCCGAGTAATTGCTTTGTTCTCGGCTCGATCCATCTCCATTGAACCTACTCTCTAGAGCCTTCTACGCCTGTACAAACCCATATTGTGTGGAAGCGGTTGTTGACCTGTGGTGGTCTGCTATAGTTGCGTGGCTCAGCGACGGAGAGTTCACGTACTGTCACGAGCTCTCTTCCAACGATTTCTGTTTGACTTCGACATTATTTTTCGATATGAACGCATGCCACAAGCTTTCATGATCGACTTCGATTATGAGTGGATGGCTGACTGCGGAAGCCCGTGCGACTAGTAGTTCCTCGTCCACGTGGAACAGCAGCAGTGGACGGTATTAATTTACAAAAGTTGTAGCTTTCGATCTGGACAATTGCCGTTCCTTATCACCAATAGTCGTCGCTTGCTGTCAGCAAGTCAGCATATGCCGCGTCTCGGATCGGCAACATGAAACACGATTCGGACTTCACACCAGACCCCATGCACATTCCCACCACTCCAATGCACGTAACATATTAACACAGCATCATCAGAATCGGCCTGAGCTGTTGTAAATCTGGACCAAATACACTAAGAATGCGTGCATATTACACCGACCGGTATTCGCGTCCGAACTCGAGCCTACACATGGCCTTTCCACATAACACCATCTTCTATGACATTGCTGAAACGCTATCAAATGGCTTGGCCAAGGCGAAGCTCACAAGTCGTTTGAGCATGGCGAGAAGGTTGGTCGGGGAAACTTGGTCAATGTCCAACGTCCCCTAAACTTCTTGTCCATGCATTCTCACGATGTCACTCCAGCACAAGGGCAATGAAGCCCGCCTCCCTTCTTTGCGCAGGACCAAACGATAACTAGAGCCAATTTCATAGATGGAGCCATTGGTAACCGCGATCTGCATGCCCACGACACCCGACCTGATGTTGTGAACCGTATCACGACTTCGCTGGACGATCAGAATACACCGGACGTATAAGGACGCGCACCAGGCGATACGCTTCTCCTGAAATACCATGCTCGCCTTCCAGTCTCCTCTCGTACTACCTGTACTCAGCGCATGTTCGCTCTTCACGAATACCCTGGCTCGTCCAAATGGCATCATCGCCGAAGATAAAGGCTCACCGGGTCCTCAATACGCAACATCATTGACCGGTGGTGAGGGCTGCGACACCGACGACCTATCCCACATCCACGCCGGCTTTCAAGAAATGGCAGCGATCTTCCAAGCAGCGCTACCCTACGAGCCCATTGGCCAGCCCGCCGTAGAATTCTTCGGCCTCCCCGATCTAGTCGGCAATTACACCAGCATGATCGAAACCAATCTCCAGCGCGCCGCCAACTTCGGCAAGCTCGAGGAAAGCGAAGGCCCAGCGAATTCAGACATACACGTGCGGTGCGATGATCCACTGGGCGTCTGCCGATTTGGCAATCGTAGAGAAGGAAGCCACGCAGCATACAACATCGGCAATGAACCACACATCGTCTTCTGCGAGGACTACTTCCGGCTCGATCCGCTCAAAAAGCGCGTCGACAAGAACGCAGAAGACCAGACCGAAAAGGACAAGCTCATGGAGTACTACACCCGCGCAACCCTCTGGGCGCGAATGGTCATGCACTTTTCTGAAATCGGCAAGGCCGTCGTGACACGCCCGGTCCCTGGCCCTCCAAATTCGACGACGGAGTGGACGGTAAGCATGACCGAAGGCGCGATGAACACGTCCGTCCTCGCCGGCGTTATGAACGAGCGCCCAGATCCCAACGGGCCCAGCGACATCCAGACGCTCAAGTACGCATACGGCGTCACGCGCGCGAAACTGCTGACCGTGCTGTCGACGCAAATGCCCTACGATGCGGCCAACAATGCGGAGAATTATGCACTGTACGCGCAGGCGCGCTATGTGATGCGGGAAAAGGGGTTTTATCCGAGTATTCCGATCATGGACTTCCCGAACGAGGCGACGGTGTTGACGAATGAGAATTTGCAGGATGGCGAGAAGATTCGGTTTGCGTTCTTTGATATGACGGATGTGGTGTATGTATGCATCCGCTTGTGCCTGCTTGAGGAGATACTAATGGATACGATAGCGCTCGGCCGGCCAACATGGAGTTGGAAGGAGATCCTATCTTTTTCTCGTCTGCCCCATCCAGGCTCGACACGACAGCTATTGGCATCGCATGTACTGTTTTCGCCATGGGCTTCAACTTACTGCTGTCCTATGGTTGAGGCGATCGTTGATCAGATTGGAGTAGTCCCAGGAACTAAATAGCGCAGCATCACCGAAGCTGGTCGTCCTGCACAGTCGACAACCTGTCGGCAGAGCAATCGCCTCCGGAGCTTAACACCACACGCTGTGGTTACACAAGCAATTATTCGATCGAGCGGCACGTTTTGATACTCTTCCCAGTCTGGGCTGGCTTGCTCGAAACATTGATGCCACTCGGAAAAGACGAATGAATGGTGGAAGCATCGCGGACGAAGAAAGAAAGCACCGAAAGTTTGATATATCGGAAGACGAACACGACAAACGATAGTCGGAAGTTCTAGGAGAGCAGTCGCCCGTCAAAATGCTGCAATGGTCTACTTGCTTGCTTATGGATGGATGCAAGGATATGATACTGAAAGAAGCACATGACAAAATGATAAGAAAAAGACACGACAGTGATGCTGGAAGTCGCAAATGGCGAAAGCAGAAGGACTAGATACACGACAGTGATGTTGAAAAGAACGGAAGAATCGAAACAAATGACAGAAAGAATGAAGGGACAGAAAAAAAAATAGAACGACCTCCAAAACGAATGCAAATAAAAATTGCCTCAAGGCGCTCAACGCCTCTAGAACCCTCCCCCAGTCATATGTGTTTCTCCAATCTACCGCACCGGCGGTTGTGCCCAATGTCTCAACATCTGTCCAACCGCATAATTCCACTCCGCCACAAATGCCGCTGTGAGCTGCGTGATCTGCTCAGACGACGGGGTATGCCCTCCCCACATTGCCGGCTGCGAAGCCTGGTAGCGGGCATAGTATGGCACGAGTTGACTGGATCTGATCAGTGTGCTATCTTTGATTTGAAAAGTCGTGGAAGTGAGGTGACGAACTCTGTTTGGATCTTGCTGAGCACCAGCCAGCACAAGTTCCAGGAACGGTTTGACGCGGGGTCGGAGTAGACGCGATTTTTGGCCTCGTCTAGGCAATGGGAGCTGTTCGCAATATCTGTTAGGACTGCAGATTGAAGGGTGGATGGATTGATGATGAACCTGAAAGGATAATTCTTGGTTAATCCACGAAGTTCCGTAACGGACACCATGAGAATCGACATAATACGACCCTA